AACTAACCAATGTTTTCATAAGCACGAGAAGGTATGCCGGTATCCATCTCTTCTTGTGTATATAAGGTAGGAAAAGCACAGTTTTTGAGGCGTGAACTAGCAGTCACGAACCTAAGTTCAAAGTGCTTATGACACACGAACATCGTAAGCAACTCTTTTGTGCTAAGTTTTTTTAATCTTTCACTGTTTATACATTGCACCCACTTTCTTCCACCATCAGTTTTAGGAAATCTATGCAGTTTAACACCACTGCGCTTGCTTTCACAGTTCGGAACACAGCAAGTATTTTTCATTGTAAAAAATAGTCGAATATCACAGTTTTAAAATGTGAGAGTATAAGCACAGACTAACAAAACCTCGACTTAACTTCACTCAATACACAATTCCACACATCACAATTGCTCAGTAATCAGTATTCAACATTCAACAGATTCATTTCAATACGAAAATTGTAAGAAAACAATAGGTGTATTCCGAAATATACATTAGTTTATTGACCAGTGCTAATGACGTCACGAATCCGACGCTATATCGTACTGTACTCCTAGCACGAACCAATATCGAATTCGCATCGTTTGCGAGTCCGAAATGTCATTGTCAAATGTGTACTGATTTTTAGTTCCCGTTACGTACTTTGTGGCACTGCTTGAACAGCAGTTTCCATACAAAATTTGTTATTGACATTTCGGTTTGCAATATTTATTTTTAGAACAAGAACGGCATCCGAACAATAAATATTCCTTTTAATTGATGAGGTTAATAAAAAACCTTCTTTATTCACACTATTTTTAATATTTCGTCGATTTATGACGACAGTGCACTGGCCAGTATATTTCGGAACAATGGACAAGAAATCTGCAAAATTTTCCCACTAGGGGCGCTTTAATCGCTTGACCAAAACTTTTACCAAATACATACCTATTAGCTTATACCAATTTTAAAGCTTTTTAATAACAAATTACAAATGCCGCGTTGTGCAATTCCTGGTTGTTGTGAGAAAACTGCATGCTTCCCGACTAAAATATAATTTTATATGTTGCTTTGAAAGGGGTAGGGGAGGGGATAAAACTGAGCTGCTGTTTACACCATGGTATGTATCTGAGACAGGTAATTGCATCTGGATGTCTTCATTTTGATCGGAAAAAAACTGCACCAAAATTAAAATTGCGGTCAAGTCTGTAAAAAAACCCAATGTTATACTTCCCATTGTAGCCAGAGGTAACCTAACTCTATGTGATGTCTGACTGATGCAAAAATAAGATTTGACTAATGAGCCCGCTAAAAGTTACTGTGATCCATAAACTATTAAAATAAGCATGAAAAATGCATCTATGTACCGAGAATGATTATTCCAGCATAATAATAGAAGGAGTGCCTTTCTACTAGATCAGCTTTTCTGCCTTGCACAGATGCTCCTCTCGTTTTCAAGTCTGTTTTCAGCTGTATTACAGACCATGTTGAATACACTTTTACCACTTATTTAATATATTTAACAACAAAAAAACACGTTTAAAATGACAGCTGCAATATTCGGCTGTGGTTTGGGTCAATGGTTTGCAGCGCCATCTATGTAGAGCTTTGCGTATACTTCTACATTCACCAGCGGGTCAATTATGCTTTATTGATATAATCCTAATGTGATGTCAATATAATGTTGATGCCAAGTTGACATTGTGTTTTATTATGAAACATTCCTATATCACATGAAGATCATATCAATATCGATCGATCACGTTTATGCGATACTGTTTTATGTCAAAAAGTTGAACGTAATACGCATTTAAGTTGATATCATTTTAAAGAGTTGATCATAATTCGCATAAGTTGATGTCTATAATGCGATTCAACTATGAATTGGACCGACTGGGCGCCATATCATGATGTCATAGCTGTCAATTCAAACCAAATAGGAGGAGTGAGTAAAAAAAGATTATTTTTAATAAAACTTATTTACTAAGATTAAGTGAGAAAAAGCATCAGATTTTTTTAATAAAATTTATTTACTAAGATTAAGAAAAAAGCACATTTTTTTAATAATATTTATTTATTAAGACTGTGAGAGAAAACATTAATCAGAATCTAGCTCTTCTATTCCGCTCATCTCTGCATTACCGCCGGAGTAGTTATGAATAATCATGCACTATTACTAGGTCACATACGAACTTACATCCTTTATGTAAACAAAAGTTTGAAATCGAGTGTCTGAACGCAACTTAAAGTGACATTTGATTGACGATTTAGGTTATGAACCATTCATGGCCAAAGCTCAATAAGTGAAAAAAAAATATCAACCGATATTAATTATCAATTAATTTTGTTATTGTTTGTTCACAAATGTTTGGCTTTTATTCTTGAATTAGCCGAGTGCTAAAAAAGGGTTCCAAGACTTTTTTTGCAAACCGTACTTTTCAAGCGACATTTGACAGATAGAGGTCATTGGCTTTCCTATTCTTATTTGAATCGCATTATAGTTGATGTCATTTTGATATGGAATTTTTAGAGAGCATAATATGTAATGTGAAATTGACATCAATACAATATTACAATTAGCGAGCATAATTGGCCTGCTGTATAGCGTCGATTCATGACGTCATTAGCACTGGCCAGTATACTGGTATATGTTACGGAATACACCCATAGAACCTAGGTTTTTTTTTTAATTTATTCTGTCCTTGCATAATTAGTCCTTGAGCCGCTGACAGAGTTGCCAGATGCAATTTTACAATTTCTCCCAAACTAACATTTCCCCAAATTGTTTCTACAATAAAAAATGGGTGCGTGTACTTATGTAGGCGCGTGAGAAGTTATCTTTCTTTGGCATCGTTTAAAATTAGTTTTTAATAGCATGCAAATAATTAATTACAATAAATTAATAAAAAGTCTGGAAAAGGACACAGTCAATAAAGTTCAGTTTTAATTTGAAAAAATAAATAAATAATCAAAATATTCAATTAAAATCGCTACTGAATATAATTTATTACAACATATGTGATTTGCACTTGTATGAAACTCAAACACGTATTCCGAATATACAAACTAGAAACATGTGGATAAATATTATAAATATGAATACCTATAACTGTTACTTTATTACAAAAAATAAAGATGTGGTTTTTGGTTCTACTACACCAATGGTCAAGAGATAGCGCTGTAGTCTCCTGAATCGCGCTTTGGTTCCGTTGTTCCAGATTATTAAATACTTTTGATATTATAAATATGAATACCTATAACTGTTACTTTATTACAAAAAATAAAGAAGTGGTTTTTGGTTCTACTACACCAATGGTCAAGAGATGGCGCTGTAGTCTCCTGGTTCCAGATTAATAAATACTTTTGAAAGGCCTTCACAATGCAGTCGTTAGCACCCACTAAATAGAGATTCTAATTCTATTTTGTTGGTAGATTTTCTTAATGTGCGGTAAACACAAAAGTAACAGCATGAAGTTTACCAACCAGTAGACCAACTTCATGCTGTTAATTTTTTGTGTTACAGTGATGCGCGCGCATCTTAAAATTTCACTCTCATCATTTTTTCATAACGCGCCTAAAGAAGTATAACTTCAAAAATGCAGAAATGCTACAATAATAAATGCTGATTTGCTTAGCATTTTTACTATTTTCACACATACTTACGATTTGCATAACCCCCCACCCCTACCCCCGCTGTAGATTAGTAATTTAAAAATATATGCTGCCCCGGCCCATTGCCCTATTGGCCCTAGGATAAATACGCCGCTGCTCACGCAAACACAATGCCACAGCTCAATGATACATTTATTAAGGCAGTAGCATATTAACGTGTCGTGCCGTGTCGTGACACGCCAGAGGCACATCGGTTTAATACATATATTATGGGTTAGAGAGAGAGAGAGCACATCGGTTTCCTAAATTTATTAAGGCAGAAACATAATAACGTCTCGTGGCGTGCGTAACGCGCCAGAAGCACATCGATTACATACATTTATTATGGGTTAAAGAGAGAGAGAGAGAGAGATTAGAGAGTCGACACGGCACTACACGTAAATATTTTTTTAGAAAATTGGCGCAGAAGATCCGGCTCAATGATTGCATTTCAAAAAAATTACGGTCATCCTTTTGGAAAGTGATAAAAGGTCTGCGTGCTATACCTTTCACTAGTCCTGTTTTGACGTGTCCGTCATGATAGTGTACCACACATCCAGTTTAAGGTTGTTAGTTATGTTAATAAATAGTGCGTAAATAATGCAATAATAAAAAAATCTGCCTCTTTACTTTATTAAACCTAAACTTAAATATGATAACAGTGGTGTCGATTCTGGCAGCATTCTCTAAACTTAAAACTAAATTTAATATCAGTCTGTCCTTTTTATTCTATTTAAAGAATGACAAGGATCCACTGTTGTCAAATTTAAGTTTAGCTTTAGAGAATCATGCCAGAATCGACACCAATGTATCTTTGTCATTCTCTTTACAGAATGAAAAGGAGAGACTTATGTTAAATTTCTTTTTAAATTTAGAGAATCATGCCAGAATCGACACCAGTACCTGTTTTTATAGTGTACGTTGGCGTGACGATCAAGGTAGCCACACTATGTAAAATTTCATAATCATAGCTCAGAAGGGCACAAAGATATAGAACGAGACTCGTAAATAACCTTTGGAGATGGCGTCATTGTAGTCTACCCTAAATGGTGCATAAAGAAAGTGAAATTCTCTTTTAGCTTATGATACATGTAAAAAATAGTGCGTAATATTGGGCGTCTTTAGTATAAAAAGTGTATATGAATTCGCATTAGAATAATAAAAAAAACATATGGCCTGGTGTACCCTACCTTGATCGTCACGTCAGCGTATACCATGAAAACAGTTATTTCCTAAACTAAAGGGGAAGATTTTTTTTATTATTGCACTAATTAGGCACTATTTACGCACTATTTATTAGAATAAGTAACAACCTCGAACTCGATGTGTGGTACGCTAGCATGACGGGAACAGTCATCATGTCAGTCCCTAATTGGTTTATTTACTACATGGCAACTTTTATGTTGTCTCTGACATCTTGTGATCACAAGATCTCTCCGTTTTGAGTTTTCTGTCAAGGCAAAAATTGGGCGAAAAAAGGCCGTCCCGTTTGGGAATTACGGGTAGAAAAGCTCCAATTTGCTCAACAAATATCTCAAGATGAGATACTTCCTTACCTACTTGTTCGTGCTCCTCGTGGGTCTCGCTGTAACAATATTTTCGTTGTACTACCTCTTGAATGGAAAGGGTGAGCAAATCAGTGTGGGATGGTTTTTGGAAAACACATCCCCTTACATGTGGGGTACGTTGGGCATCGCGTTCGCAGTGGCATTTTCAGTGGTCGGCGCTGCGATGGGCATCCACACGACTGGAGTCAGCATAGTTGGCGGAGGTGTCAAAGCACCTAGAATCAAGACGAAGAATTTGATCTCCGTCATCTTTTGTGAAGCTGTTGCTATTTACGGATTGATCACCGCGATTGTGCTGTCTGGTATGCTGGAACGGTACACAGAACCTATCCTTGACATTGCTATCAAGCAACAAAACTGGATGGCTGGCTATGTGATGTTTGGAGCAGGTCTAGCCGTAGGCCTTGTCAACCTGTTTTGTGGTATCGCCGTCGGAATAGTTGGCTCTGGAGCAGCCTTAGCTGATGCAGCCAATGCAGCTCTATTTGTGAAGATCCTGATTGTAGAAATTTTCGGATCTGCCATAGGTCTCTTTGGACTTATTGTTGGAATTTACATGACGTCAAAAGTCAAGATGGGCAATCAGTAATTTAGGAAGAAATAAAAACACGAAAATTAAGTGTAAGTAATTTTTTATGATTTTCATGTCAGCTGACTTGTCATGGCAGACTTAAACTTGGTCAAAAGATAAAGGTTGAACCATTTAAATTAAAATGTTTGTCATGTTACATTGAAATGAAATCCTAAATATAAGATTTGATAGAAAAGAACATTTTAAAAAATGTGGACAAATTAAGTGGCCATAATTTTATCTTTATTCACAACTAATTATCTGCCCTGGTTTTGCATGGGTGAACTTTCTTTTAATGCAAGAATTTATATCCTTTTACTAAGAGATCATTATCTCATTTATCAAATTTCATGATTTCGTATATATTTAAATAACTATCTATATTCCTTTACAAAAATAGAAATCTTTCCTCTTAATAATATTAGCCTCAATTAAATTGAATTCTGATGTAATTAATATATAGTGTTAATTTTGAGTTACCTGAGATTATATACGAGCACATATTAGGTTATATTTTTGCAAAAATAACTAATTAGTTTTTTCGTGAAAGTGTCTCCACATTAACTCATTTATCTATTGACGACCTCTGTGGCCGAGTGGTTTGTACGCCGGGTTTCATGGCGTCGCCGACTCGAGAGGTCCCGGGTTCGAATCCCGGTGGGGGCAGATGTTTGTGTGATGAACAAGAGCATTTTTACTCCAGTCATGGATGTTTAATATGTATTTCTATATAAATATACTTATATATGTAAAGTATATGTATTCTATCCGTTACCCTAGTGTCCCATAACACAAGCCTTATAGTGCTTACTTTGGGGCTAGGCTAATTGGTGTGAGTGTTGGAAATATTTATTTTCATTCTATTTGTTGTGTTCGTTAGTAGTTTAGACACTGTAGCTGGCCCACATTGTAGGAATACAACATCATGTATGGTTTAATAACAATTAAACTGGATTAAATATCAATTTCAGCTAATGTTAGTACCATAAGTAAGCTTTTGTGGTTAATTAGGCGGTGTCTTTAATTATGTGACCACCACCTTATTAAGTTTCTCAGCTAACTCAAAATTTATGGTGTATGCTCAGAAGATTTCATACTCATCTAAAGTTAATTTATTTATCACTAGCGGCCTCCTGTGACTTTTTGCATGTTCATTTTAGTTTTTTTGGAATCCCCCAGGAACTTAACATTCTTATTAAATATTACATATTAAATAAAAGTATCCTTTACCCGAATCTAGGTAAAGTACAGTATGTGTACCAATGCAATCCTTAATTGTTCAACCGTTTTTTTGTGATTGAGTAACAAACAAGTAGAATAACAGGATGAGAATAACTATGAACTATTTTACACATAATTATGTTTTTTTTTGTAATAACATAACATTGTCATTATTTTTTACATAACATTTAATAACTGTCTATTATGTTAAAGATAAACATATATATAGCTGATTTTGCAAGGTACTAATTAATTGTAATATTTTTGTTATGTCATTTTCATATGAAAACTGTTTTTAGATGTTGTTCTCCTATGGATGAGACATTTTTGATTGTATGTATAACATTTCATTACTTGATTCTAATTATATTTGTTTTACTTTTTTCAGTGGACTACAGCACTGGATAGTTCCTGCCTTGACTAATAGCAAAATCTGTAAACCCAAGTTCAGTGCTTATCAAGATATTAAACACAGGAGTAAAACAAAGCTTAAAATTTATATTATTACAGTGTTGAAGATGTGCATGTTTGGATAACCAACATACTATTTTCCTAATGTGTGCTATGTACATTTTTAGTATATTGTTAATAAAGTCTTGTAAACAATTTCTGATCTTAGCACTATCATAATAGAAATTTGTTGATAAAAAAATTTAACTTAAAATATAAAAAAACTTAATTGTAAATTGACATTTAGACATATTTATTATTCAGTTATTGCATTTTTGTGCTAAGGTACAGACATATGTGAAGAATTTGTATTGGAGTGTTTTGATGACTTAACTGTATTACATTGTGTTGTTTAAAACTGTTCTAACACAAGTATCCCATAACAAAGCTGACTGGTTACACATTGTATGTTGTCTACTAAAAGTCTATGTATGGCTATAATAATCAACAATGTTTGCTTTAACATCTTATACAATGTCTACCTAGTCCACTTGTTTAGGCTTAACACATTCCATAAGACCTAATTTTGTGAAATTTTCATTGGTTTAAGTCAATACATAGCCCATGTATTATAAAAACAAGGATGTTTTCCACTGTTAGGCAACATGCAAAAAATCTTTCAATGCAGCCAACCGTGTGTCACTAATTTGAACTGGCTCTTAGTGGAAAATCTCCTAATAATTTTGAAGTACTTTTGAACTAATATACTGTACTGTTATAATGTATCTTATTCAAACAAAATTAATTTCTAATTGTAAATATTAGTTTGCTTACCTGTCTGCTAATTTATTCTACATGTAAATTCATATCCATATATAAATTTATTGTTAGGTGTTGATGTGAATGCCATGGACTATTTGATCATACTTGTCTAATGTTTAGCCATTAATAAATTGGCACAAGTTATGTGTACACAAGGAACAAAACAGATGAGAAAGTATTATATCAGTCTTGAGATACCGATTACTGATGTAATTTCTAAGTTTAATATATTTTATTTGTGCAAATGTAGATATAATGTATGTTGATGAATAAATAGATAAAAGGTTTACATTGTTATTGATTTTCGCTTGAGGTCGCAGTTTTAATCTTAAGCTAAGCCAAACAATTCGACATAGATAATAATAAGAAAAGGCTATTTGTCAAATTTTGAAAATTCGTACGTTATTTATTTAACAGAAAAACAAGTGTTTTCAAATATGCCGCGGAAACGTTTCTCTACCCGATATGGAGTGTTTACAGGTAGGTGACGTTGTATGAAGGCCAAAGGGGAAGATCTTCCTCTGAGCTAGATGATGGTAGCTCGGGGGCCGCGGTCCGACTGTTGTTCGGGCATCGTATAGTATATATAATGCGATTCAAATAAGAATAGGAAAGCCAATGACCTCCATCTGTCAAACGTCGTAAAGTACAGTTTGCAAAAAAAATCTTGGAACACTTTTTTAGCACTCGGTTAATTCTAGAATAAAAATCAAACATTTTTAAACAAACAATTAACAAATATTGATAATTAATATTGGTTGATATTTTTTTTCATTTATTGAGCTTTGGCTATGAATGGTTGATAACCTAAATCGTCAACCATATGGCACTTTATGTTGCGTTCAGAAACTCGATTTTAAACTTTCGTTAACATATAGGATGCATGTTCGTATGTGACCTGCATAATTATACATAACTACTCAGGAGGTAATGCAGAGATGAGCGGAATTGAAGAGCCAGATTCTGATTTATGTTTTTTCTCACAGTCTTAATAAAAAAATATTATTAAATCTTAATATTTTGTAATCTTAGTAAATTAGTTTTATTAAAAAATTTGATGTTTTTTTCTTACTATCTAAGTAATTAAGTTATATTAAATAGATTTTTTTTGCTCACTCTACCTATTCGGTTTGAATTGACAGCTATGACGTCAAAATATGGCGCCCAGTCGGTCCTATTTTTAGTTGAATCGCATTACAAAGTGTTAGCCTCCGAATTTCTCTTGCGCGATGTAGGCTTGTACCTATACGATGTGAACTCAGCGTCGTTAGCGCTACCTCTTGAGGAGGCGAGTGACTATTTCCTCCATATTGGTTATGTGTGGGGCATGTAGATGTCGCCGCTACATTGTCACACGACTCTCATTAAAACGAACAGTACAAAGTAATGTTACTTGAACAGCATGTTTACAAGCAGGTGACATTTTAGGCTCCGCCAATCCTAGGCGTCTTCAGCCACGTGACCATAGCTCAAAAAATACTTTTCTATTTCACGTTTTTTTGTAATATTATCAGTGGCGTAGCATAGGTCACTAGCACCCGGTGCGGATTCCAAATTTGCCGCCCTCTTATTTTTGCAATCCATTATAAAAAAATTGAGGCATGGTAAAAAGAGTACTTTTATTGAATAACACCATGGAGCACCCCCACTAGAGTCCGCATCACACAAATTTTGTTTGGAATCAAAATCGCCAAAGTCGGTGGGGTGCAGGGAGGTCAGCCCCGCTGTGATTGGACGCGTCAAGGTCAGATCATATACTCAGTGCAGCGGAGTGATGAGGGTAAGATCGATTTTAGAAAATATCGATATTTTCTATCGATAAACAATTTAGAATAGAGGCCTAGTACTTTGGTGCGCGAGTGTAAGCAAATGCGTAATCATACCCTCTCCACTTTCTTCCAGCGTTCTAATTACATGACGCCACTAGTAACTACATACTAAATTATATATAAGCAACACAAAAAAAAGACACGCCCAGGACAAAAAGTATTAATGCAACGATATCAAATACCCTAGATACAACAACACGAACGTCCAAAAGGTACATTGGACGATCCGCGGAGGTCCGTAAGATGATCGCGTGGTCAAAAACAATATAATGCCTTATTTAAACATTGAAAGTCACCTTTAATGCATACGGCATAAGGTCTTAATTAAATGCACGCGTCAAGTTCGTAAAAATTTACGATTTATTGTTATGTGTGAAAGAATATAGACCTTATTTTTTTTGACTTTTCGCGCGCAATTCTGAATGCGCTGTTAGCAATATAGCAGGTACAGATCGCGAAGAAAAGAGATGGCTAAGGGCGACGTATAACCGACCATGCATTTGAATATCACAAATATTTTATATTAAATCAGTTTATAGTAAGTATTACAACAATAAAATTAGCTTTAAAGGTGTTAATTAAAAAACATTAATTAGCTACCCGTCGCAAAAACGACACTTTACGTACTATTAGTATTTTTCTGTATTTATTCACGGAACTCTTTGGCATCTTGACTTTTCAACGGTCCGCGATTGAGTGTTCAAGTACTTCTTGATGGGGACACATTTTGAGCGCTCGTGGTGTTTCTAGGGTATTTAATATCGTTAATTCTATGTCTTTATCTAGGTCATAAACTATGCGCACTTAATTTCATACAAATCCGTTTAACCGTTTTAGCGTGAAAGAGTAACAAATATGCATACAAATTTTCGCGTTTTTTCAATTTTATTAGGATATGTTTGAAGTCAAATAAAAACTGTTGGTTGTATACTCATGACATCTATTATTGTATACGATGAAATAAATAGTTTTTATTTGTTTTTTCAATTTCCATAGCTGACAAACTTATCGATAAACTTACGCGTTGAGACATGAGCTGCGTCTGAGTCACTAGCAATACACGTGCCGGTGTGAAAGCGAGATAGCATATATGATGCATAGCCCATGCGAGAAAGGGATAGTGTAAAAAGACATCAACGCGTTCACCAAAAAATAAATACAATTAACACCAATTTAATATAACAGTATTTTTGTCTTTTTGTAATGCATTTAAACTAACCAGTGAAAAGTAATACCATTTTTTTTAAGACTGGAAGTTGTACTCGACTTTCCACACAATTTAATTGCACGGTACGGCATTTTTTACAGTTTTTTAACACGAAAACGAGAGAAGCAGTTCGACCAACGCTCGGTTACCGAATGAAACGATGTATCGCGACGTCTGTAGGCGTGCCTCACGCATAGGTAAAATACTACTTAAGCTTGGCGTAAGCGCTTGCCCTTGTATGCGGACTCTAGTGGGGGTGCTCCGTGAATAACACTAACCTAAGAGTGAAATTATCATTTTTTGACATAGAGTAGAAGGTAGACTATCACAATATCACTTTTTTTTTTATATTTTAATTTTTTTTCTCTATCTGCCACCTCCGCAGCGCCGCCCCCGGCAAAGTGCCGCCCGGTGCGGACCGCACCCCCCGCCCCCCCCCCCATGCTACGCCACTGAATATTATCAACATTTTTTCTAAGAATAGTAAAATCGCTCTCTATATTTATGTTAAATACACATGCTAAATTTGTTACTTTGTTTTTCATACTGTCAAATTGCCTGTTGGAATGAATTGAGGTTCCAGATTGATTGACTACTTTCGGTCATTGGCACTCGATGAGAATATTACAATGCATGGAGGTATAAAGGTTTTAGGAGTCGCACATAATAGTTATAGGCACTTTCATAGACATTTGTGCATCCTTTGGTTTATGCAAATCGGCAATTCCAACACTACAAGACATACTTAATGAGTATGGCTATCTCAATAAACTGTAGCAAGTGCAAACAGGAAGATATTTTTTGCGGTTAAAAATAATTGAACTTCTAAATAGGATAAGGATTATATGCACCCACGACCACACCCGCCCTCTCGGCACGCACTAGTCCTAACCGCGGTCCTAATAGTGCGTGTCGGGTGACTGTGCAGGAGTATTGCCTGGTTTTTAGTGGCCCTGTTCAGGGCGTAGATAGGGCCCTGTTCACTTCAGCGAGCTCCAGGATTGGCTGAAGGGGACAGGGAGGAGTCCCACATACTTTCTTCTCGCTCCCCCAGTGGTTGAAAGATGCGTAAGGCATTTCCCAGACACAAAAAAAAGGTACTTATGACTTTAAATTCTGCCATTACCGTGCTGAATCGCTTAAAGCTATTTCCATAAGCTTCGAAAGAATGGGCAGCACAAGTGGTCTACAAGAAGACGCATCTTAGGGAGCTTTTCCGGTTTGACGACCATTTTTATTTGGGCTACGTAATATATTTTTTATTATTTTAATATACCTTTTCACTCTCAAAACTAAGAAGAATCTAACTATACCTCCCAAGCCTAAATTAATTAAGCCGTTTAGGTCACAGAGCGTGCCAAAGAAATATAAATAAACTTATAATTATAAATTTTTAAGCATATAACTGCTTGATGTTTAAATCTAAAGAAAATATAACTAGAAAAAAACCCACGCGGACCAGGCAACAGACGGGACTCGAACCCGCACTCTTCGCTATCCGGGTGAATGCACTGACCAATTATGCTACTGCGGCCCTGATGGCCGATTGTGGGTTATAACACGTGTACAATTGTAATTCAAGTGCAATCGCGGCACCCAACGCGCGGATAGCTTACGCATGCATAATTCTTCAGTCAGTATATGGCAAATGCGTTCTTTTGATATGGCGATAGCCTCTTCTATCTCTCTAACCTTATTCCGACGGTCGTCCAGTACCATTTGGTGAACTTTTCCAATGATATTGCTGGTTGTCGCAGTTTTTGGTCGTCCCGAACGCTCATCGTCAGTCAAGCTGATACGGCAAAATTTTACGGTCGTAATGATGGTGCAGAGCCTCCGTAAACAGAGTCTAACTCATCTTTCAGTTGGCTAGGCGTATTGCCTTGCAAAAACAAATATTTAATGACAGCGCGACATTTCTCAACTTATATTGATAAATGCTAAAATCATCATGTTGAGTTCGGTAACTTTTCATACAAAAGTATACACAGTCAGGTCATAAGTATTGTCACACAGTAAAAACTTTTCTTATAGAATGCTGGCCACAAAAGTTTATTGAATTCGAATTTCGAATTGTTCATGAAAATAAAAATGTATACTTTTTAGAATTTTACTCATTTTTAAATATGATGCATCGTTGCGGTTACGCGCCTATTCAAATTTTTGACATACTGAAAAATTTGAATATAACCAAAAGATTCGTTTATCGTACCATCAAACGATACAATGAAGACTCTAGTGTAGATGACAGGTCAAGAAGTGGTCGCCCTCGGTCTGTTAGGACTCCAGCAGCGATAAAAGCTGTGAAGGCGCGAATTCAAAGAAATCCCCAAAGGTAAGCAGAAACTGTTGGCCCTTCAGATGGGGTTAAGCAGAACCACGGTGAAAAGGATGTTAAATGAAGACTTGGGCTTCGGGCATATCGAAGAAAAACAGGACATCGTTTGAATGCTCGTCTAATGGACCTGAGACTGAAGAGATGCCGCGCTTTGTTGAAGCGGTAAAAATATCAGGAAGTTCCTTTTTCGGATGAAAAAATTTTTACCGTAGAAGAGAGCTATAACAAACAAAATGATAAGGTGTACGCACACAGTAGTGAAGAAGCGAGCAACCGTATTCCGTGTGTCCAAAGAGGTCATTTTCCATCCTCGCTCATGGTATGGTTGGGAGTTTCTTATTGGGGCTTAACAGAGGAACATTTTTGTGAGAAAGGTGTAAAAACGAATGCAGTTGTGTATCAAAATACAGTCCTGACGAACCTTGTGGAACCTGTTTCTCATACTATGTTCATACAGGCACTGGGTATTCCAACAAGATTCGGAGCCAGCTCATAGAGCGAAGAGCACACAAGACTGGCTGGCGGCGCGTGAAATCGACTTCATCCGGCACGAAGACTGGCCCTCCTCCAGTCCAGATTTGAGTCCGTTAGATTACAAGATATGGCTACACTTGGAGGAAGAGGCGTGCTCAAAGCCCCATCCCAATTTGGAGTCACTCAAGACATCCTTGATTAAGGCAGCCGCTGATATTGACATGGAGTATATATATAATATATATATGTACCTATATACAGATGGAGCTAAAGAAGTTTCACTTCAGTCGTGTGGTAATAAGCACACTCGATTTTTTTTCGATCGTCCTCATTGCGTACTCAATCTCTCGGGAAATACCGAGCATGGCACGCTCCATTTTCCTCTGAGCGACTTGAATGGTGTGGACATGTTGCTTTGTCATAGTCCAGGTTTCGGCTCCATACGCCAGAACAGGTATAACACATTTACTGAACGCGCTACGTTTGAGGAAGTGTGGCATCTTACTTTTAAAGATGTCGAATAATTTGCTGAATGCTGCCCAACCCAGTCCAATACACAATTTAAAGTACAAGGTAACAAATAAAGCTATACATGATTTTGATAAAAGTGTTCTGATTTTATCATGACACTTATTGAATTCTTCCGGACAAAAGGAGTTGGTTTCTCGTGCTCATTAGGCCTGTAACACAGAAATAAAATCAGTGGGTAAGTATGTACTACATTTACCAGGCTATACAAAATCTTCCGAATAAGGAGAAACGAGGATGCTGTTGCATCTTCGGACATTCGTGTAAATGTGTTTGATAAGTACGGCGAAGGAGCGTCCCCCTGGCGAAGTTACGTGCATGGCCGCGCCGCTCCTATCTACTTTATTTAAATAAGAAAGGTAGGGCATAACGCTCCTTTTGGGGAGCAACCTTCACCTTATAAAAGACAATAGTAAAATAACACTACCTTTTGGTGGTGTTGTTTCTGTCTGTGAGTACGGACAGGCTTCAGGGCCCTTCAGGGCAGTGATAGGGTCTCAGATAGGGTAGGCAACGGTGCGAGTAATATTTTTGGTATAGCAAGCGTTTATAGACTATAGTGGGCCGATTATCATCAGGAGGGCCATACGTTTGTTTGCTCACAGCTGCTAAAGCTATAGGAGGGGCAGCTGGATGAACCCTATTAAAGAAATTATTTTGTTTCACAATTACATTTAACCATCGGGTAAAAAGAGGCGCTTCAAATATTTCGCACAAATGCGCTGCTGGGACTAGGTGCAGACCTGGTTACTTCTACCTTGAAGATTAGAAGTCCACAGTGAAACAACGGTCTATTCATACTATCGCAGAGTCGAAGCGCATCGAAGCGTCAGTCAGAAACGTAAAGCAAATTCACCCTAATCTCCGCAACATAATGCACTGCAAGAGGTCGAAAATGCACGTTGCGACCAATACTGATTATCAGCTCGGAAGTAATTATGTACACTATGTTGTGGAGATAACTGCGAATTTGATATATTATGTTATTCCGAATGATGACTCTGTGCAATAATAGTATGAATAGACTATAAAGCCGCCAATCGTCATACCATGTTGATCAAGCTTAACCCAACGTGAGCGTAGGCAAACTGATACAAGGCGTGTGCTACCACTAGACCTTGGGCAAGTATAGAGAAGACCAAGTTGCAAGTGTCTATATTTATAATATTACCCAAGCAGTCATTAATCTGTTACCAGTACAATATCTTTCACAATCTCCAGAGCATGCGGAGATTAATATTTCAGGTTTCTATTACCTTTAAGGTTTCTTTTTCAAGAACAAGATAAAATCTATCATTTATTTAGCTTAATTAAATTACTTAATATATTCTTTAGTGTATTGTAATCAGCAAACAAGACAAAAAAATAGCCACCTCTTAAGGACAAAAAAAAAGGAGTTACACAATAACAGACAAAATACTTTTAGCAATAAAATACCATTTTTATTATTATAAAAACAAATCAGATTTTACATTTGAACCACTATTAAAATATTACTGCACAATACGAAAATACATTGATGCATAACCCAGCAAATTACAAAATATAAAAAAAGCTTCGTGAGCTTATAATATTTCCAAGATAAGAAAACCTTACAACCAAGAAAGTCAATGGAACGGCATGTTACAGAAATAATAATATAAAAATATAATATAGATACTATGAATTTGACATCACTTAAGGCTCTTAAATAGTTTACAACAGCTAGTAAGTAGTTGTTACCAGTACGATACATTGTAGTCTAATTCATTATTTGCATTTATTAAAAACATAAAAAAAACAGTAGAGATTTTTGGAATAAATGCATAATGCACATTGTCTTCATGCTCCTAATTGTTAATTTATACCAGAACAATAACTTTTCTTCAATTCATTTTCAACCTTATCAAACACGTACAATATAAGATTCTCTTTAATTAAATGGAAATTAAGACATTTTTGGTAACAACCAGTGCTGTTTCTGCATGTAGTTTGGTAACACTGTTGTGTTATCTGAGGACCACCACAAAAAGAAAATAGTATTCAAACATTTGTATATGTTTCTATATTTTGCCTCTAATTCCAATGCAATTAGAAATAAGATCGAAATAAGCTAGCTTTCGCCTACCTATTGGTTTGACCGATATTGAATTATATTTTTAGTAAGCCATCATTGAGTGTTACTTGTCTCAAGATTTAAACCTGGTTAAGATGCTTCTCTTGTGCAAAGTGAATATTATTTTATGCCAGAATTAGATTCCGCATTCGCATAAAATCCAAATGGAATGTGTTGTAGAAGCCTATATCACTTTATAACATTGAAATAACTAAAATCATATAAATAGGTACTTATTTTAAATTAATATTAGTAATCTCATTTTCAAGTTTGCATTTCATCAATATATAGATGTTATGACGAGCAATTTATTTAATATTCATATTGAAAGCTTTCTCGAAAAGTTTACTTTCGGAGCTTTACAATTTTCAATAAATTTATATTTCATTTAGACAGAGCGATATAAATTTGTTATCAATAAAATCTGCGTCTATTACCAGATATACAAACACATCATACAAAAATTATGGCAATGTGACACTACAAAGTACCTAAATAAAGCTTTTTCCTTATTACTACCTAATTACTCAAATTTATGCTACAAGTGTAAAAATCTATTTATTTACAAAATAGGTGGAATCTTCGTTAAAACGCTCAAAATGCACACAACACTCTTTTTATGTACATAAATCTGTAATTATCATTTTAATGTAGACTTCATTATCATATAAAATGCTATTAATTATTGTTATTGATTTAATACTTACGAATTTATGTTACCTATTTAAAAGTAGGTTACAAACTGGGGCTACTCAAATTTTAACTATGCAATTTTTCCTCATAATTTCACAATAATTTCATTTTGACTCTGATTAACTATATGTAATACAAACTTACATTTATTATTTTGGTTTTTATATAAAAATATTTTGCTACGACCTAAATAATGCAAAGAGTTCTAATTTGACCACACGATTATCAATTTAAATTACTTTTTTTTAAATCATCTTTTTAAAACATCTTTACCTACTTGCTATTTATCCAGTTGGTAAAGTGGCGATCAAATTAAAACTAATACAACTTTACTTATATACACACACTGACTTTGGATGTTACGCCATTCTATCATTTACCTCATATAAAGACTTAAAATATTGTTAATTTTGCACAAGTCCCGGGAAAATGTAGATACCATTAATGTGTAGTATTCTGATATTTTATTTAACAGTGAAACCTTGGTGATTACCAAGTTTTGCTTTTATTATAAACGTTACTGTTGTGTTAGTTCGGAATTTATATTTTGAATTTTCATTATAAATATACCAATAATCAACATGCTATTAGACACTCGAGAGCTACTTAAAAGTTTTTTAACAGAGACGGAAAAAAGATTTTTGTTTCATCCACAACTACTAATTTCTAAAATTGAGAATAAAGGTAATATTAATTATAGTTATAGCAAATTGAAAATTTCCTACTTACAGCATAATTACATAAAATAATAAATAAGCATTTACATTCTAAACTATGGCAGTGGATTACTGATTGTTTAGACAGTCTTGCAGGAAATTAACACTAGGATACTTAAAATGTTACAATCAATGAATACATTACAGAATTTCTTAACTAATTGAGATTCATTGGAAATCTTGTACTATGTTTTTAAACTCTCGTCTCGGCGTCATCTTCAGTAGTAGATTTCCTGTGAAAATACATTATAAACTTAGTACCTTTATTTAAATTTCGTATAGTACAGAATCCAATAAAAATGTATATGAAAGAAACGCCATCTGGTGCACGAACTAGCATACTAACTCACCATCGTGAAAAAGTCTAATATAACTATTTTTGAGCAAATAAATATAAATAAATATTCGTATCTAGGAATATGTCTTGACTTATTTAAGATTGCAACATATTTAAGACTAGTGGTTGCCCACGATTTATTCCGTGAAGAAATATTACTTTCCCAAAAAAACTTAGTGCATCCGCTTTACCCCTCTAGGGGGTGAGTATTATCATCATCATCATCAGCCTATTAATGTGTATTAATGTCCCCACTGCTGTGGCACAGGCCTTCATAGGGAAATTGGGCAATGACCCACCACGCGGGCCCAGTGCGGATCGGCGGGTGCTAACAACTGCAGATACAGCCAGGGCCAACGACTTAACGTGCCTTCCGAATAGCTATATGTGTGCCAAATTTCAGCGCAATTTGTTTAGTGTTTTGAGCTGTGCGTTAATAGAACGGTATGTCGGTAACAGTTGCTTTCATATATTTATACAGATTAAACTAATTCCATACATGTACTAGTAAATTCTTAAATAGAATTCTAACCAACAACAGGGATAACGACAATACGTATTGAGGATGACTGAGTACTGTACAAGGCTGTGATATGACGTCATTGCACGTGATTTGCGATAAAAAGTGTGAATAATATAGGTAAATGTATTTACATACATCGCTTCACTGCGGTTTATCAGACAGTAGAAGTCTCGCTATACAAAAGTATGCATAAGTAATCGATTTAATATTAAATCCCTTTTGAAAAAAATTAACGAATATTTTTACTGTAAAATATGAATTGGACCCATCGCCAAGTAAACAACAGAAATGTTAAGGAACACTTTGCGTTGACTTATTTAATTGTTTGAAAAAAAACATATAATCGTCTAACAAGAACAGTAAGTATGCAAATATAGTGAGAGTGCTTTATTTTTAGAATGTAGGTAGGTATTTGATTTGTACTTTTAAAGAGTGGCTTATCACTTCACTGTCCAAAGTTACAATCAACAATAGGGCAAGTTATCCATAACTATCAATCACAATTGCTCTCCGGGACTAATGTATTATTTTTGGGCGTTTTCTCTCAAGTTTCATACATTTGATGTCGATATTTGAACGACATTGTAAAAAGTTGCAGCCGTAGTTCTGAGGCGACCCTTGTTGTCTATTGTACCTAAAATGCTAACACTTCATGTGTATTCGTATTAAGTATTAATAAACTTCACAGCAGAATATCCTTACAGTGCTCTGTAGGGAACATAGAGGTTAGAGAGAAGGAGAACGATCGCTACGTACTAAAGCATTAGCTCGCCTGGCCCTGAAAATTTGTAGAATTTATAGTTCATTTTTCAGCCACCAGCCGCGCTGCCGTCGGTAAGTAGTATGAGTACAAGTAGATGAAGTTAGTTAAATATTGCACATTGGTCATTTCAAATTAGCCCGCACTTTTTGAGACAACTTAGCGATCGCAGCGCCTCACTTAACTTGTCCATATTTCTGGGACAGTGTTTTCTACAGCGATCGTTGTCCTTCTCTCTAACCTCCATGGTAGGGAATGAAAAAGAGAGACTCTTGCAAAGTTTATAATGTCAAATAGGAGGAGACCTCTACGCACTATTCATCTTGCTGTTTCCAGCATGCGGGACAGCACTATACACGTAAAAGAGATAGAGATACAGGATCTCTTTTACGCGTATATCGCCCGCATGCTGGATCTAGCAAAATGAATAGTGAGTAAAGGACGATAATGTTATGATTTGTGAAAAAAAGGGCGGTACATGCAATTTTACCTCGTCTCTAAGATGGTTGAAGGTGACATTGCGCGCGGCCACACCACCAGTTAGCAAAGCAAAAGATGATTACAATGAGTGTTTCTCATACAACCGCCACCATCTACCGACAATTTTTCATTATGGATGGATGCCGATGGATATCGAATATTTCGGTATATAAGGTACTACCGGCCGACAAGGCCCACAGTTTTGCAGGGCCCAAGCGCAGAAACCCATTTAAATCGCGCCAGCTTCATAGTGTGTATGAAACAGACCAATAGGAACGCAGAAACGTACCGGCGTGCATCGCGCGACCGCCATCTTGCCATCGACGCCCGTTGTTTGCCGACTTCGGTTAGGTTGAAGCTAATTTTTGCTCCCACAAAACGTAAGTTGTTACTTTTTTATACTTCGATTTATAAGTAGATTTTTGTTAAGTGCGTTTATTTCATCATTATTCTTTTGATATTTTGTTATGTGCTGTAACGTAATATTTTTGTGCTATTTTGTATGTTATATATTTTTCTTTCTAAAATGATCAATTTGTGTTGCAAAGGCCCACGTCGTTTAAGAAGGCCCAACAAAGTTGTTCCTGGGGCTTTAAAAGACTCCGCAGGGCCTTTCAACATGCTGCAGTCTAAAGGCCTCCTTAGAGTTTTCACGGGTTAATGCACGAAACTTTATTTATTTATTGACGTTTCGCAGCCTTTTCAGGTCTGCATCCTCAGAATAATGATTTTTTATTTAAAATTGTCGAGCTACCTTCGAAAGACTTATATTGATTCTTTCGAATGTAGCTTGACAATTTTAAATAAAAAATCATTATTCTGACGATGCAGACCTGAAAAGGCTGCGAAACGTCAATAAATAAATAAAGTTTCGTGCATTAACCCGTGAAAACTAGTTTTATTTAATGAGTGATGTGCGTGAAAACCTATGAAACAAATAAGTCCTTAGAGTTTTATAAAATAAGTGATACATTTTTTTTACTGATGTACGCAAGTGCTTATAAGTACACGCTATTTCTAAAATATTACTTTCAATAACAACCCTACTTCCTAGTTATCCTACTAAGCACTTAATATAAATAATATTAATTTGAAAGTTAGTGTTCGTTACACAATCACACAAAAACTACTGAATGGATTTGGATGAAATTTAGTACGCATATAGTTTATGACCTGAACTGAAACTGAGACAAAGGATACTTTTTATCCCGGAAAATGTTAGGTTCCTGTTTAATTCTCAAAAAACTAAAGTTAATGCGGATGAAGTCGCGGGCGGCTACTTGTAATATTATAAAAGCGAAAGTGCATCTGTCTATCTGTCTCTTACAACTTCACGATTAAACCGCTAAACGAATTTAGATGAAATATTGTATATGTAGATACAATTTGATAAGGCCCAATGTATAAAAAATATAAATAAAAAACCTTGACAATAATGACTTGATTCTAGCACGGTTAACAATTATTTTAAGTAAAATCCTAACATTTATCCACTAAAGAACTAAAAATTGGACTGGACTGTTATCTTACACAGTGGAAATGTGTATTTTTCCAATAGAATATTGATATTTTTCGCTTCTGCTTGCTATTGTCGTGTACATGAATATAACAATCTTCATATTTCATACACCTTTGACGAGTTTAATGCTTATCTCTCCGTTAAACGACTTAAAACGGCACGGGCATACCCTGTTTAGTAAAGCCCAAAATTGAGGTTTTTAGAAATAAAAAAAACAAGTTATTGTCGCTATAAAATTTAAAAACTACATATAATTGGATTAAGAGATAATCGTAGCTTTAATTTTGGGCCCTTTTTCCCTTAAGGGTGGTAAAATTAAGGTTTTATTTCAATTTGTAAAACTGTTGGCCTTGTCACCCGGCAGTACCTTAGAAAGCGTTTGGACGTGCAAAGACACGTATTTTTTTACAGTAAAATATTGTATAACAAATTGTGTTACTGTTTAATCAGTTGATAGGAAAGATAATAATAAAAGAGTTTGATATTATCGTGTCATTACATATTTTTATATTAAACTCAAAGCGAAATGTAACCTAACCGGTTAACCCTATTCTTGAATGCATATCAATCAATCAATCAATCAATCAATCAATCATTTATTCAGTTTAGGCTGTTACAAGCACATATGAATGTCTAGAAGCTACGCCATCGGTTCGTAAATCTACGGCGGGAGACCTTGTACTGAGAAGAACCGGCAAGAAACTCAGCAAGGGCTGTTTTTTTCTCCCTGTTTTATCATTTACAGAGTCGTCAAGTTGAAAAATGACTTCAGAGATGATTCATGAAGTCACCCTTCATTACATAATGTGAAATTATACATTAATTGTACACCTGCATTTTGATTGCTGTGTCACACAGTATAAATACAAACAGAGTTATTTATAATAGGTGTAATTAAACATTTATATCTTAAATATCAAAGTAGTTAGGGCAGACTCATCTCCGCTGGCAGCACCCGTTCACGAGCATGACGCATGAACCAGCCATCGCTTCGCTCAACCATATTTTAGGGAACGTAACGACCCGCCTCACACGACACCACCGAAGAGACTTTTAAGAGAGCATGATACCCATGATGATGCATACCCATTTAATGAACATTTAAAGTTGTGTTGGTGGACCTAATTACACATTAAAGTACCTTTGTACTTTTGTACTGATATACTGGTCTCAAAAGTCAAAGCCACACGCATTATGATTAAATAAAAATAATAACGTCCAAATACAGGGCCGGATTTAGAGGTCCAAAGGCCTCGGGGCAACAGAGGAGCGGAGGCCCCCTCACCCCAAATTATTTTCCAAATAAAGTAAAAAATTTTTTTTCAGTCGAGGTTTTCAATAAATAATTTATTGTGAACCAAGTAGATTCCCTAAGTATTGAACAAACACATATAAATTTAAACGGAAACAAGAATTATCTGAAATTAAATCTTAGAGTTAACGAACGGAACCTTTCGAGCTTTTTTCGCCGAAAAATCGTTGATGATTTCGATTTTTTTTCCGAAGTCTCTATTGTGGGGGCCCCCCGTTTGTGGAGGCCCCGGGGCTTTCGCCTCGGTTGCCCTCCCCTAAATCCGGCAGTGTCCAAATATTTTTTACACTTGATAGTCTACACACAGCCTGTATCGCGCGCGTTACTCTATACTTACTTTATGCGCGTCTATTTCAGGTACATCATTTGATGGAAAATTATATTATTTACATAAATATAGAAGTATGTACGCGATAGAGATTTGAAATCACATTAGAAATATAATCATTAGGAAAGGAATCGGTTACATTTGCTTCGAGTAAATAGACAATTTTAAAGGATAAAGTAAAGAAAAATAAAATAATTGCCCATGCAAATTAGAATAGATTTGTGTACTCACTCGCTGGTTTCACCCATACTTGCTAGTGGCGCCCCCATCTGTTGCGGAGGTTCACCTAAACGAATGTAAAATTAAAAGGTATGAATGAGGGGCTGATTATTTTTATTTCAAGTGTTCTGTTAGTTCGGATCGATAATTTTAACTATGACAACGAGTAGGCAATGAGGTCAGTGAAATTTATTACGAGAAAATAAAATATTTTCAGCAATAACCTAACCTCGTTACAAAGCGAAGCGAGAGCAAAGAGAAATAGATAATTCGCGTCATTTTATTTTTGAAGTGAAAACTTCTTTAGCGGCGTTGTACACTTTTTTTGTATGGGTAAAAAATGTTAAACTCGCGTCAGGACTGAGCTGATCGTATCATGACACGTGCCTTGATTGGGGATCTGTCGAAAACAATAAAATTGGAAAGGTTGTTGACTTTCAATATATTGGACGAAACATAGTAATATTTTATTTTACCGTATTATAATAATAAGTCTCATAGTCTAGGACGTCCAGGTGGCAGCTTTATTGCGAAGAAAATGCATTTTTTTTACTATAGATGTCGCTAGGTGCGCTTAAATGTGATTCATGTAAGTTGATTTTCTGAGAGATAAACTTTTTTAATGTAATATAAATTGTCATGTTTGTGTACGATAGCGCAATAAATAAATATTGTATTCTACCACATAAATGATAGTACTTTTATACTGATAATTAAAGCATTTCGTGCAAAATTATTCCCTAACCATTCCAAAATATCAAAAATGCACAACGTTAGTATTCAAGTTTTCACTTTTTTTAAAAGTAAGCTAAATATATAACTAAGTACTAAGAAAAACAAAACAATTTTATTGACTTTAATACTCCTCCAACCTCGTAAGGGAAATGGCTTGACTCATGTACGTATGTAAGCGAGTGTGTGTGTGTAGTATTTTAAAGTGAACTGTTAACCCCCAGCGGTTTATCCTCATTTACCCCCATGGGTGGGATTGTACCTTGCTTGTACCTCTGTAAACCCCACAGAGGTACAAGCGATTTCCCTTATATGTATTGGGAAGCATTAAAATTAAATGTGTGTGATCGAAAGAGGTAGTATTTCTTTGGCTTAAGTTATGTTCCACCTTAAAACAATGTGACAGCTTGCCAGCATATTTTGACACACTTATATCTAGAAGACCGAGTCTGCATTGGTAAATCCTGTAATTCTTATGCTTCTAGAAAACTACAAAAACATTATGCGTGACTTTCTATTTCTACTCTATCGTAAAATGTATAAGACACAAAATTGTCAGCGTGTTACCTGCGTGAACGTTATGCACTTGCGGTGACTGACGTCAGCCAGTATTAAAATTAAGGTGTGCCGAGCTTGTGTAAGCGAGAAAGGATTTTTTTTGGAAACAATATAAAAAAACAACCTCTCCATTGACCGACTGCTACAATCTCCGTGACCGAGTCTGCAGCGGCGAAGCCTTGTGATTCTTTCGCTTCTAGAAAACTTCTACATTATTATTGGTAACCTGATAATTTCTACTCTATTATTAAGATTATAAGGCATAATGTAGCATGTTACCTGCGTGCACGTTATGCAGTTGCGGTGACTGGCATGAGCCAGTATTAAAATGGAGGTGTGCCGAGTAATGTGATCGAGAGAGGTATATTGAGCTCTAGTTATTACTTAGAAACGTGCCAATTTTCCAGCCTATCTTCATTGACAGACCTTTACTAACTGTACGGTCACACGCATACTCAAGTTTGCAGCGGCGAAATCTGTTATTCTTTGGGTTCTAGAAATTATACGTAAATTCCAACTTTGACCAAGTTTCTTCTTTTAAGAGCCCTTTTACAAAATTGCGCCATTCCCGTACTGATCGGCGCGTAGGTAGATCTACACTAATATATATTGTATTTTACGGGTGATGTTTTGAGTCTTATAAAATAATTAATAATGAACTAATTATAAAAATGTAAAGGTACATATTTCAGTAGTTCAATGATGGTAGATTAGTTTTATGGAAGTTCTTGATAGTAATTCTATTTAATTCAATATCAAAATACGAGGTAAACCTGCATTATTTTTTGGGAAAACTCACGGAGGTTAGATGTTTTTTTTTGATAATTAATGAGATGGAAAAACAAAATTCTAATACATTATTTTACAACAAAAACATATTTCTGATGTTGTAGTAATAAATTTGATCTAATTTATTGAACATTATTGAGAGATTGAGGCGTTTGAAGTTGTGCATATTATCGTTTTTTCCGTAAACTAGCAGCAGGAGAACGATCAGTACAAAAAAAAGGGAAAATAGTATTTGCAAATTTCTACATTAACTTACAATAGGAAGAATAAATCTACTGTTAACTTCTTTTGGAAATAGGTAGTCAAAATCTTTTTTAAGGGGGTAAACGAGGCGCTCAAAAATTACGATTTTTTGCAAAAAATGTGAAAGGGCTCTGAAAAATTTTTACTCTCTAATCGCACAAAATAGTCAGCGTGTTACCTGCGTGCGCGTTTTGCACTAGCGGTGACTGGCTGACTGCGCGCAAGCTCGTGTGGTCTTCCTCGGCTACACCAAGCAAAGTAAACGGTCATAAGCGTATATAAAGCCGGGTACTCATTAGCGAGCTGTAACCGTAACATGCGTGATACGGTACAAGGTTCTAGTGTGTACGCTTGTAGCTCAGTTGTAAACATCGGCTCACTGCAAACCGCACGCGTACCGCTCGCAGCAGGCTAGCAAACCACGTACATACTATGCTTTTTGGTTACAGTGCATGCAACGGTTACGGTTACAGCTCGCTAATGAGTACTCGGCTTAAAGTATCGTACAGGGGGCGTTATACAGGGTGGTCAAATTCAGAATTAACATTGGTTTAAACCAAGCTTAAAGAAGTATCTTTTTAAGTTTGTGGTCAAATTCAGTATTAACGAGCTTAAATCGCACGTTCATCAGTGCAATAAAGTGTGAATAGGATTTTTTTGCTCTCACAAATTATGTCAAACGATAAGTATTTTTTTGTTGATTTACAGACCAACTAATATTTAGCATCTAGACTATTGTCTAAAATTTATTTATAGAAAGAAAATTCAATGATAAATGCGCTTTATGAAAAATTTGAACTAAAAAGATTTATATTGCTCTCCTCAAAAAATACAATTTCACTTCCGTAATTTTTGCATCGTATGTGCGAAAAACCCCTATTTCTACTTCTAGTACTTGAGCATAGATCTCATTTCTCACATATATTATCGAGATTTCGCATTGTTGGTACAAACTTATTACAATTAAAATTAATTGAATCTATAAAATGTTTTATTTTATTTTATTTAAGCATCTGAAGTTGACCAACTCCTTGATTTAGCAAAGCTGCAGAGGATTAATTAAACAAACAACAAAAGAAAACACAAATGAGATTCATAATTGCAGCAAAAAGTTATAACTAAAACGTAAAATCAACAAAATTTAAAAACTTAATTTCACTCATTTACACACAGACTACTATATTATTAGGCATTACGTACCTGTATACGGGAACAGGTATTTATCATGTGGGTGATGTTTATCGGAACCGTCCGATATCCGTTCGTTGTAATCAGGGCCGTAATGGCTCTCCATCTTTCTCTGGTAAGCGTTTTTCAACATAGTTGCAATACCAGAATCCCTGAAATCTCTAGGCGGGTAACCGTCATGTTCTCTCGTGGAAACCCCCGAATCTCTGAAGTCTCTAGACCCGTATACATTGGTGTCATTATTTAGGTATTTAGTCGGGCTGTAGCCGTAATCTGAAGTTCTTGACGACAAGTAAGTCTTGGAGCCGTAGGGGTTGCCTGGTAGTCTGTACATAGTCGGAGACATGGGGTAGTTGGGGTCGTACGGCATTTGTTTTTCTGTGTCGTTGGGTAAGACGCCGTACATTAGCTCGTCCTCCATAACTCCATATCTAGTTAGAAAAGATGAGCTTAAAGTTGATACAGAAAAAGCAGCAGATTACTATAACACTCGTATCAGACACTGATTTAAATAAGTCGTTATAATTATATTTTTTAAGCATGTAACTGCTCGATGTTTAAATCTAAAGAAAATATAACTAGAAAAATAATGCCTTGCAAGAATAAAAGAAAGCTACAAAGAATTCGACACGGCCGTCAGGCCCGCGCGGTAGCATTATGGTCAGTGCATTGAGCAGTTACATGCTTAAAAAAAAAAAATATAATGACTTATTTAAATCAGTGTCTGATACAAGTGTCATAGTAAGTTTTCAAGTTATCTTCTGATTTTCAAGTTATACTCACGACTAGCGCCGCGTGGACATTAAAATTCAAAAATTTACTAGGAAACGTTTAAAGGGGTTGAAAATTCTTGAAAATATGGCAATGGAAAGAAGTCTGTTCTTTTAAGAAATAAACCTAGTGCCACATTTCTTGCACATTCCTTCAGCCGTTTTCACGTGATTGAGTAACATAGATACATATTCAAACTATTTAGGATGACTCACAATAAAATATTGTTAAAGATAAAGAAGTGAAGATAGAAAAACTTAAGGTTGGCCTATATCCATCGTTGAATCTCTGTACAAAATATCCTTACTCTATGGTACTACACTTAACTATTATCCAAGGGCAGTCTAGACGCTTCGAAGTTAGCTACATATGTTCCATAAACGTTCTACTATATCGAAAGCTTCATCCGGTATCGGGTCAGATATACGTCATAAGTTTGGTCCGGGTTGGGAAGCGGGTCTATGGTTGAACCTCTATATGAAATGTCCTTACTCTATGCTACTACACTTACCTATTATCCAAGGGTAGTCTGGAAGCTTCCACACAAGCTACGTAATTGTCGTGAACGTTCACCAATATAAAAGGCTTCATCCGGTGTCGGGCCAGATATACGTCATAAGTCTATGGTTGAACCTCTATATGAAATGTCTTTACTCTATGGTACTACACTTACCTATTATCCAAGGGTAGTCTGGAAGCTTCCACACTAGCTACGTAAGTGTCGTGAACGTTCTCAAACATCGAAGACTTCATCCAGTGTTGGGCCAGATAAACGTCGGAAGTTAGGTCCGGGTTGGGAAGCAGGTCTATGGTTAAAACTATAAGAAATGTCCTTACTCTATGCTACTACATTTACCTATTATCCAAGGGTAGTCTGGAAGCTTCAGTCTGGAAGCTTCCACACTAGCTACGTAAGTGTCGTGAACGTTCTCAAACATCGAAGGTTTCATCCAGTGTTGGGCCAGATATACGTCAGAAGTTAGGTCCGGGTTGGGAAGCATGTCTATGGTTGAACCTCTATATGAAATGTCCTTACTCTATGGTACTACACTTACCTATTATCCAAGGGTAATCTGGAAGCTTCCACACTAGCTACGTAAGTGTCGTGAACGTTCTCCAATATCGAAGGCTTCATCCGATGTCGGGCGAGATATACGTCAGAAGTTAGGTCTGGGTTTGGCAAAGGGTTGGGTGAAGGAGATGCCATGCCGGCGTTTAACACCTCGCTGTCCGAACCGGTCTCTTGAGACCAACGACCCATGTCAGGCCGGTTCGATTCTGTATTATGTAATTTGTGTTAAAATATAATAATTGTACATTTCTATTCAGAAAAAGCCACATTAGGTTCAATAGAAAATTTAGATACATACTAATTAAATGAAGATATTTAACTTTGCCTGAAGCTTAAATCCTAACAATTAATAGAAATGCTAAAGTGAGTTTGTTTGTTTGTTTGTTACGCTTTCACGCAATAGCTACTGAACGTATTTTAATGAAATTTGGTACGCATATAATTTTTAAACTGGACAAATGTTAGGTTCCTGTATTATATAGTTATATTATATTTACAGCTAACGAGGAGGAAGTCGCTGGCGGTCGCTAGTAAATAATGAAAAGCTTTTTTCCAATTAGAAAGTTAATGATAACTTTTTTGAATAGTCCTATGATTTTGTTTCTATCACGAATTCGCCATACTGTCGTTCTATATACGGCTGTCTGAATCGGCATCTTGGGACCAACGACTTCATTATGGCCAGTTCTACTCTGTATCATATAACTTGTGTTTAAGTTAAAATATAATAAAAAGCTTTTGTTCCAATTGGAGGTATATGACATTTTTCTGAAATAACTATTTTTTTTCTTATTATTAGTTTAGGACTTATTTTAGCTCTGTAAAAGAACTGTACCCTTAGCACGAACCAATATTGAATTCGAATAGTGATTCGATCTCGATACGCATCAAAAAGTTTTTGTATAGAAGATTTTTAATTCTCGTCCGTTGTGGCGATGTTCAAATATCCATACAAAACCTCTTGACATTTAACGCGTATCGAGATCAAATTCGAATAGTTGGTGAGTGCGAAATGTCATTGTCAAATTTTTACTGATTTTTAGTTCACGTTACGTCTGTTATGATGCTGCTGTTAAAGTTTCCATAAAAAAATAGACAATGATATTTCGGACTCGCAAACTATTCGAATTCGATATTGGTTCGTGCTAAAGGTACAACAGTTCTTTTACACAGCTAAAATAAGAGCTGGTGAAAGAAACGCTACAACATTAAATAAATAGTAACAACACTTACAAAACGCTACGCAGTTACATCGGAAATATAAGTTTTAAATTGCGTATTTAAAAAGAGAGTTAAACATACTGTAGGCGACGCATTTATGAGTATGTGCTTTATATTAATAGGTTATGAAAAGAAAATATAATAAATAAATATTGATTGAAAACTTTAAAAAAATCTTTAAAATACCTACATTGTGTGTAATTTAAGTCTTTGTCTACAACTAACGCCATCTGTTGTGCTAGACGGGAACTAAATTAACTTTTTTATTGAAGGTGTTTTTGAATATTTTTGTAAATTTTATAAGGTTACTAGCTGTCCCAGCGAACTTCGTACCGCTATAAAAAATAGGGGTTGGTAGTAATAAAACACGCCGGGAGGTTGTTCAAAGACTAAACTTTTTATTTTCTTAATACAGAGACAATAGACAATTATCAAGAGATGCTAATAGTTGACAACAGATGGCATTATTAGTATATATAAGAAAGAATATTATTTTGATAGTAATTTTAACATCTCCACTTATCAAAATAATCTAAACCCTATGTAACAATAAAAAAAAATACAGTCACAAACAATTCAGTGCATACTTAAAATATTGTTTTTTTTTTTTTTTTTTTTTTGCACAGGTACTAATAAGCATAATTGAAAAACTGAAAATTGAAATTGAAAGTTTGTTTATTTATATATATATATATATATATATATATATATATATATATATCCAGATCACACAATAATATGCATACCTAGCTTCTTAACAAAATTGTTATGTTTGACACTACTCAAGCCTTTTGTCAGCAGGTCTGCAGGCATTTCAGATGTTGGCAGATAAACTATCTTTACATGTTTTTTAGCGACTGCTTCTCTCACAAAATGATGACGCACATCAATGTGTTTGGTTCTTTTATGGAACAATGGATTCTCTGTCAACTTCTGAGCCCCCTGATTATCATTAAACAAAGTTATTGTATAGTTACAAAAATCAACAATCTCATTCAACAAGTTTCTCAAATATATAGCCTCTTTACAAGCTTCTGTTATCGCCATATATTCGGCCTCTGTACTGGACAAGGCTACTGTCTGTTGTTTCTTACATTCGTAGGAGATAACAGATCCTGAGAACTTAAAGTAAAAACCTGTATAAGATTTCCTATCTAAAGTATTTGAGGCCCAGTCGGCATCAACAAAACCTTCTAAGTTACAATCATCTTTACTAAACATTAGCCCATAAGATTTAGTTTTACTTAAATATTTTAAAATTCGCTTTGCATGCCTCCAATGCGTGAGTGCATAACAATTATTAAATTGACTCAAAAAACTTACACTATATGAAATGTCTGGGCGAGTTAAAACACTTAAGTACATCAAGCTTCCTAATAATTGTTGGTAAGGATATTGTTTGCAAACTTCAACACCTTTTTCTAGCTTTAAATTGCTCTCAATGGGAGTATCAACACTATTACAATTTGTCATATTAAATTTACTTAAAATATGATCTACAAAATGTTTTTGATCTAAAGAAATACAACCATTCTCATACACTTTTATTCTTATGCCTAAACATTGTTTTAACTGCCCTAAATCTTTAATTTTAAATTTTTGCATTAGTTCAATTTTAATCTCACTTACCATGTCATCACAATTAGAAAAAATGAAAAAATCATCTACGAAAATTGCTATAATAATCAGGTCCTTTTTACACCTTTTTACATATAAACATGGTTCTAATTTTGACTTGACAAAGTTGGATTTTATCAAACAATCATTTGCTTTTATATTCCAAGCCCTGGCTGATTGTTTTAGACCATAAATTGCTCGTTTTAACTTAAGTACAAAATTTTTGTCACAATTTAAGTTAGGAGGAGCTTGCATGTATACATTTTCGTTCAGGTCCCCATTTAGGAAAGCTGTAGTGACATCCAAATGAGTTATTTTTAAGTTAAGTTTTACACTTAAAGCAAATAAAAGTCTTAATGTAGAGTAACGTAGCACTGGTGAGTATGTCTCTGTATAATCCACACCTTCTTTTTGCGTAAAGCCTTTCGCGACCAGTCTAGCCCTATAACGCACTTTATTATCACTTTCGAGTTTTTTCTTAAAAACCCACTTACACTGCACTACTCTATCAGCTTCTTTTCTGTCAACGAATTCCCATGCTTTATTATCTTCAAAAGCCTTTAGTTCTTCTGTCATCGCCTGTTCCCATAGTTCCTTCTCTGGTCCATTCATTGCTGTTCCATAGCGCAGAGATTGGAATAGCCGAATCTTTCTACTGGCTTTCTCTTGCGCTTACCAAGCTCCTCTGAGTTTTGAGCATTTTCTTCTAAAATAGATTCTAAGGTTGACTCATTATCACTTTCATACACAGATTGATATGAATCTTCGTGGGAACTTGATGAGTTATAGATATATGTAGGATCATTAGCATCTATCGCTGAATTTTCTGACACACTTCCCTCTTTCTCTGAGTTTTCAACTTTCTTTAACATTTCTTCTTTATTTTCTGATGTTTTTTCTTCACTATTTACTACTACCTGAGCTGTGTCAGAGTATTCTTTCTCTATTATAATGACATCCCTGCTCGTAGTTATCTTCCTAGTTTTGGGGTTATATATTCTGTAACCTTTCACGTTATCAGGATAACCAACTAGGATTAATTTGTCAGCTTTCTTATCCCATTTTTGTCTTTGCACTTTGGGTACATGCACCATTACTTTACTCCCGAATATTCTGACATGGCTCAAGTCTGGCTTCCTGCCTGTCCACTTCTCGAATGGTGTCATCATGCCTAAGCTGGCAGCTGGCGTTCTGTTCATGAGATATACTGCAGTGTTTACTGCTTCACCCCAAAAACTTTTCTCGAGATCTGATTCAAACAATAAACATCTAGCCCGTTCAACTACAGTTCTGTTGAACCTTTCTGAGAGTCCATTCTGTTGTGGAGTGTGAGGATTGGTCTTCTGATGGATGATTCCTGTTTGTTTTAAGAAATGTTCCATCTGTTGTGAACAAAACTCACCCCCATTGTCAGTTCTCAATACTTTTATCTTGTTTCCCGTTTGATTTTCCACCAAAACTCGAAATTCTTTTGAAATGCTGGAATACCTGGTTCTTCTCCTTTAAGAAATAGACATAAGTCATTCTGCTGGCATCATCTATGAACAGAAGAAAGTACTTTGCTTGACCAATCGATTTGGTCTCCATCGGCCCGCATAAATCTGAGTGTATCACTTCCAGTATTATATCACTTCTATGATTAGCAGATGGGAAAGGAAAACGTGTCTGTTTTCCCTCACAGCACACTTCACAGTTCTGTATTCGAATGTCAGCTTTCTTGTCAAAAGTAACCCCTTCCACGGCACCTTCTTTCATCTTTTCTAGAGACTTGCTGTTTACATGTCCTAGCCTTCTATGCCACATTGTCATGGCCGATAATGCGCTCTCTAGTCTTTGTATTTGTAGCTTGTACACACCATTTGTTAAGTTTGCAACTCCTATTAGCTCATTTACTTGGTTATATATCAAACAGACTTTCTTCTTGAAAGTTACTCTGTTGCCATTAGCTATTAACTGGCTGACTGATAGTAAGTTTGTTGTGAGCTTCGGTATGTACAAAACATTCTTCACAATGACATCATGCCGAGATCCATTTACATTCGTCGTTATCTGTGTTTCACCAACACTTACAACAGGTACAGTCATTTGATTTGCGACTACTATTTCTTTGTATACATGCACGGGTCTATTTAGCAGTAAACAATCTCGATTTGCCGTCATGTGTGCGCTTGCACCCGAATCGACGTACCAGTCTTCTGTACTAAAATGTCCGTTGAAAAATGCAGCACTAAAAGCATTTAAAGTCCTCTTTGTTTTTAGTTCTGGACATTTGTTCTTAAAATGGCCTATTTTCTTGCAATTGTAGCATTTTATTTCTTTACTGCAGTTTTTATTTGCATTTGCACTGTCACTATTTGACTTTGACGTTTGCGATTTGACACCGCGGTTAGTGTCAGTGTTGCCAACTCGGATTTTGAAAAAGGCGTAGGCCCGATGAGAGAATTACGTAGAATTAGTAAATTTTGGATATGAAAATTACGTAGATCTACGTACTTTTTTCTGAGTGAAATGAAGAAGTTAGGTGAAACCGAATAAAATGAGTATTTTGTTATACAATTTGTTTAAGAACGAAGAGTTCTTGGAGAAGTCGCTGCATTGGAAGCATTTACCATGCTGTGGTAGACATTTACCATCAGACACAGACACTGGTGGGTGTCGATTCTGGATGGTTCTCTTAATTTTAAACTAAATTTAACATCAGTCTCTCCTTTTCATTCTGTATAGAGAATGACAAGGATAAACTGTTGTTAAATGGGCTAGTTGACACTTTTTGGAATTGAATTTTAAAAGTGTTAATAATCGTTCTATCAGATCGAAAAAAAATGTATTATACAAAAACGCTATTTAGTCTATAGACTTATCTATGCTATGACGTCAAAACATTTGTAAACAAACACTCGCAGGCACGTAGGAAATAAACTTTATAAGTTAATATTATAAAACCATGATTTCTAATAGATCACATGAAAAATATAGTAGTTATCATGATACACTTGGTAAAAGACTAGAAAAGTTGTGGTTTAAAATGCCAAGAGAAATAAACATACTTACACATGAACATATGTTTAAAACTTGCTAAATCTTGTAACTTCATCGACTGAAAGTCATTTCTTTTTGCAAAGATCAATTGGATGTGAGTAGGTACAATTTTTAATGTTATGAATGTACCTACTAAGTCAAAGAGTTTTGTCGTTTCTGCTTTCACAAATCCTGCGTCCAGCATTAATTTAGTCAACAAAACCAATAACGGGAACCGTTTCTACAAGATACGAGAGTGTAAGATACATCTTTATAAGAAATAAACATTTGTATAGTTTTTAAGTAAAGTAACGGAAAATATTGTTTTTTATTCTAGTGCATTAAGTTATTTTACAAATTAGAAAAAAATTAAGAAAATACGTAGATTCTGAGACTGAAGTTAGTAGGTTTCCGGAAGAGGCCTAAAATACGTAGATCTACGTAAAAAGACGTAGAGTTGGCAACACTGGTTAGTGTTGCCACTTTTCCACCGCTGTTGTTTTGACCAAAATGCAGAGTCCGTTACAGTAGTGCCAACCTCCTCACACATGTCGAGTAACTTTGTCTTAATGACGTCAGCGCTAATGGCGATGCCAGAATGTTCGATCGCCATTATCATAGGTGAAAACTTATCTGGAAGTCCCGCCAACAGCAACGATCCGATCCACTCATCTGTGATTTCGAAACCTGTCCCCTTCAATTTTTGCGCTGTTTCAACTACTTGAGACACGTAGGTTGTCATGGAATCGCAGTTTTCAAGGCGGATTGAAATTAACGTTCGAAGCAAACTGATTTTTCGTTGATATCCTGTGTCATCGAACAATTGTTTCAATTTATTCCATACACCACTCACTGTAGTCTCACTCTTGATATGCGCGTATAATGAAGAATCAATAGTCATCACGAGTTTGGCTTTGGCTTTCTTCATCTCAGCTCCACTTATTTCCGCTGGTAGGTTCTCCAAGTCAATTCCCTCGAGTAGCAAAAAATTGCTTGTCGCGAACGCCCAATCGTCGTAGTTTTCGCGACCTTTGAGCTTTGGCACATTGACTAGGTAGCCCGACGTCGACATTTTTTACTTTTCTGACACAATTTAACTGTTTTATCGCGAATTAATTAGGAAAAAATGGGACTGGGCCCATAACCTAATAAAACACGCCGGGAGGTTGTTCAAAGACTAAACTTTTTATTTTCTTAATACAGAGACAATAGACAATTATCAAGAGATGCTAATAGTTGACAACAGATGGCATTATTAGTATATATAAGAAAGAATATTATTTTGATAGTAATTTTAACAGGTAGTAGAAGGGTGAAAATTTAGGGTTATATGTATTTACTAATGCTGTATCATAAAAAAATAAAAAATAAAATAGGGGTGGTAAAATTAACATTTAGGGGGATGAAAAATAGATGTTGTCCGATTCTCAGACCTACCCAATATGCACACAAAATTTCATGAGAATCGGGAAAGCCGTTTCGGAGGAGTTTAACCACAAACACCGCGACACGAGAATTTTATATATTAGATTTATTCAATACAACGCTTTTTTCTGTCGTTACTCAAGGTGAACGCTGTGATTTATTTTATATCCTATACACATACCTTCTCGAATGTGCGAGGGCCAACGCGGTGAGATTCCCATTGGGGCGCCCTCAGTGATGTTGGGTAGGTAGCTGCCTGTCGTACTGTTCGTTCCTCTTTCTCCTATACGAAAACCAATAAATATTATGTAGCAAGCTATCAAGGGGCGTCAAAAAGTACCAGGAGACTATATATATATATATATATATATATGTGAAAAAAAAACTTATTTATGACAGATCAGATATTAAATAAGGGGTTTTTTCACCATTTTCATAAGCAGAACCTCCTAGACATGGTCCCCTGGTACTTTTTTCCGGAACAATGTTTTTTTATATGGAAAACTAAAATGAGAACATAATTGTTATAGTATTCATGTTTAATTTAGGTTAATAAAAAAACAAAAACAACTATAAAATAAAATTGTTTTTGTTTGTTTGTATATTTACGGTGGTAAAACGGGCTTTTTAAAGTCTTCCCTTCTTACCACTCCAATTTTATAAGTATAAGAAAAGTTATAGCGCGTCAAAGTTTGGGAGTAGGAGCTCGTGACGTCACTTTTGAGTGAATTTTCCTTTATAAGTGTACTCAAACGTGACGTCATGCGACTTTTCAAATCAATATATCTTTGCAATGTTTATATTATGTGAAAAAAGAAGAAATGACAAGTATTTAATACTTTTTGAAAATCTACCTGATAAACAAAGAAAAAAAAATTTGTCATCATCCCTATTAGCGCCTATCATATCGCAGTCAATCGATTTGGCTGTTTACAAACCTTGTCTAATAATGAAAATTGTCTAAGGGCGTTACTATGGCAACTTATCATGTCATTGCATAAATAAATAATGCTCAATGCATATTTTATTTAAATACATTTTTTGAATTATTTTGATACTTACTGTTAGCTGAAGGCGGATGTGAAGATCTCCTCGTACTGGTCTCGTCATCGTCAGAGGAGTGACTGGAAGCTAAATCAAGACTTCGTTCGCTTCCATCGCTATCGCTGTCGGTAGCCTCCGTCACTTCCTCGCCGTCGGCTGTCGTTTCACCGTCGGCTGTTTTAGAAGCTTTCCGACGTCGCCTGCCCTCGTCTAAAGCAATGCTCAGAAAAATTAACAATAATAAACTTTTTAGGGTTCCGTACCTCAAAAAGGAAAAAACGGACCCTTATAGGATCACTTTGTTGTCCGTCCGTCCGTCTGTCAAGACCGTTTTTCTCTGGAAAGCGTGGAGGTATCAAACTGAAATTCATATCTAATACTCAGGTCTACTGTCCCTTGGAGCTGTGAAAAAATCAAACTTCTAAGCCAAAGCAATCAAAAGTCAAACGTCTCTTAAAAAAAGAGAACATATTTAAGTTATTTTTTCTAATGTTAATGTTTCCCTCGAAAAAAGTAATTATTATTATAGCTCAAGTAGAATATAGTATTCGAATTCTGAATTTCCTGCGTACTCCAGCCCTCCCCTAGCATGAGAACTGCGATATGATATATAGCTCGATTTTATCTCGCTCAATTGTCAAATTACTTTGGAGTTTATAATGCGATAAAAGCGTGATGTAATGTAAACTGTGGTGCTCATGCTACGGGGACAGCAGCGTTTCTGATATTGTACCACTCTAATAATATTAATCATTTATTTGCCAAACTATGGTTACAATAGTTGTTAGGTATTTCTTTAGTTTCCAGCATATTTTGTTGAATGTTAAAATGCAAATATTACAGTGCATATTAACCTTGAGATCTCTTTAAAGACAAGATTGTCTTGTGACCTCGGAAACTGTATCTAGCCCAAGTTTTGAAATTATATTAACACACATTTTTCTATTCACATATATCAGCAGGCTCAGGCATCGCTTACAGCGCCACTACGAATGAAATGTACAAAAGTAACAGACCGTACGCTTTAAAAATTAACGAAATTCGCGTAAGGCGTTCTTAATGCGAAACGATCATTCATTATGACTGTAAAGTATGGCTTAAGTAAATACATATTCTAAAACTCATATTTAATGAAATGTGTCAGGAACAAGTAGTCGAACAACTAAATTCGGGCTAATTTATGAAATAGTTAGCCTCAACAAATATTCGAATACAAGAATTTAGCATCAAACGAATTCTTACCATCTTTTCTAGTGTGCAGGGATGAATCGAATCCTCTGAGGTAGGCGGGCATGTCACTGGCACTCGTGTTGTAGTTCGACGTTGATGTACTCGTGTGCCTTAGCTGACCGTCGCTACGGCTATACAAATAAAGTGATATCAATTCAAACTCCTTTTTTTACAGTTCCGGAGGTTTCGGGCCCGTTGAATTTGAATCTCTAATAATTTTCAATCAAAACCGCCTTAAACAGGGTTAAAATTACTAAATTTATAAATTAAAAACCATGCCAAAAGCTCACTGGAGGTATGTCATTCAGTTTTATACAGCTCCTGTAAGATTTAATTTTATGTAATTACTAACTGACCCGGCGAACTTCGTACCGCCATAAAAATAGGGGCAGATGGTAGAAGAGAAAAGGACAATGCCCATTCCTCGTACCACATTGCGTCATAGATATATTAACACCAAAAATAATGTTTTATTTATGTGTATTATGTACTGACTTTCAACCAATTTTTTTAACCACATTTAAAAAAATCATATAGATGATGCTAATTAATTAGCAATTACCTACTTCCGCAAAAAATTACATATACCTATATCAAAAGTTCATTCCCGAAATCTTGCACGTTCTGATAACAGTTATCTGTTATTTCCGAGGTTTAAAAATGAACACAAAAATCTTTGATCGACTTATGAGCTGTAGCCGTTGTTTAAGTAAATAAGATTTTAGAGTAGAAAATAAAATATGTAATTCTTTTTCATCGTTTTATCTCACCATTTCATAAAGTAAACACTGCGTATTTTCGAGACTCAAAACATACATTAATAGAGATTCGAAACGCTTAATACGGAACCTTTCCGTTTAATGAACGGAGAGAACAGAACCAAAAAAAAAACGGAACCGTCAGTGTCAATTTCAATTTCGTTTTTGTTTTGATGATGTTTGTTTTGTTTGTATGATCGATGTTACTCTTACTGCGTTTTAGTCTATTTGATAGTTTTATCGTTTAATTAATTCACCACGTCTATAACAAGTATTGACAGTGATGAGATAGAAATTCTTTTCTGTAGATTATCGAGATAGTGACTTTGAAGTGTCGTATCGAGACAGTGACTCTGTAGACAGCCGGCGTTGAAATTATAATAACATTGCAAACCTAATTATATTTTAAGTAGTGGTACTATAGTATCAAGGCCCTTACAATGTACCTGCCACATTTATAATAATCACGCTGATACAAAATTACAAAAATGTTATAAGAAGGCGTTTTCCAACTTATGTATTTTTTTCTAAAATGTGGTTAAACATTGGCAATATATTTTTTATAGTAAAAAGTTAGATAAGAACTAAGCTCTTGAGAGCAAATTTGATTTGATGCAAGTGGTACGGACCTAAGAAAAATGGGCATTGTCCTTTAGGATTGTTAGTATTTTTTAATATGTACCACATTATAAAAAAAAAATATTGTCCAAAAAATTTTAAGGATGTTTTTTTCAATATTAAATAACTAAAGGTTTCAGAATCTTTTTTTTAGTTACTAACCTATAGGGACTAGAACTGGTTTTAGTAGTCGATCTCGAAGTGGTGGACGAAGCGGAGATGCCGATGTTTCTCAACTGACGGCCTGGTTCTGTGCTGCTGTGATAGGCCAACGCTGATCTAAGAAAACATGGAGATTTATAACGATAACCAAAGGCCCAAGCACGAATTTTTGACAGCTCCGTAACGTATCGTCATCGTCAAATTTTGTATGAAAAAAAACGAGTGTGCTTATGACCACACGACTGAAGTGAAACTTTTTATATTTATAGGTGTGTGTGTACAATATAAACATGTTTGTACATACATATACATATTTCATTTATTAGCTATAAAGAAAAAAGAGAGAGAAAATGTGCGCGCGCACTGCTTTCTCTTGCTTATATCCCCCACTCAATTCCCATTCGCCTCGCCCGAACACACTTCATTCGCCAGCTTACCCCCCAAGTCAAGCGTGCGTAAAGAAGTTTCACTTCACAAGCTAGTTTGTTCATACGTCTGATAGGGGCGCCTTAGTTTTCATAGAAACTTTCACAATGCGATACGTTACGGAATTGTCAAAAATTCGTGCTTGGTCCTCAATAAAATAAGTAGTAGAAGCAACGGCAAAGAAGTACAGCAGACTTTGCACTCAAGAATCTACTGGAGAAGAGAAGTAACCTCCATTTTATAGACAACTGCAAATTCTGAATCTATCCTCTTCTATTTTGAGGTTATGCTTTTGCAGTAAGATATTCAAGGAGTAGGGGTATACAAAAAAATCGTTCCATGACACAAGTGACGTCATTAACCAGTTGGCGGTACCTAATTCTTAAATTTCTTAAGTCCATAGTTTTATATTTTTGTTAAGTAAGGCAAAATCACATATATGTCATAGTAGCTTAAATACCAAAAAGATACACAATCATCAAGAACTGCCTTAAATCTAATATTTCTTACCTATTGACTTGCGACAAGTTTTGAGCGCTGCTGCTTACTATGATCGATGTATCCGCTAGTGGCACTTTCTTTCCTAAGCATCCCAAAATAGTTCTGCGGACAAAAACATACGATAAACCTTCGGACGTACGGTATAAATTTGGTAATCCAGATTGGACAGACAACAACTTCAGAAAAAAGTCGGTGCGATGTTAAGCACGAAAAGTGGTGGATCTGTCGAATAACCAGTAACTGTGCAGAAAAAGTGCACACATATTCTCGAAGTCCTATATAGACCTTGTCATTCAAGGTCTGTGTAATTTAAGATATGTTCATCACTGACTAGACCAAGTTGTAACGTGGTAACCGTACTAACGATGTTCCAATGGAATTGTTTATTTTCACGCTATGTAAATGTGATATTCATAATGGTGTTTCAATAGCATTGCTTTTTGGCACAGTTCTTATTACTAAATATAAAAAAATGTGGCGTGCCGCGTTACAGTAGTGCTATGTTAATGTCATAATCGTGTTTGTTTCTTAGGTTTTCACGCACACTACTCATTAAATCAAACAAGTTTCAACGGTATAGATGCACTGCTTTATTTATTGACGTTTCGTATTCCTTTCAGGATTCGTCGTCTGAATAAAATAAAATCATAATTCTGACGACTCGCATCCTGAAAAGGATGCGGAACATCAATAAATAAATAAATCAGTGCATCTTTTTTCGTGTTTTATTTAATAATCGTGTATTAATAGTGCTCCAATTGCATTTATTTCTTGCTGCGCTTAGCACTAAGTTCAGCGTGTCAGTTTGCACGAAGTACAGCACGTCGCCTAGCATGAAGCCCAGCGCGGCGCCCAGCACGAAGCTCAGTGCGTCGCCTAGCACGCAGTACCTTTGCAGGGTGCGGCGCCTCGCACGAAGCTTAGCACCTAGCTCAGCGCAGTACCTGTGCAGGTTGCGGCGCGCGCGCACGTTGCATAGCACGAGCCCGAGCGCGGCGGTCGCGGCGTGCAGCGTCACTGCGGCGCCTAGCACGAAGCTCAGCACGCCGCGTCGCGCGCCCGCCTCGCTGCCCAGCACGAGGGCGCTAGCCCACGCACCTACCACCAGCGGGAGGCAGATCACGCTCACGGCTAGCAGCATCCTACACACAAACACAGAGGAAAATGAAAAAAAATCTTTAATGCTTACAAGTTCCATATAAACTTGTATGTTGTTGAGTATCCCCTTTTAAGTATTTTACTTGTGATAGGGGATACTCGCTCTTTCGTGAATACAGATGATCCACATTTAGCAAGTTAACGTAACGTAAACTTCTGTTGAAAGAAGTAAAATAAAAGGATGCGTGTTATACATTATCTAAAATATATGCTTATCGAAAGGGTAACAAACAACCGTATGTGGAGGTAAACTAAATCTAATGGCTGATAAACAAGCGGCTTTTTAAAAGGTAAGCAGTCATCATTAATATATCGACGGTCTGATTACAAATTGATCGCTGTTTGGTCGGATTATGAGCATAAAACGAGCTACAATACTAAAACAAAAAAATGGGTGCGTGTACTTATGTAGGCGCGTGAGAAGTTATCCTTCTTTGGCATCGTTTAAAATTAGTTTTTAATTGCATGCAAATAATTAATTACAATAAATTAATAAAAAGTCTGGAAAAGGACGAAGTCAATAAAGTTCAGTTTTAATTTGCAAAAATAAATAAATAATCAAAATATTCAATTAAAATCGCTACTGAATATAATTTATTACAACATATGTGATTTGCACTTGTATGAAACTCAAACACGTATTCCGAATATACAAACTAGAAACATGTGGATAAATATTATAAATATGAATACCTATAACTGTTACTTTATTACAAAAAATAAAGATGTGGTTTTTGGTTCTACTACACCAATGGTCAAGAGATGGCGCTGTAGTCTCCTGAATCGCGCTTTGGTTCCGTTGTTCCAGATTAATAAATACTTTTTGTTACTTTATTAAAAAAAATAAAGATGTGGTTTTTGGTTCTACTACACCAATGGTCAAGAGATGGCGCTGTAGTCTCCTGAATCGCGCTTTGGTTCCGTTGTTCCAGATTAATAAATACTTTTGATAGGCCTTCACAATGCAGTCGTTAGCACCCACTAAATAGAGATTCTATTTCTATTTTGTTGGTAGATTTTCTTAATGTGCGGTAAACACAAAAGTAACGCATGAAGTTGGTAAAAGTCTAAAGAGTCCCATAATGAGTAACAAGTAACCCACCTCAAGTTTCCGAAGCCGACGACATGTTCCCGCGCAGTAAAAGCGGCAGCAGTGGCAGCGGCCAGAAACACTAACGCAGCTAGAGCACAGGCACCAGCCGGCACCACCACCCACCACACCACGCCCTCGTGGCAGCTCACCCAGCAACTGATCGATAAATAGGTGTAAGGTGATTTAGAAAAGATATAAAAACCCTAGCTACAACATTACGAACAAAATCGTGGCCGAAACTTATCGTAAACGCTTGGATTAAAACAAAAAGGGTAGATACGGTACGCTCATACTAACATCAAACAAAAACTGATCCCACGGCAGCGCGAACGGGACGGCGAGATCCGCGTCACTGCATTACCGACCCGAACGAAACAGCACGTTAAGTTTCAACGGCAGCGCGAACAAGACGGCGAGATCCGCGTCACTGCACTACCGACCAATCACGCGACTAGTACTCGACGTCACTACCGAATAAGATTCAAAACAAACAGCAATTTTTATGAAAAAATGCCGTTTTATTTTTAGTTCTTGAGCAATTTGAGCACTTTTTAAAAACACACTTGGGCATTGTTTTATCATATAAACACAAAATATTATCAATATTTCTTTTTGGCGTTCACAAGTACGTTGTTTGCATGTCAAGTTGTGACTAAAGCGATTAGGGTCGTGGACCACAATTGGTGCGGATCACTTTTGTGAGGCTAGTGCCGTATCTACCCTTTTTGTTTTAATCTAAGCCTAAACGTACATTTAACGGATGATCATTATAAGGCATTATTTAAGCATTTGCTTTGTTTTATTTTTTTTAATCCGCAGTGATTTACGTCGCGTATAATATGCGTAGACAGTACTCACAACCACGCGTTTCCGTACTGCTTCTGGTGATGCGAGGCGGCGAGATGCGCGGCTAATCTGCCGTGATTTACGTCGCGTGTAATATACGTAGGTATTACTGACAACATGATTCCGTACTGATGCTGGTGATGCGAGGCAGCGGCGAGGTGCGCGGCTAATCCGCCGTCATTAACGTCGCGTATAATATTTTTTTAATAATAATTTTTTATTGGATAAATACAAGAATACAAATTAGAAGGAACCCTGACTCCTACAAATTTAGCACTAACCTGCTTATTAGGAGCCAGTATCTTCCAAAAAAAATGACACATTTACATGGTAATATCAGACGCGTAAAGGCAGTGTTTGGTGTTTTAAAATTAGAAAGTTATTGGGAAAATGCATGGTTAGTATTCTATATATATAAAACTCAAAGGTGACTGACTGACATGGTGATCTATCAACGCACAGCCCAAACCACTGGACGGATCGGACTGAAATTTGGTATGCAGGTAGATGTTATGACGTAGGCATCCGCTAAGAAAGGATTTTGATCAATTCTACCCCCAAGGGGATAAAATAGGGAATGAAAGTTTGTATGAAACTTTGTCAATTTTAAACCGATCGGGCTGAGACTTTGCATGCAGGTATAAGAAGAATCATAGATGAATGTCATTGTGTATAATATAAGCCTGGGAACAAAAACTGTAGTCTACACTTCAGCTCTACACCGAAGCGAAGCGAGGGCGGGCCGCTAGTGATACATATTTTTCTTATTTTTGTGTGTGTGTGTGTACGTGTATATGTGTGTGTGTGCGTGTGTCATATGCGTAGACAGTACTCACAACAACGCGTTTCCATACTGCTGCTGGTGATGCGAGGCGGCGAGCGCGAGTGCGACGGCGGGCGCGGCGTATGCGGCGGCGAGGTGCGCGGCCAGTCCGCCGTGGTTGACGTCGCGCAACTCGCGCACGAGACGACGCAAGTGCCACGCGTCGCATGCGGACCACGCCAGCGCCGCCACCCACCAATAGTGGAGCGACATAGCTATCAGCTTGCACGCGAACTGTGCACCATTATATTGAATTGAGTTATATTTTTTTTTCTCTTTACTCATATCTTAATATTATTATTAATTAATATATTAAGATATATTTAGTAATAGTCTATAATATAAATATCTATTATATTAGAGACTATTACACTAATATTATAAAGGCGAAACTTTGTCAGTGTGTGAGTGTGTATGTTTGTTACTTCTTCACGTCTAGACGGCTGGAGCGATTTTAATAGAATTTGGTATGGAATTAACTGACACCCTGGATTAACACATAGGCTAAGTTTTTACTGCGGGGCACAGCTAGGAAATATATAAAGATATGAGTAAGCATATTATAAGTAGGATGAAAGATTGTTCGAAAATAATAGTTATAATAAGCATATTTAATATAGGGAGGTATTTAATTGGCTTTTTGATATTGTATTTTTGTGTAAACGATTAATAGCTGTAAACTACTACCAGTCCACACATGTTTCTGTGAAAATTGTTTTGCATACAATTGAGGTAAACTATGCGAAGTGTCCACCGATAGCGAAGTTCAAAACACGACTTAAACTTACCAACTTAGGGATTAAGAAACAATTTCAAATTAACTATACTGAACTCACCTCGTTTTGCACCAAGGAGTTTCTAGCCTTCAACGCGATGAGGTACAGCAATTCAGCCATAAAGATACAGAATATCAGGTGCTTGTGTATCGAGTTTGATACTGTCGCCGCTCCGCCCCGCATCATACAGAGCGCTGCCCAAGTGGCCAGTAGTAGCGGCAGTGAAATGCTGAATGCAGTGTATGACGTCACGGATTCTAGCAGCGAAGGCTCGGGGATGAACTATAACAATAATGATTGATTGCATAAAAATATGATACAAAGGGTGTTCTTTCATAATTATCTGGTCTCACATATTTTACTGTAAGACTGCTAGCAACATTATAAAAATGACTTGCCATTACTTTACATGAAAATGAAAATTATTTTAAGCTTATAAGTGTAGACTTTAGGTATATATATTTTTACTACAAGTTTGTTTGTATCCTCCCAATATCACTTTATAATCAATGTCATGTAATGTCAAATAAATAACTGTTAAAGAAGTAGTTTGTTGAAAGACATATCAATATGCGTAGATTTCGAAATTTTCTCCCCATATTTGTTAGAGTGTATGGAACATAAATTCGTAGGTAGAACAAAGCAACATTTTAATTATTCAATAAATAGTATCAGCGGACTCAGTTTTTATCAATCAAATTAATAGTATCACCCTTTCTAGTGGGAGTTGCGGAAACAGAATATCATAAATCATGATACTGAGTGATGGTCCTTGTAAGACGTCCATTAATCTATTCACATAAAGTCAGGGGCAGTGGATGCTAATCATTAACAGTTTTCCATGATTTTTTCAATCTTACCTCAATATCGACTTCATCGACTAATACAGCGAAGGTGGACAAGTGGTTACATGTGCAGTTAATTAGCAGAGGGTCGTCCGAGTATGGCGACCAATCATAGTCGATTTCAGTGTGACAGCCGACGCGCGACCATTCGCCGAACCTGAGAAAAAGTGACTTAATACAATAAGGTTCTGTGTACTTAGTAAATTTTAAATACTATTAACATGGAATAAAATTATTTCACCCATTAAGCAGTTCTTACGTGCTCCGAAAATTACGTTAAGTCAGTCAGTTCTTGGTCTCGGCGTTATATGCAGTCGTTAGCATGTTAATTAGCTCGACAATCGATTATTAAAATATAGCAATATACACACAACATTTATTTAGAAATTATATAGAATTGTCCTTACCCTCTTAATGTGGACCAGTGCACACACTGTGGGTTAGTTCTCGATCCAAACGTCTCCCTATCAATGTCTAACCACATTTGCAATCTTATCGGTCTTTTCAATCTGATGCCCCCCATGCTTTTGTAAATCAACTTCTTCTTCATATCTTTGGTAGTATTAAGGCCCTCTTTGAGTTTATCCTCGGCGACCAGAGACAACGCAAGTACTTTTGGACCTTCTTGCTCGAGTTTTTCAGCGACATAAGAGGATTCATTATCCTGGTAGTTGTCGCTGTTGTATGAAGCTTTCTCTTGTTTTTTGAACGCTGGCTGTATAAGAATGGGTCCATGGTGCTCGTGATTTGAATTTTCGTCGTCGTTGTTGGACCAAGTGTTTTTGGAATGCGGATTGTTTTTTATGTAGTTATCTACTGTCTGGTGAGGATGACCTTTGTTTGTGTAGACCAGGCCTAGACAGAATAAAAATTTCATTAAGATATAGTACCAAAACTCCTTTCAATTATTGAAGGAGAAATTTGTCTTAACGGCGTAATTTTTTACATTGAGAATTTGATTCTATTTATCACAGTAATAATCTGATAATCATTATATTTGTTCTGCCATCCTATGCTAAGCCGACAAAGAATTCGGCGGATCGAGTTCTTTGTCTACTTAACACCAACCTTAATGAGCTAAATGGTTGCGCTCTTTAGCTTATACAGTGTTTTATTATTACCAAAATCCTTTTTAAGCCTTAAAACATCAAATCAAATCTCTTTCTACTGTTTTATTGCTTCTTCCACTTACCTTCAATATCATCCATGTTATTCTCTAAGGAGTTGTCTTCTCTAGTCTGGTGTGTTTCCCTCATCCACACATATTCAGGCACATAAAGGGCCACTTGAATGATAGGTGACCCAACAGTGATGTTAACTCCCCACCGCTGACTGACCGATTCGTCCAGCCGCAGAGGCATTAGTTGGGAAGTGTTCCGAGAGTACTGCATGTACGAGAATACTGCGCGGGATTCGTAGGCGGTTTCGAGGTTATCTGAAGAATGATTGAGTTTTATAACAGTTGTTTATATGTTTATTTGGTAACACCAGCCGTAGAAGTATTAGTTGGGAAGTGTTCCGAGATGCGTGTACGAGAATACTGCGCGGGATTCGTAACTAGTTTCGAAGTTTTATGAAGGACGGTTGCAATCAGTAAATGACAATGACTTTTCACACTCGCAAAATATTCGAATTCGATATTGGTTCGTGTTAAGGGTAACAGTTCTAACTATATCTTTCCACCATTTTAGACCCAACCAATGAAAAATGAACTATAAGGGTAACTAATAAACTTGTAATACTACTTAAATACAATTTTAACGATTTCTACATGTTTTTATGTACGTCAGCAATTTAAAGAAAACTTTATTCAATAGATAATAAAACCTTACCTTGCGGTGAATTAGCTATTCCCAACAAGTCGAGCGGCAACAGCACTCTTGTGTACTTATCGAATTTGTTCTTATTCCTCACATAGTTATTGTATTTCGGGAAAGACACTGTAGGGCTGGAAGGCTTTTTCTTGACTTTTCCAGTGCCATAGCCTGGTTGTATTGGCGAATGGAGGAACGATGAAGTGTCGGGTAGGATAACTCGTTCTGTAGTGTATGGTTCGATGTTGTAGCGGTTGAGTTGCGTCGGTTCGAACCCGTATATGGACTCGGTGGTTACTATGTCCACGCCTATCACTGTTGGAGTGATAAAATAAGTGTATTAAGAATAAGAATATGAAGCTGTTGTTTGAGTGTTACTCAGATGAGAAATTGATGGAGTACTTTGAATATGAAGAAATAAATTTACTTAATATTTTTTTCATACAAGTAAGTTTTTTAGTTTCTCAAAACAGGAGTGTCCTACGTATGTAATATATTGTATGACAGAATTTATTTTTTTCTTAATTAATAATATGATGCAGATTTTTAAAGGACATGATTTATTGTTTTGAAGTTATTTGAGTTACTTAGTTTTATATGTTTTTTGTATTGCATGCTATGTGACAGTAAAATATGTGATATTCCTTTTATACTGAATGTGTAACATTACATCAAACACAAATGTACCATCTTTACACCATATTTTATGCAAATAAAGACTTCTGACTAAAAATTGTTCAACTAAAGTTTAATGGCATTAAGATAGTGAGAATGCTTAAGACTTGAAGCCTCCGACGACTTCTGACGGGACTCTAATCAGAGCCCTATTACTATTACAACTCTAATGCCGGCACTGCACATGCCTATTCGCATTGGCTATTTGTAAACTTGATAACAATCTCTCCTTTTCACTGCTATACTAATAGCCATATGAAGTGATGTTTGTTACTCAATCACGCAAAAAGTATGAACGGATTTAGATGAAATAGACACACACAGTTTATTAAATGGACTAAGACATAGGGTACTTTTTTTCCGGAAATGAATTAGCATCCTTTGAGATTCTCAAGAAGCTAGTTAAATTATGAAACTCACCTAGATCGCTGGTGGCGATTTCAAAGGGGCTAGTATATGTATCGTGTTGGCTTTCTGCTAGCACGGCGATGTACTTGTCATACATTTGTAATAATTGTTCCACTCCGTGCCCCGTGCGTTGCCTGATACGACGCCACTCCGACGCATATGAGCCTTCCATTATCACGTTGGATGATTTTACTATGTTCTGAATGAATAAAGGAAAATTGTTCCAGTGAGTTTAGACGTGTAAATAAGAGTTATATTTCTGACATCAGACACACAAGTGAATAAGAAAGTAAAAGCAGAGTCCTGCTGGTCTATAAATTAGACACCGAACTATTATGGCCGTTCGGTAAGCAATCTGTTATGTACCTACTTTTCATCAATGAAAGAGATCAATATACATTTATCTGCCTAGTACTCGACTTGATTTGTTTTCTTAGGAATGAGATTAAGATAACCGAAAGGCGAGTTGATGAACTGCCACATTTTTTTTCACTACATAAAACCGAATTACAAGACTTCGAAGATGAATATTACGAAGAATCGCTAAGCTTTTTCAGCAGATCTTATAAGAAAGTACAAAAAATTGCAACAACATTAACTTTTTATTACAGAAATATTAGCACTAACTTACCCGAACATAGTCCTTATCCTGACTGTGCGTAAGGTTCAATCCCGCTTGGCGAAGTTCATACTGCAATAGTTCTACCAGAATGCCCTCTGCTACCAGTATATCGGATCCGTATAGGCGCGCGGTGTTAGCACAAGCTGTGGCTAAGTCTGCAGCGAGGCGAACGCCGACGAATGTGTTTACTGTCAATTCGCCAGTCTCGATCTTATGAAGCTACATGTAACAACATAAGAAGCCATTTCTCAGAACAAGAACTAAAGCATAGAAGTAATGTTATGACGTTAAAGCGTACACCCCCATAGAAAATAGATTAACAAAAAGATTTCCAAACAAGTATTACTCAACCAAAAAGTATGAGTGGTGTGTTGGCAGGTTGGATTTGATATTAGATCGCTTTATGATTTGGTATCGTGAAGGTAACCAAGGTAACCAAACCAAATTTGACATTTGTATAGCAGTCCGTACGCTGTTCATAGTATGGAAAATAGGAACATATATTTGTCCCTTTTTTGGTCTATAAGTATTATGAGTCGATTTTATGAGAGGAATTTAAAGTTTTTGTATGCTTTAGTTTTTGTTCCGAGAGCCATTTAAAGAACCGTTATTAATAATGCTTAGCTTAGCTTAATAATGTGTAGCGGATTATCCGCCCGATTGGAGTAGAAACCGTCTGGGGCTGCAGCTAAATAACACTGGTTTGTAGAACTACACACATCAAAAGTGTCTAGGGATCAAGCATTTTTATGCGGATTTCTTGAGATTGAGATGTGGCTTTGTAATAAATTTATGATTTTATAAATTTATATGGATCCTTTTTGGTGCATTTCATAATTTGAATCAGGAACTGTGAATCAAATTCGAGTAAAAGATGAAAATCAGCTGTCAATATTTTCCCTATAAAAACATACAACGCATTGAAGACATTATTAGTGCTACTGTTTCCCTACTACTGATTAAAACCAACGTTATTATGGAGCGGCGACGTCATTTAAGCAGGGAAGAAATGCTCAGAGCCGTGGGAATGATAGAAGCTGGTTCCCGGCAACGTACTGTGGCTTTAGCTCTGAATACAAGTCAGAGTGTTATCAGTCGACTTTGGACACGATACCGAAGCACTGGTACCGTGGCTGAGCGCCATGGAGGACGGTATCGCTGCACCACACGGAGACAAGACCGATACATTCAAATCTTAACTCGAAGAGCTCCAACAATAACCGCCATGATGTTAGCCGTGAGGCTTCATCACTCTTCAGGGAACTTAATTAGCGACCAAACAGTCAGAAACCGCTTGCATGAAGTGAACCTTCATTCCCGAAGACCGCTACGGGTACCACCTATAGCAATGCACAATCGTAGGATCCGATATCAATGGGCTCTTGAACACAGAAATTGGGCAGAAGAACAATGGCGTTTCGTGTGCTTTTCTGATGGGTCTCGTTTTGGTATGAGACCGGATACAAGACGTATACGATACTGGAGAACCCCTGGACGCCAACAGCGATTAAAATCCTGCCAGGAAGTCCATCCTTATAGTGGTGGAACCATCATGGTATGGGCGGGTATTTGGATCGGCGGAAGAACTGAGTTGATTTGGATCAGAGGCAACCTCAACGCTCAAATTTATGCTGAGACGATTGTATCAGACGTCATCGTTCCTCTACAAGTGCAAATCGGTCCCTTATTTCAGTTAATGCATGATAATGCACGACCGCACACCGCAAGAGTTGTAAGACAGACTCTCGCCGCAGCTAACATCAATGTCCTGCCCTGGCCTGCTCAGTCGCCAGACTTGAACCCGATTGAGCATGCATGGGATATGCTACAGAGAAGAGCTCTGCCGAATATGGAGGGTATCCAGTCGCAAGAAGACCTTTTTTTGTTGTTGCAACGAACATGGGCGGCCATTCCACAGCGTGATTTGGATGAACTCATTTTGAGTATGCCAAACCGATGTTCTTGTGTTGTTAGTGTTCGCGGTAGAAATACGGATTATTAATTGTTTAAGTTACCCAATAAAATTTTAGAGAAAACTGTTATTTCAGTCTTTTTTTTGAACTTTTGTGTTAGTGGTTCAAATGTCAAAAATCCCTTTATTAGGAAAATGGCAAATTTCTTTATTAATGCAAAGGTGACTTGGTTTATCGTTACTGTGACAAACGAAAACACTTTATTTGATGAATCCTTAAAGAAAATTTTAATTAATATCAATCAGGAGAAAAGTTATTGCAAAAATATATGTTGATCCCTAGACACTTTTGATGTGTGTATATTGATAAAGTGGAATGCAAGCTGAAGCGAACGCCGACGAATGTGTTTACTGTCAATTCGCCAGTCTCGATCTTATGCAGTTACATGGAATATACTTTACTTTGACCTAAAATTGCACATTTTTTCAAATAAAATTGTAGCTTCTCTTTGTGATGAATATGTCACGTTTATATCTTTCCATTGTGAATTTTAAAGTATAAGTTACAAAGTTATCATACGAAAATAGGAAAAAATAATATTCAGGGTTCATAAATATTTTTTTAATTTTGGGCCAAAGTTGGCCTTAAAGAGGGTTTACTTTAGCTCGTTGAGTTTTCTCTGTTAAAAAAACTCATTTTAAGCCATGTTGGGGTTAAGTAACCCTTATAACAGATCACCATTAGCATATTGTATACACAAATGGATGTTTTTACCCAAAAATTTTTTTTTTTTTTTTTATTCTTTATTAAGCCATACACCTTAAAGGTTAAGCCGGCTACCAAAAATAATTAAGTTAAAGAAAAAATTGTAAACTTACCGAAAACCACAGTTTTGAGAAAGTTTGCGCATGAACTTGCGAACTATTTCAGTTACATAAAATCCCGCGTTACAATGATAGGTTGATACAGGAACGACCGACGTAAAACAACACCACACTGCGCGCCTATATGGCTATCTGTGATTTTCAACTGGAACTATTACGGTCACCCAAGAGATATTGATGGGACGGCAAGTTCAATATTTTTTCTGATTTGGGACAAAGTTACCCGCCCGAGCGAAAGTAACTCTCACTTACGGTACCGTTATAAAGTACAATCGTAATAATGCTTAGCGGATAATTCGCCCGATTGGAGTAGGAACCGTCTAGGGCTGGAGCTTAATATCACTGTTTTGTAGTACTATGTTAATAAAGTGGGACGCAAGCTGTAGCTAAGTTGGCAGCGAGGCGAACGCCGACGAATGTGTTTACTGTCAACGTGGAGACAACGCAAAGCTCATTTCGAGTGGCGCTTTGACCGTTTAGCCCATAACAAGCAACCTGTCCCTTCAAGGCTGCGTTTTAAACCTACGAGTGCAAATTTTTACCCTGATGTTTCAGTTTAGACATAAAATGTATGAAATTTAAATCTAAGTTTTGACATTTGTTGCAACTGGAGCGTAGGTTTGTAACACAGCCCAAGCCTATCGCGGAATTTTTCGGTTTTGTAAAAGTTGAATGATTGAGTAAATCCTACTAAAAACTAAAGTTCCAACTTTCAAGCCTTTTTAGAGTAACTTTAAAAAATTTCAGGATTATTTTGTTGGATTAGTTTGTATTTACAAAAAAAAAGACTGCAAAATACTTACTACGAAAAAAGATATGAATTTTTGGAACCTCGCTGGCAGAAATCATAAAAAATACACAAAAATATTATTACTCGAAAACTAAGAAAAATCGCGGAACATACATGGGGTATTTTCGGATACCCCCAGGTGCGAAGAATCTAAAAAAAAATGTTGACGTCACTAATTGGACCACCCTGTATAAGTAAGAAGGCATTATGTGTACTTAATATGTTTCTAGTATACAGCTCACATTTACACAAACGACAGGAGAGTTTTGTTAGGAGAGTTTGACCAAAGTTACCTGGGGTTAGGTCAGTAAACATTGCAACGCGCGTTTGATCTCCCTGGGATTGAAATGAGGGTGTTTAGGAAAATTTACGACTTTAGTTAGAGCCTGACCTGAGGTCTTTTGTATAGTGTTTTTGGCGCGAATTTATCAAACGAACATTTAAATTGATCCATGGACTATGACGGCATAGGTGATTTGACGGATGAGTAGACCTTTTGGCTCAGTGTCGCCACCTGGCACTCGTCATTCCAGAAAACCTTCATTGCCATATGTGCTCTGGTTGGGTATTTTGCATCGTCAAACTTTCAAATCTTACAGCTGTTCTGTGCATAATAACTAAGACGCTCGTCAGTACAAAAAAGTCAATGCTCTTTATATTTACATTACTGGAAACAAATTGGAAAAAAAACCTAATAAATTTCTAGATGTGTACGCGCTGAACTCTTGTCTCCCAGTTCTATATTTTTACATTGTTGTATATCTACGATACCTGATTTCTTAGTTGGTAAAAAGTAGATGTCGTGCAGTTGAACATATCCGGTTCCTGCCACGGAATCACTTGCGACTCATCACACATCCTGGTCGCCTTTCCACTAGTTCCTGTTGCCAAATATTGTTGCCATTAATAAATGTAATTAAATTCAAGAACATTGTTGTTAAAATTGACATAAGCTTTTACCTGTGGGGCAGTCGGTGATGGCTTCAATGCCGAATTTGGTTCTTGGCCACCAAACTCCGTGGGCGAATGAGCGTGGACAGCCGTCATATACAACTGCAACGGTAGCAAAATTTGTTATTTAATTATTTTTTATTGTTTTCTGTTAGTTTCAAGGCTATTTAGTAAGTGAGTGCTGTAGACAAAGTAAAAATCTTCATGTATATACTGAGAGCTCGATGGTGCAAGTGGTTAGCGCGTTTAGTGTACGATCGTGGAAGTTAAGAAACCTTCGCAATGACTCCAGCTCCTCTGTGCTTCGGAAGGCACGTTGGGCCGTTGGTACCGGCTGCATGTGCAGTCGTTAGCACGCTGGGCTCAAGTGGTGGTTTTTGGCCTAAACTCCTTATTCCATTTATAGAACTGACCTGTGCCCCAGTAGTAAGACCACAGTAAAATAAATACACCACCTTTTGGTGGTGTTGTCCACGGAGTAAAGGGTTGGGTTAGGACAGGCAACGGCGCGAGTGGTATTTTTTGTATTTTGCGATACACCATCACGCTGGCCATTCGCTTGTTTGCTAACCTTTTATTTCATTAAACATAAAAAAGTGGAGACGTTGATAGGCTAATGACGGTGAATATAAATCTCCGTGTGTAGTGTACGGATGAGTGTGTAGTGAACGGACGAGTGTGTAGCGTACGGATGAGTGTGTAGTGTACGGACGAGTGTGTAGTGTACGGATGACTGTGTAGTGTACGGATGAGTGTGTAGTGTACGGATGAGTGTGTCGTTTACCTTCGCAGCCAGCGTTTGGCGCAACTTCTGCATAGGCACTGGCACAGGAGTCGCAGGCGCGGCCGATGACCCCGGCTCGACAGTGACATTGCCCCGAACTAGCCTCGCACGAACCGTTCATTGACCCCGCCGCGTAGCATTGGCAAGGTAAGCATTCTTCAGAATCCGCAAGCTTATAGTGGTTCTCCTGATCAGGAAACATACGTACGTTTATAATTTGAGCGATGTTAAACAGAAAGCGACCAGCGGACATTTTTGAAGCTAGCTAGAGTTCTGTGAATCAATGTAAAAGTATTCTTTAATTTGGACATAATTTTTTGTTTTTATTTTTTTATCATTCATTATACAGAAATACATTCAACCCTAAATTTTCACCTTTCTACCACCAACACCTATTTCTTATGGCGGTACGAAGTTCGTTGGGACAGCTAGTATTAGTATAGATATAGATTGGAAACCTTGCAATGACACTGGCCCGTGGTACGATGGCAGTGGGGATGGTACCCTAGATGCGCGGCGCAGGCGCAGGGCCCACACGCGCTCGCCCCCCACCACCCGCCGGGGCATTCTTCCGCGCCCGGGTCTACGCAGCCCTCCTCTGAAAAAAACGCAGCTTGTTAACGTACAATAATATTTTTGCCGTAAGTATATAAAAAAAAATAAACCTACGCCTAATGGTATAAGAACAGAAAAATATTGATATATTCGCATTTAATTAAGTATTCTTCTTTAAGTATTTTCTGAGCTACATTTATAAACTGTATACATATTAATTATAACCACCTACATTTATAACCGAATAGAACACAATAAAATATTTTTCCTATTACTTGGGTTGAGCTGTCTACACGATTCTTCACACATAATAACATCCTTGCAAATTGAAATATACACACAACGATATTAAATACCCTAGATACACCAACACGAACAAAATCGTAGCCGAAACCTGTCCAGTAGGGACGATTCGCGGAGCTCCATAAGATGATCGCGTAGTCAAAAACAAAATAAGGTATTATTTAAACATTGAAAGTCACCTTTAACGCGTACTGTATAAGCTCTTAATTAAAACACATGCGTCAAAGACTTATGACAGTTCGAAATGGAAGCTCGCAAAATTTTACGACTTATTGCTATATGCGGAAGAATATAGAACTTATTTCTTTTGCTTCTACGCGCAATTTTAAATGCGCTGTTAGCGGAAGCGGGTACGGACCGCGAGGAAAAGAGACAGCTATACGGCGACGTATAACCGAACATGCAATTGAATATCATAAATATTTTATATTAAATCAGTTTCCAGTAAATATTAGGACAAAATTTGCTTCAAATGTATTAAATTAACAAACACTGTTTAAATACCTGTTGAAAAAACGACGGTTTACGTACTATAAGTATTTATTTCGCATTCTTTCGCGGAGCTCTGCGGCATCTTGACTTTTCGACGATCCGCACGTGACTGTGAACCAAGAAGTGCTTGAGTGGAGTTCAAGCACTTCTTGATTGGGACACATTTTGAGCGCTCGTGGTGTACCGTGTATCTAGGGTATTTAATATCGATGTATACACATTATAATAATGAGTTGCCGCATTTACGGAGCTGTTGTTTTTAGAACGCGCGGTATCTAGTAAACCGCAGGGAGACCAATTATACATCTAGGATTATTGTTTTATTTTAAAAAGGGTTCATTATAATGCGAGCATTTGATATGGCTATGCAATTCATGTTAAATTGCTATTTGCAAACTGAACATCAGTATATCCTATAAACTTGCGGAAGTTCATCAAAAGGCCACAATGTGGTATAGCACAAAAAGTAAAGAAAACATGTAAAGATTTGAAACTGATTCGTAAAATTTGTCATCAAAATGCCACCGCCTAAGGACTGTGATCGCCCTGCCCGGGAGTGTAGCAAGTTACCGGAATTGACGATTATCGAGTCCTCTCCCTCTCTTCGGACTTCAGACAAACCAATAATATCCCAACGTAACTTACTAAAAGCTTCTTCCAACTCCATTAGCTTAGCGTCGGTCGTCAGTATGCGCGTGTTGTAGGTGGCCAAGTCGAATCGTCGTAGGTAGTAGCCGGATCTTACCCTGAGATTCTTAGCACCCCTTGCCCTGCCGTTACTATAGCTGTAACCGTTGCTAGGACTAGAGGGGCTGCCGGGGACTGGGAGGGGAATCTTTAATTGTGCTAGACATCTTGGGTTCTTTTAAGCACTCTGTTTTATTTCAACCACATACGATATACTAAATCATTAAAAAAACATCACTGGTACTTGTTAGCCGTTGTCCCTCATCAGGTTAGACTCTATGGGATCTCTGGATAGGGAAGATCTGTCTCCCAACAGTGGGAAAGTAAAAGGCTGCTAATTATGATGATGCTGCTGAGCTAACAGAAACAAAAGCACCACAATGTATATCAAACCATTTAACAAATCATCGCACGCACCTATAAGCAGTTGTTCCTCATCACATTGACAGGAATATCCGTGCGCTGATTGGTCGACACGATACTCAGAGCCGGCGGGGCACGGTCGGAAATTGCACCGCGCGGTACATGAAGGACCGACGCGCCCAGAAGAACATACGCACTCGGTATTATCCCAACCGAAACCATTTAACAAATCATCGCACGCACCTGTAAGTAGTTGTCCCTCATCGCATTGGCAGGAATATCCGCGTGCTGATTGGTCGACGCGACACTCAGAGCCGGCGGGGCACGGCCGGAGATCGCACGCCGCGGTACATGAAGGACCGACGCGTCCAGAAGAACATACGCACTCGGTATTATCCCAACCGGATACGCATTCACTCTGGACAAGAAATACAAAGATAAAAATACACCCCTTTATTAATAAACGAGCGATTTGTTTCGTACGCCGTGTTTTTTTCATATCTCTCAAATGCCATTTGTCATTCAATGAACAGAGACAAAACATGGCTTTAATAATCATGTGTCATGTCATGCATGGCCAAATCCTTTATTCTATGCATAGGGAAGGCCTGTGCTTCAGCAGTGGGAACATTAATAGCAGCCTATTGGCTGATGATGATGATGGTTAAAGGTACTCACATAAGGAGGGCAGATCGAAAGCATGCAGTCTGCGCGCGACTGGCATCCGTCCCTGACGTTCTCTCGCACTGTAGGACGATTCAGTAATGATTGGCTAGTCCCCACTCGGACATCCTAAATAAAACATTTTTTCTTTGAAATCACAAATATATTGAAATTAAACATGCTTTAAAATAATGTAATATGTTATGCTTTTACTAAACCTGACAAGACTTTGAACTTTATAAAAAAAAATACGCACTATTGAATATCACGATATTTGGGAAGTTCAACAAAGCTGCAACAATGTTAAAATAATTGCGTTTACTTGCATATCACAAAGACAAACACAGTATTAAAGATTAGATTTCACTGTGATGTTTTAATTTGTTCTCATTGATGGAATGCATAAACGCATGTAACTTAAGATGCAAATACAGAAAACTATCAAAAATATACGACATAAATGTTTTTATGGATTATCTTATAAATGGGAAGAAAGTCAAATTTGGCCCTTAGATGCAGTTGCCGCTGTCTGTGATATTCGATATTATATACATGCATTAATATAATTTTTAATATGCCACAGAATTTAACTTAAAACAAGATACCGGCTTATATTTCATTACTACTAATATTACAGATAATTTGATAAAGTCGAGTATAACTCACCTGAATACAGCCTTCGAAGTATCCAACTTCAGACGCCAATAGGCCAGCGGTGCTATCCGGTCCACCAATCAGGATCTTGCCAATGTATTGTCCTTGAATTTTATTGGCCAACATAGGCAGCAACGCCGTTCGGAGCCCGTAATCGATGCTCACTGATATATCTGTTCCGAGCCATTTGATGTCTACCCTGTGCCATACGCCGTCGGCCAAGTTCATCGATGGTAAGTACATAGTCTCGCCGTTGTAGGAGTAATGGAGAAGACCCGATTTGAGCTGTGATATAGAACAAAAAAAAATACTATTATTTTATTTAACAAAGCAGTAAAAGTAGAAAAAATAAGCATGTTTTCCCGCTTTCGTACTCTATTCACGGGATCAAAAATTTTTGTCATTGGCTAGCGAAGATCTTGTCCCTTTCTCGTATAAAGAAAGCGCTCCACTAACTCGTAATTTTTTACGTCTGTTCGACTGTATCTCTTTCTTGCTGGCACTTCACAGGGCCATTTGTATTGCTTTTTGTAAATTTTACATCAGTCCCTCTTTTTAATTCCTTTAAGATTGAGCATGATTAGGATACACTGTTAAAAAGTTTACAAATAACTGCTGAAAATTATTATGTGTAAGTTATGGTGTGATAATGTTGGCAGACCTTTAGTAAATAAATAAATAGCAAATACGAATAGAAACGTGAAGTATTAAATCGGCGATGAAGAGAAGATGATAAGACACTCACACTGATGAATATGGTGCTGTTCTGCCCGACTTGTATGGTCATCAGGAAGGCGTCTTCTTGTCTGGTTCGTACAGATAGTGCGTTAAGCCACGGCAATTGTATAGGCCGTAGAAGTGGGTTGAATGACAACATTCCGTCACCACTGAACCGCCACGGAGGAGACGTAGCTAGGGAAGGGAAGAGTAATGGCGTTTTTAATTACAGGAAAGTTAAAATGTTGTGGACTCTTTAATCCCGTGGTCTGCGTAAATGGAAGATTTCTGCCAACGTCAAAAAACCCCTGTCTGTGGAAGTGGCGGATTTCTGCCACGCAATATTATAATACAATATTTAGATATAGAATAGATAATAAATAGGAATAGATGCAGAAATTATTTAAGATTGATTAAAGACAATTGATTCAGTAGAACTCGAAATAAAACAAAGGGTTTTTGCTTACACAGACCACGGATTAAAATAATGCTGGGTAGATATAACTATTTTTTGATGTAATCGTGATTTCTTGAATTTTAAGAAAAAGGATGATAACTAACCTTTTGGTCATCGTCTATCAGATAGATGGATTTTCAAAAATTTTTGGTCACGTATTTTTCCTTATTTACCTAATTGAAACATTACAGAGATATATCGATTTGAAATGTCGCATAACGTCACGTGTTGTTACAATTCTTGCTTAGAAGCGACGTCACGAGACCCTCCCATTCCCAAACTTTGGCGCGATTTATATTTGTAATTTTTTGGTTATTTTATTATGTTATTTTTGATAATCTAGCTGACAGACTAAATAGAAATTAGTTTATTTACCCCGTCAGCATCCCTCAGCAAATAATTTTTAAATTAAAAAAAAAGTTTTGTTTTTTTTACTTTGTTTTTTGCATGACAATTGTTTTTATAGTTATCTTTACTTTTGTACGAAAAGCAATCATATACATGATACTTCATTTTATTTTACCTAAATAAATGTATACAAAACAAACTTACCTTCGCTGCAGTCCTTCCCGGTGTAACCTTCGGTACAGTCGCATATGAAGGTGTCCCACAGGTCTCGACACTCGGCTCCGTTGAAGCACGGGGCGGATCCGCAGTGGGAACGTTTCTCCGGGCATCCAGCTAAAGTGCCGTTGTCAGCTACAAAGCTGGGATGGAAATTTGATAAATTACGTTTTTATTTCAGGTGTCTGTCGGCATTTTTTTTAGATTTTAAGAAAGTTACTTATAATAAGAGGTAGTCTTTGCACTCGGCCTCGTTAAAACACTCTCTGGGCATCCGGCTAAATTAAAGTTGTCAGCTACGCAACTTGGATCGAATTTTTATTTTAAGCGTTGGTCTGGTAGATTTTTACTCGTATGTAAAGGAAATTATACTAGAAACATTCAAGCCAGCCTGATATTTGTGTAGAATTGGCAGGGCTAGCATCACAAAATCTTTCATAAAATCCAATCGTTTAAGGTCATATTGAACAACCGATTGATTAGATTGATTATAAAATTTGTTAACCCGTCGTTTACACCAAGTTATAATGCATGTATTTAACAAATTTTATACAATGTCTTATTTTGTTCACACATGTATATATGTGTATATAAACGAGAGGTTAACGTATAAAACACGTCGTATACAATACTTGCATCAAACTTGTTGGATAAACAAAATATGTGAAGTAAATGATTTATACTTGTAAGGTACTAGTTGTCTATGCATTGTAAACGAAAGATTTTTTTTAAAAACTACATCCACTATTCTATAATTTTTATTTCAAAATTGTATATTACTTGTTTCTTGGTGGAAACGAGGGGTTACAAATCAAACGGTGGTTTAATGCAGTCCCAGACCCTAGATTTTTGATTAACTATTTTTTAATTAACAAACTAGGCTCAACCTATCTAAAGTTTTGTGCATTAACCCGTAAAAACTAGTTTTATTTAATAAGTGATGTGCGTGAAAACCTAAGAAACAAATATGTCAACCTATCTCTTCCAGCATATAGGTACTACAGATAAATCGCCGTAAACTAAAGGCTTGCATACCTGTTGAGGTCGACGAATTTATGATCGATGAATAAGTCTGAGATGCAGCCGACAAAGTCCTTGTTTTTCACTTGAAAGCTGCTCGGGATATTAGGCAAACCACCAAGTTGGAGGGGGCCCGTTAGATCCAAGAACCTATAAATACATATACAGGATGCTTATAATTTATTTATTTTAAGGACAGTACATAGCTCAAAATTAATCGTTTCTGACAAATTTGTTGGCCAATTACGGCTAGGTATTCGGCAGTTTAAATTCTATTTAACAGCTCGGTATAAACAAACATGGAAATATATTTATTTAAAATGATAAGTTTAAAAATTATTCAATATTCTGCTGTTCATATGTTTTATGTACTTTACTCACAAATTATAAAAGATAGGAATTAAATATTTATTTCATCCTTATATTATGTGCCTTATTACCAATAAATAGTTAGACGCGTTTATCACTTTACCTGTGGCAAGTTTCAGTAGGGATATCGCAGCGCGGTGGTAACACTTTCCTCGTGAAATTGGCGCAGGCGTACTTGATTCCGAAATTTGCGGCGCCCGCCAAAGACAACGCCTTGTCACAATCGTCCAGAATGATTGTGGCAGTCTATTGTTAGAAATAAAAATGCGAGAGATCAATATGGCATTTCTTTAAATACAAAAATACACCTAAAGTTTAATTAATAATCATTGTAAGTATAATAAGATCTGTCCTGCACATACTTAATCCAATAACTTGCAATGTAAGTCAAAATCTAAGAACGATAGTACAATAATCAGTCTGATTACATCATATAATATAATAATATAATTCTACATACAAACATTTATTTAATGGGAGTTAATTTCAACGCGTATATTGTAATGTATTTTGTAATATTATCAAAGTTCTAGCATATTTTGTTCTTACCTCTTTACTATAGGTGTGATGTGATAAAACTTACCCTGTTGAGATATTCTATTTCCACCGTATGCCACATGCCGTCTGCCACATCAGCGGCGACTGTGAGTTCAGTCTTCGCGCCACCCAGGGCAAATGTGAATCGAAGACCCGCACCGCTACCTATTTCAAATTAATTTTAACGGTATTTATTTTTTGATACAACAAATTAAAAAGGTGATTTACCTTGAGAAAAAAAATTGCCTATCATATCTTTATTAATTTATTACGCTATGAGAAACAAACAGCACATAATAAAACATATGAACAAATTAATATTTTTTCAGTCAATGGTCAAGATAGTAATAAAAATCTGGAACTGAACAACAAAAATACTTTTATAACTTCTGACCTGTTTTAGTATCAAAGAAGCAACTAGATTGAGCATTTTTAGAATATTTCGAAAACACAAACGCGTGTGACTAGTGGGAGTGTTATATTAAGTTAAACTACAAAAAAGATTGCATTAATCGCTCTATAAGGCTACCTTTTCCTCTAGTAAATTATTGCAGTTGTTGTTATAGATAATTCTAGCTTTTATGTCCTCGATTTTGACAATGAATTATTCTTCCTATTCTACGGAGTCAATATAACAGTTTAGCTGGGTCTCCTGTGCTATTTTTCTAACTAGCAAAACATGTTATCAAAGTAAAATTTATCGTTGTTTTCCATTATTGCTTATGTAACTGTGAATTGAGACACCGGCGTCAGCTTATAAACTGTTACGTATGAAGTATGTTTAAGATTGTAGAGAAAAAATAAAGTTATAATTATTTATTATCAAAACAAGTTTTATCCAATTATCTAAACTGTTAAGTCACGCCCCTAGTTGGTTAGCAAACAATGTTATCGTGTTAGTAAACACATGTTCATTACAATAAGTTGTAGCAACTTAACGCGACTATTGCATATAGAGCATATTGTTTATTTTAATGAAAATAAAAAATGATAGTACCTTTGCCTGCGCCAGCGCTGATCAACTCCAAGGCCACAAAATCATGCCTCTCGTTATATCGCCCGTTGTATAGTAGCAGACCGGATGTCGATTGAGTTGCGAATCTGTACAAAAAACATATGATAGTGGTGAAAATTAATGGTGGCACACATGCCATGCCAGTGTCACCTTTTTAATAATCATAAGTCACCATGATTAATTTAATAATAACTCTTACACTAGACATTATCAATCCTTACTTTAATTTGAACTGCAGTCGATGTCTGCGTTTGAGGCCGGGAAAAGTGAGGAACGATGTCACTGGAAAGCTTCTTGCTCGCAATTCGCACATCGGCGTAGTATGAGCAGTGTCTATGGCACATCCCTGGCACAATATGCCTCCTTCCCGTCGCGGCACGCACTGCGATCCGCTGCGGCATATAGACCCGTCGCCAGACACCGAGCATGACGCATTCTTCAATACTGTCTCGCAGTTCACACCTGTATACAAACATTCATCATGCTCAGTGTATAATATTCACATTGATAGGGTACATGCCTTCACTATTGATGGAAAAGAGAGGTTAGGTCGTGAGTCACCACGCAAGCCCAGTGTGGATTGGTGGGTTTTTAACAGTTTAATACTGCAATTACTGCAACGCTGGATGCGGGCAGCGCAAGATCGATCGTTGCGGAGATCCTTGGGGGAGGCCTATGTCCAGCAGTGGGCGTCGTACGGCTGATATGATGATGATGATGAATACTGCATTTACAGCCGAGACCATCAAGCTCAGCTTGCCTTCCGAAGCATGGAGGAGCTCGAGCTATTAGGTTTTTGGTCGCCCATCTAATGACTAGCAGGATACTGTTTCTGTCGATTACTTCAATCATTGACTTTATACAAGACTTTACAAGAGAAGTAAATAATAATAAATAGATATTTCTAACACACACACACCAATTAGTCTAGCTCCCCCAAAGTAAGAACTAAGGCTTGTGTTATGGTTACTAGGGTAACGGATAGAATTCCTAATAAAGTATTTTTTATTATTTAGAAATATACAAACATCTATGACTTAGATACAAATGTTCGTATTCATCACACAAACACTTGCCTTATCGGGATTCCATCCCGGGACCTCTGAATAAGCGACACCTTGAAATACGGCATACATACCACTAGCCACGGAGGTCTTCAAGTCAGATAAATTAACTACTTATTTAAGTTCTGAAACATTTACCTGTGTACCCAGGTGTGCACACGCACGTATATCCCCCTTCCTTTCGAAGGCAAGTCCCGTTGTTGACGCACGGTGATGAATAGCACAAGTCTACTTCTGTATCACACATATAGTGTTCTCTTGAGCCTATAAAGAAACAAATATAGTTACGTCAACTAAAACTGCGTGTTTTCCGATTAGTTCAAATTCATTTTACCCCAAAAAATATTGTCCTATACAACTGTAGTGCTGTAGATCGCATGTATGTATTGTAAAGACGACACTGATCAAGTTATATATATATAACTATAACTGACAAATTTCTCCTTTCTTTAAATATTAAATCAAATGAAAACACTCAAATTCAGTGTTTTCTTTTATTTGATTTAATATATAGAATCTATAGAAAAAAAATACTTATCCGTACCAGATCATTGCAATGATTTCGTGATAAAACTTCAAAAGGTACTATAATACACAGCAATACTAGCTGAATATTGAAAGTGGTTTCTCTTATTACACAGCAGCTACACAGAAATCACTTGAATTTTAGGTTCAGTTTTGATTGAACAACAGACAAAGCACAAGATCCTTAATCCCAACGATATTAAATACCCCAGATACACCAACACGAACAAAATCATGCCCGAAACCTGTCACAAAGGTACATTGGACGATCCACGGAACTTCTTAAGATAAGCGCATAGTCTAAACAATATAAGCATTATTTATACATTGAATATCACCTTTAAATCATACTGTATAAGGTCTTAATTAAAAAGCATGCGTCAAAGAGTTATGACAGTCCGAGATGTAAGCTCGTAAAATTTTACGATTTATTGCTATATGCGAAAAAATATAGACCTTATTTATTTGAATCTACGAGCAAATCTGAATGAGCTGTTTAAAATATAGCAGGTACGGACCGCGAGGAAAAGAGACGGCTATATTATCAACCATGCATTGGAATATCACAAATATTTTCTATTAACAGTTTATTCGCATTCAGTGTATTAAAACAAAATTTGCTTCGAAAAAATATAGACCTTATTTATTTGAATCTACGAGCAAATCTGAATGAGCTGTTTAAAATATAGCAGGTACGGACCGCGAGGAAAAGAGACGGCTATATTATCAACCATGCATTGGAATATCACAAATATTTTCTATTAACAGTTTATTCGCATTCAGTGTATTAAAACAAAATTTGCTTCGAATGCGTTAAATTAACAAACATTGATACCTGTCGAAAAAACTGTCGTATTTATTTCACATTTTGTCACGAAGCTCAGCGGCATGTTGACTTTACAACGGTCCCTGCGTGACTGTGAAACAAGAAGTGCTTGAGTCGTGTTCAAGCACTTCATGATAGGGACACATTTTGAACGCACGTGGTGTATCTAGGGTATTTAATATCGTTGCTTAATCCAAACAAAAATTTGCTTTGCAAATTACGACCTTACCCGTGAAGCCGTAAGGGCATTGACAGGAGAACGTTGTGACCGGGTATATCGGCCGAAACAGCATCGAGTCACTCGCAATGAAGCCTGACGCGTTGCCAAACTTCAAAACAGTGAGGCATACTTCGAAGTTGAGGCACGGCTCATGGACGCAAACGTTGTCGTCGAAAGGGAGTACCTGTGTGATTTTAAATTGAGTATAAATGATGCTTTTAAAGACTATCGACACTCATGATATAAATCCTGACTAATGTTATAAATGCGAAAGTGTGTCTGTCTGTTACCTCTTCACGCTAAAACCGCTGAACCGATTTTGATGCAATTTGCTATAAAGATAGTTTAAGGCCCAGTGAAGGACCTAGAATAGTTTTAATCGCCCTTTAAGGGGGGTGAAACGGGGGTACAAGTTTGTGTGAGAAACCAATTTTCTGCGCAGGTGCAATCGTGGGCACCCATTAGTGCTCTATTAAAGGTTTAGGCTTTCAGTGGCAGAGATGCGTGAGTAACATTGTTGTTATTTTTCGAAATTCATACAGATACCCACGCATCTTGCGTTAAGAATGTGGCTGTATGATGACTAAAATCTTTGCGGTGCAGGGATCGAAAAAGCGAAGGAGAGATATTATGAAATTAAGTGGCACGCGCAGACACGTGGGCAAGTAGAAGTATTAACTACACGTTTAAAATGTTGCCAGTAACATCAGTGTTATTTATCATTTTATTAGTTTAGTTATACCTATTATAAATAACTGTTTGTATTTATACTGTGTGACACAGCATTCAAAATGCAGGTGAACAATTAATGTATAATTTCACATTATGTAATGAAAGGTGACTTCATGAATCATCTCTGAAGTCATTTTTCAACTTGACGAGTCTGTAAATAATAAAACAGGGAGAAAAAGACAGCCCTTGCCGAGTTCCTTGCCGGTTCTTTTCAGTGCAAGGTCTCCCGTCGTACATTTACAAACCGATGGCGTAGCTTCTAGACATTCATACATGCTTGTAACAGCCTGAACTGAATAAATGATTTTGATTATAATTATTATAGACGGTGAAATAAAGTTACCTGTACAGTGGCGAGTCTGGCTAACGTAGCTCTGTGTAGATAGACTCTCTCTCGCAGATGCGTGGGCGAGTAGTAGGTTGAAGTATCGCCGGCCACGCCTACTTCCGCTTCCGGCCGTCGAGCCGAGAACGACACGTTGAGAATGTTGCCAGTAACATCGGTGTCATCCTACAGCCAATAAATTATACATTCTTTTTGAATCAAGTTTTGTTAAGCTTCGACTTATATGTCAGTTCTTCGGCTAATCGATTCGTCAAAAAAGAGTTTTATTCGGATCTACAATTTGTAATTATAAATATAGTCATGATTTGAATTATCATAATATCCAATGAATAAAACAAGATTGTCATAACATTTGATGTGTTTAGTTTGATAGGAAACTGAATGGTTGCCTGTAGGAGAACACGACCGACTTATGTTAACATAACGAGATTTATTTTAAAAGACATAAAGTATTCGTTATATTTTTATTAATTATAAAGTTCTTTGTAATTTATCTCATTTAGATCACACGTAGTTAATTATATACTGGCTAAAAAGTTGTAACCTTAAGGCCGCGTTGTTTTATCCATAGTTAAATTTGACTATAGTTCTCTTCAAATTGTAAATACATACATAGTAAATGTGTCAAATTTTGACAAGTGTTTTCTATAGGATTTAACTATAGTCAAATTTAACTAACAATAAAACAATGCGACCTAAACCGGTGACTTATGAAGTACCTGTACACTAAACACGTAGATATTTTCCTTTGGACAGGGTATGATTGCCGCTAGCCCATCTATAAAGAAGCCCAGCAGTGGGGACAAGAACTGTTCAGCAGTCATGTCGTTCAGTCGAACTGTTATGGAATTGAAGAGCATCTCCTCGGTAATGAGGCGGACGGACAGCTGCATCATCGCTTTGACTTCGTTCACGCCATCTGTTGAAAGAAGTTGACACTAATAAGAGATTTGCCAATAATGTTCTTAGTCCTCACCGAATACGATAACACTCAACGTTTGATACTTGCTGTCAAAAATTCTTTCCATTTATAATTACTATACTTAATAATTTTATTGAGATAAATAAGTTTCACACGATTTACTGTCCAGTGTTTGCTTATAATATCGATGTATTCTTGAAGAAGCTGGTAACCTGGGCGAAGTTATACATATATTACTGCAGCGGCTAGAAAAAGAAGCATTGATGGACGAACGTAAATAAACATACGTAAATCGATCAATGTCTAGTTGAGGTCAAGCTTTGGATAGTACTTTTCTCAAATAATGCGCGGAAATGAAAGCTAATTAGTATATAGGCAGACCTTATTATTACATTATAATACACATTAACTTATTCTATTTTTAAAAATCAATGACCATTCATTTGTTTTTTTGTTGAATAAACAGCTTTCAATTTGCAAGTCAGTTCAAAATAAAAAAGAAACTTTGATAAGTTACCACTTTGGTTGCTATGTTTCGGAGTAAAAGATCGTTTCAGTTAAATTACACTACGAATATGAGTTTACTATGTAATTTTGCCGCTAGAACACGGTAGATGATTGTCATACTACTTTTCCTGGCCGCTGCTCGCATGAATGTAATGCAATTTCGATTTATCTCGAAGAAGGTTGTCACAATAATGCTCAAATTTCCTAAAATGTCTGAGAAAATGTACTATAAGCGTCTGCATTAGAACTCAATCAATCATTCCAATAGGTACTTTATTTCCGAAAACAAGAGCAAGCCCAAGTGGCCTTCATAGAAATGTCAAATGCAAACTTTTAAGACTAATCGAAATATGCAATGTTTCCAAAGGCATTTCTTTTATGGATGCAGTTAAATATTTCATATCTTTGATTAAAGTGAAACTTTCAAAAATCGCCACAATTTTGCTCGTTAATCATTAGCATGACGCATTACATTAAATTGTTATCAAAATACATAATACCTTGTCACGATGAGATGCGATGACCGGGGTTCGATTCGCAGTCGAGAAAAGACTTTTTCTATTTTTAAAAACATTTTATAAGCCAGAGTAACTTAGTATAGTACCTTTAAAAGTTCCAATTGCATCGTGGTTTAATTTTAAACACACCATATATATTTTCTTTAGTTTACCTGTGACAGATATCTCCATTGTAGCCAACTTTGGGACGTTGGTGTTGAGTTGTGGCGACAGCGTCATGGAACCGCTCGTTTCGTTCAGTAGCACCAGGTTTGCGTTGTTCCCAGAGAGAATCCGATATTGAAGCTATGGAAATAACAGGTCTTTTATAGTGCGATTGTTGAAATTGAAAGAATTTATGAGACTTCTTTTGAATATAGTCTAAATAATATTACCCTAATTAATATTACAAATATATGCTACCAGACGAATAGGGACTTTCAAGTAAATATGACCTTCACAGCCAAGTGTCACAATGGACTTGGCAAAATCGCCATTTCTGTGACGTCGGCGTCATAAGCTGGAAGACAGAAAAGCAGTCCTTATAATAGTTGAATACTATCTAGAAGTCTTTCAGCATATGAGCGTTATCGTTGATTTCAGTTACGATAATTTCATAGTAAGGGGGCGGACTGGTGGCTCGGATTACAAGGTCATATTTTTACAAAGGACTCTTATAGACAAAACCTTTAGTTACTGAGAAATATTGCAAAACTAAGCTTATCAGCGACATCAGCATCATACGCAGGAACTCTCCCAAAAGGTTCAGTAGGAAAGTAGTCCTTATAGTTATGTTCTTATTTTTGAAGCATTTAACTACTAGATGTTTTTCTTTAGATTTAGTCCTTATAGTTGTTGAATACTATCTGGAAGTCTTTCAGCTTAGGAGCATTATCGATGATTTAGTTTACGAGTATTTCTATTCCTACGTCGCTCCAAAGGGGCAGACTGGCGGCTCGTAATACGAAGTCGTATTTTTACAAAAGACTCATATGGACAAAACCTTTAGTTACTGAAAAACATTGCAAAACTTACCTTATCAGTGACGTCAGCATCATACGCCGGAACTCTTCCAAACGGTCCGACAGGGAAGCAGTCCTTATAGTTGTTGAATACTATCTGGAAGTCTTTCAGCATAGGAGCGTTATCGTTCACGTCAGTTACGAGTATTTCTACTCGTACATCGCTCCATAGAGGTGGACTGGCGGCTCGGATTACGAGGTCGTATTTTTTACGAGGGCTTTCGTAGTCGAGATCGACTAATGTGACCAGTTCCGCTCTGTCGGACCCTTGGCGAGTTTCGAGCGAGAAGCTGTTGGAGTCGTCGCCGCCTGAGAAAAAAAATATCTTTATATTTTGTCTATTTGTCTAAAACGGCGAACTTTCACTCGCAGCGCTGGAAAAGAGTAATTATACTTGTAGTTAGTAATATATTATATAACAAAATAAGGACTTTCGTTTCATTTAATTACCAAAGAAACAGTGAATAGATGAAATGGAAGGATTAAGTGGGAAAATAGTTTCTAAAGCGCCTTGTTAGTGACCTTTAAAATATATATCATTTCAAGTTCAGTAGTTTTATTCCAGTAATTTTGTAGAGTATCCTTTTTAATTTATCAACCAAGCAAGATATATGGTGCGGTGGCAATATCTACACGCCCCACATATCAATAACAAATGAAGGCTTGTATATCCATAAGGACAGATAGCGCTGCGGGCGCTGCGCTCAATAAGTATGGAAGCCTACAGCATGCTAGATTTATTCGGAGGCAAACACTAAATATATGCAATGCCCGACCAATAACAGTCGGGGACTCCACGACAACGGCTAACTAGAGCCGAGGTTCGAGTCTCAGGGACGTTCTCTAGTTGAGCCGACCCCCTCAGGTTCGAGTGGTCAGAGGCTCCAGACTGAGAGGAGACTCCCCCCGTGGGGAGATGCCATCCGCCTGGAATACCTCTAGAGGCACTCGCCAATTCTCGGCTTGAGGTCCCCTTAGGATCTCGCCGTCCCCAAACCAGGTGACGCTGTAAAGGTCAGCTGCGACCAACAGCATACACACTCAAAAGTAAAACTCATAGTATCCATGTGTGGTTATGAGTAGTCATGCTCTCTTAAAAATCTCTTCGGTGGTGTCGTGTGAGGCGGGTCGTTGCGTTACCTAAAAAATGGTTGAGCGAAGCGATGGCTGGTTCATGCGTCATGCTCGTGAACGGGTGCTGCCAGCGGAGATGAGTCTGCTTTTGCTTCATTGGATACTATTAACCGTTGTACTAAACTTTAATCGTTCATTTTTTTTTGCCTAAACAGCAGGACACAGCATTCCAAAACTTTGTTAAACCAGTTTTTTATATAGTCATAATTTTTATTATATTAGCATTTGTAATGGAAAGTGACTTTATGAGTTACCTCATATTGAAGTCATTTTTCAATTTGACGACTCTGTATACAATACAGGGAGAAAAAAACAGCCCTTGCTGAGTTTCTTGCCGGTTCTTCTCAGTACAAGGTCTCCCGCCGTAGATTTGCGAACCGATGGCGTAGCTTTTCGACATTCACAAGTGCTTGTAACAGCCTAGACTGAATAAACGATATTGAATTTTGATTTTTTTTTTGAAAAAAAAAAAAAACAGTCGGCCGCGGCCCCCGAGGTACTATCACCCAGCTCGGAGGAGGATCCTCCTTTGGCCTTCCTACAATTGTGTGAAGATATCCCCGTATCGACACTAACCTTTGATAGAGTAATGCACCACAGCGTTGACCCCCTCGTCGGGGTCGTGCGCGTGTATTTCCCCTACAGTGGTGCCGATGGGACTGTTCTCCGGCACGTAGAACGTGAGGCAGTCGCTCTCGAACACTGGCGGGGAGTCATTCACGTCCTCCACTTTTATGTGAACTATCACCTATATGATAAAACATAGATGAAATTATACCTGTCCCTTGGCTTAATATTAAAAGGAGACTTTACAATTTACTTGTATATTCAAAGAGCTGATATCGTTAACATTAGAACTCCTTTTTAACTACATTTTGTGCAGGAAGCTGTGTGAGATTTTTGTACAATCAAAGTTTAACCTATAGAGTAAGCAGGTAGTATGTAGGTATTTGATGTAGGAATCAATTTATTAAAAGGTCGAATTTCGTATCTTATGTATGATAATATTATCTACACTCATAAATCAATACCAAATTAAAACGAACTCTGAAGAAGGCCAAATGTGAAAGTGACATTAATTACAATTAATCATTTAACTTACAGTCGAGCTCTGCGGCGGAGATCCCCCATCGACAGCCAACGCTTTGAGATCGTAAGTGGCGACGGATTCCCTGTCCAGAGCCTTGTTGGTCCTGATGACGCCGGACGATGGGTCGATGATAAATGAACCTTCCTCCCTGTCCTTAGCGTCTAGTTCGTAATGCACGCGTCCATTTAAACCAACGTCCGCGTCCGTCGCGCTCACTTGAGTCACCGAAATGCCTGTTTGAAGATTATGTTCGTATTTTTATTTGCCCGTATGAAAGTAAGCAAGAGTAAAGAATTCTACAAATATTATAAATGTGCACGTTTGCATGTAACACCACGGGGCACAGCTAGTAATATATGAATTGAATCTATTAAACATTACTTCTGTTTCTTTTTAGAGTAATGTTAGTTCAAGTTCTCTTACCAACTACGGCGTCCTCAGTAATGCTGGCGGTATACAACTGCTGTTTAAACACCGGTTCGTTATCGTTCACGTCCACGACGGATATCTCTACGTCCGTGGTGTCAGACAAGGACGGAACACCGCCGTCTCGCGCCGTCACAGTCAACAGGTATCCTTTTAACAATAAATAAAAAAGGTTATGGGTGAAATTATGCAGTATACGGGAAGATATCCATAATAATCCATACTAATATTATAAATGCGAAAGTGTCTCTGTTACATTTTCACGTCTAAAGAACTGAACAGATTTAGAAGAAATTGGGAATAGAGATAGCTCGAGGTCTGCACGCACATAACTTTCAAACGCGTTGTGAATGCCTCGTTCAGGATTTTCGAGCTGAAAAAAGTTTGCGAACTTTTTTGACATTTACAATGTGCAAAGAGCAAATTGCATATCCATTGATGGTTTCAAGGGCAGATTTTTTAGTGGCGTTATACTAAAACAATAGTGGATCTACTGAATAGCTTAGTGATTATCACTTTCATCTGCCAAAAACCGTTAGCGAATAGACCTACTGGGCGTCCATACTGATGAGCGACATCTCGCTAGTATGTTTGTTTACACTTAGAAGATAACTCACCGCTCATAGTCTCCCTGTCTAAAAGTTTGTTCGTAGTGATTGCTCCAGTCTGGGGGTTAATGACAAACTCCTGGTCGTGATGGGTGACAGCCTCGTTGGAGATCTCCGAGCTGAGGCTGTAGGTGATCTGAGCGTTCACACCGACGTCGCTGTCCGTAGCAGAGACCACCAGGACAGTGGTGCCGACGGGTGCGTCTTCGAACACCTTGAGAAATTAAAATGTGATATATTTAAGGCGCTTTTGCGTCAGTAATAGAGGACGCCTAAACTAAGAGTAGTTCTCCCCCAAAACCTCTCCATGCTGATCGGTCCTGAGCAGTCAAATGACCTCATGGTTATTAAATCACCAGGTATTCATATCATCGTCATTTGATACAATATCGCCGCATTAAAAGGACCTTTGTGAAGACCTAGAAGGTGTTGAAATGGTTTGCGTCGTAATTTACGGGGATATCATATGACATAGGTCGCAATTCAAAATGTTCGGTGGTTATGAAGTTAGCAGCGAGCGCAACTAAGAATAAGTTCAGTGAGTGTCCGAAAAAACGAAATTTAGGTACTTATAGTTTAGTTATATATTACTTATGTTATAGTTTAGGATCTTTTAATATATGGAAACAATAAAGAATTGAATTGGTAATTTGACTCTTATCGTCGCTATATGTATAAAGCACTTTGTCAAACAAAGTCCTTAAAGGCGTTTAAATGGATTGCGTCCTAATTTAACGATTATCGCTACGGAGTGAGGTTCAAGATCTGGATGACACTTCCGAAAATGTATTGCTGCGCCTGCGGTGCAAAGACGGCTTCTCAAAGATCTAGATGGCACACATGGGATTTGGCTCTCATAGCGTGATAATTTGACGCTTCACGTCGCTGTGTAAGGCTCATGTTCGAAGACCTAGAATGTGTCTAAAAGGTTGCATTTGTAAATTGACACTTACTGCCTCAGAGTAAGATCTAAGACCGTCTCTTACTATCGCTGTTCAAGACGCCACCTGGAAGACCTAGATGGCATTTTAATGGGTTGCGTATTATTTGAAAACTAACCGCTGCGGAATAAATGCCAAGGCGGCGTTCACGTTTAAATATTGCCGTGGTGCAAGGCACCTTTTAAAGGACCTAGATAACATACAACCAAGAAGGCGTTTAAACGGTTACGTTGTAATTTGACACTAACCGCTCCTGAGTAAGGTCCAAGACCCTGTGTTTTACCGTTGGGGTTCAAGCCTGCTCGAAGACCTAGATGGTATTTTTGATAATTGGTTTATTAAATGTAGAAAGCGTTTATTAAATGTATACGATTACTCACCGCGGCGGTGTAGGGCGCGTTCTAAAGATCATGTCTTACTGCCGGTCGAAGTTCAATACACCTTCCGGAAGACCTAGAAAACGTTTATCACTCACCGCGGCGGTGTAGGGCGCGTTCTCGAAGACGGGCGCGTAGTTGTTGGCGTCCGTGACATTGATGTGCACCATGGCGGTGTCGGAGCGGCCTCCGCTATCAGTGGCGGTGACGGTGAGCACGTAGCGCCGCTCCTGCTTGTAGTCGAGCGGCTGCGCTACCGTGATCAGTCCGCGCCCGTTCTGCGACGTGATCGAGAAACGACCGCGCGTGTTGCCGCCCGTTATCTCGTAGTGGAGTCTGCGATTCAACAATGATATTTTATTTTATATAATTGATTTATTTATTTTTACTCAATTTAAATCAGTCTTTCCTCTTCATTCTGTACAGAAAATTAAAAAGATAGTGTTGTCAAATTATTATCATCAGCCTATTAATGTCCCCACTTCTGGGGCATAGGTCTTCCCTACGGATGAAATAGTTTGAGCCATGACCCACCACGCGGGCCCGGTGCGGACTGGTGGGTGCTAACGACTGCAGATGCAGCCGGGATCAACGGCTTAACGTGCCTTCCGAAGCACGGAGGAGCTCCAGATAGTAAATTTTTAGCCACCCATCCAATGACCGACTACTGCGAATCTGAAAAATCAATATTTTGGCAAAAAACGGTTTTACAGTATTTGTTATACTTCATTTACTCTGTTCCCGTGAGTAAATTTTAAAGGTGAGAATAATTCTTTCTGCTTGTAGTAGTGATGGGGCCGCGCCCGTTTTGCGACTTGATCGAAAAACGACCGTGCGTGTTGCCGTTATCTTATAGTGAAGTCTGCGATTAAAATAATAACGTTATTATAGATTATTTATTTTATCTATTCGAAAAGAGCTAGTTGTGCCTTGTTTACAGGGACCAAAATAGCGTTTTTATCCCAAAAGGCTAAAAGTGATTTGAATAGGCGGGTACACAAGGAATGTCCCAAAATAGATAGATAGATCTGCCATCCAGAATCGTGGTTTGAATGTTAATTGCATTTGCTGAATGGTAAGAGGCGACCATTTGTCCGTTGAAATTTCACTTCTACTATGTGTCCTAGCCAACGATATTAAATACCCTAGATACAACATCACGAACAATATCGGGGCCGAAACCTGTCCAAAAGGTACATTGGATCCGATCCACGGAGCTCCGTGAGAGGATCGCGTAGTCAAAAAGAATATAAGGCATTATTTAAACATTGAAATTCACCTATAACGCATACTACATAAGGTCTTAATTAAAACGCCTGCGTCAAAGAGTTATGAAAGTTCAAAACGCAAGCTTATAAAATTTTACGACTTATGCAAAAGAATTTAGACCTTTACTTTGACTCTACGCGCAATCCTGAATGCGCTGTCAGCAATATCGTAGCTACGGACCGCGAAGAAAATAACACTTTACGTACTATAAGTATTTATTTCGCATTTTTTCACGGAGCTCTGCGGCATCTCGAATTTTCAACGGTCCGCGCGTGACTGTAAACCTAGAAGTGCTTGAGTCGTGTTCAAGCACTTCTTGATAGGGACCTATTTGATAGCACGTGGTGTATATAGGTTATTTAATATCGTTGGTCCCAGAACACTTTTTTTTAATATCGTCACGTCACCTGTTGTCCTCATCGGCGTCGGTGGCGGTGACGGTGACGAGCGGCGTGCCGGGCGGTTCGTCCTCAGCGATCTCCACGTCGTAGTGGGCGGGCGAGAACACTGGGTCGTTGTCGTTTACGTCTTGAACGACGACCACTACGGACGCGGTGGCTGAACGGGGCGGGGTGCCGCCGTCTGTTGCTGTCACCTGCGAATATCAGCAGTGTTAGACATCGATAAAGGACTCAGGATTCCCTATTCAACTCTGTTAAAAAAAATGGGCAGTTAGTGTGACATGGCCAATAGTTCCTTTTCTTTTCATAGAGTATTGTCAAAAGGGTATTCGACAAGTTTTAGAAAACGAAGTCGCGTTATTTACTTATGTTTATGGAGTCCATGAAAAGTGGATATTTTTAATTCTGTCATGTAATTCAGTAAAAAAACATAAAAAAATACTAACAAATTTCAAGTTGCCGCGAAAACGTGACATCACACAGCAATCATTAAAACATCAAACGATGCAATGTAATGTCACTTTGGCCGGAAGTTTACTAGCGTGTGACGTAATTTTAATCATGGCCAATCCTAGGCGTTTTCGGTCACGTGACCATGAAGCAAAAAAAAAACATTTCTATTTAATGTTTTTATAGAATAGCTATTAATTATTTGTTCTTCCAGAATATTAAAATCACTGCTAATATTAATATTAACCGCCGATAACCGCATAACTTAAAGTAGCTTAAATAATATCACCGAAAGAAGAAGAGGTAGGGGTCTCCGGTGTATGAGTCGGATCAGAATCACCAAAAGGCGAAAGGCATAAACCCGGATGAGAATCACAACAGAGAGGAGTGGCGCAAAATGATACGAAGAGCCGACCAGTTGATATGGTATTAAGGCTAAGAATATGATGATGCGACCATTGTCAATTTCATGCAAATGTCGCGCAGTCAGTCCATTCTATTCATGTCCCCACTGCTGAAGCACAGGAATTTCTTTTAGGTGAAGACTGCATAAACCATCAGGTGCAGTGCGGATTGGTGAGGGTTAGCAACTGCAGTTGCAGCTGGGATCAACGGCTTAAAGTGCCTTCTAAAGCACGGAGGAGATTGCGATAAAAAATATCTTTGGTCGTGACTTTAATGGGTGTTTTCTGTTCTGGTCAAGGTGTCACTAGACAAAAGCTTTACTCATTTTTTTGGGCGGGATTTTATCGAGTGCGGTTGGCGTCTTATTTTAATTATTCTTAAATTCGTTCATAGTGGATATTGTGAAACAAAATTGGTGTGATTTTGTGTTACAACCATTTGCGCAACGTAAGAATTAGTGTAAGCTTTAAAATATACGCTATTCTGGTCAAGTGGACCTGAGAATTTTATTGTAGTGTTGACTACCTCACAGAAGTTTAACGAAAAAACCAATTCGATACATTCAGTGCCAAACACTCGTAAGAAACATTAGAATGCATCACACCGACATTCTAATGTAAAAAAAGAAGATTAAGATTTGTATTTGATCCATGTATCTTGTATCCATGGTCGTGAATAATTAAAAAAAAATTTACTCATCCGTCAAATCACACTCGGTTCGATTAATTCGTGCCAAAATCTTCATACAAAAAACCTTATGTCACAGTGGCGCTTAATGGTGACGTAAAATTTCCTAAACACCCATTGAGCATGAACATCATAAACGTAAATGTTGAAGATGTGTTGAAATCGGACTTTGCAAAACGCGTATGAAATATCATATTAGAATTAGATACAAGACTTCTAGCTATAATTAATTAATATTTAATATTACAATACAATAGAAGTCATAAATTCAAAAGCACATTAATACCTGCAGCTGGTATTTGGCCTGGACTTCCCTGTCCAACTGTCCAGAAGTGTACACCCATCCGGAGCGCGCGTCTATAGTGATGGGCAAGTCGTTGTTGCCGTTATACTCCTTGTCTATGAGACTGTACGTCAGTTCAGCGTTAACACACTCATCAGCATCATAAGCTTGAACCTGAATAAAATAAATAACAAATTATTATTGATCAATAAATAAACAAGCATATAAATGAAAAGGAATGCTGTTAAATAAATTGCACCTTGTTTGTGAGTAATAAAACATAAATTCGTAAAGAAATTACATTTGGTTAGCGAGCAATAAAGCACAAATGCCGAATAAACATGTTAATCATTTAATATCACTTTAGTATTATGCTGAACTGGTAGTGAAATAGTTCGTTTGTTTCGTAGAAAGTGTTCGTTGCCAACTTTTATGTTTAGATAGTAAGAAAACTTTATTATTCTACTGTAATAAAGTCCATCAATGGACAGTTTAGTAGTTTCAGAAGCTATGGCTATGAATTGAACTCAACATCTTCGTGGAAATTTGTTGTTGCTCGAGAACTTTCGTATGAATGGCATGACGCTTCACGACAAAATAACATTCTCAAAAATTTTACCTTATTTGTTAACAAATTCAACATAGCTCATTAAGGATTATAAATAAAGAAGGATAATCACCCTAACGATGCTGTATCCTACGGGCACATTTTCGCTGACAGATTCTTGGAACAATGAGGTGTAGAATCGCGGTGAGTTATCGTTGACGTCTCTCACGTTGACCAGCAGCTGGGTGGTGTTAGAGCGGGACGGGCTACCACCATCTAAAAAAATGGGTGCGTGCACTTATGTAGGCGCGTGAGAAGTTATCCTTCTTTGGCATCGTTTAAAATTAGTTTTTAATTGCATGCAAATAATTAATTACAATAAATTAATAAAAAGTCTGGAAAAGGACGAAGTCAATAAAGTTCAGTTTTAATTTGAAAAAATAAATAAATAATCAAAATATTCAATTAAAATCGCTACTGAATATAATTTATTAGAACATATGTGATTTGCACTTGTATGAAACTCAAACACGTATTCCGAATATACAAACTAGAAACATGTGGATAAATATTATAAATATGAATACCTATAACTGTTACTTTATTACAAAAAATAAAGATGTGGTTTTTGGTTCTACTACCTACACCAATGGTCAAAAGATGGCGCTGTAGTCTCCTGAATCGCGCTTTGGTTCCGTTGTTCCAGATTAATAAATACTTTTTGTTACTTTATTACAAAAAATAAAGATGTGGTTTTTGGTTCTACTACACCAATGGTCAAGAGATGGCGCTGTAGTCTCCTGAATCGCGCTTTGGTTCCGTTGTTCCAGATTAATAAATACTTTTGATAGGCCTTCACAATGCAGTCGTTAGCACCCACTAAATAGAGATTCTATTTCTATTTTGTTGGTAGATTTTCTTAATGTGCGGTAAACACAAAAGTAACGCATGAAGTTGGTCGCTAAAGCTAAAGCGACCAACTTCATTATGTTAAAATTTTGTGTTACAATGATGCGCGCGCATCTTAAAATTTCACTCTCATCATTTTTTCATAACGCGCCTCTTTAGGCTTCTTTAAGTATAACTTCAAAAAATGATCTAAATTAAGGACGGATTTTCGTCATCTTATCTTAAAGTGCGATCGCTTCAAATGTGAATTTTAGAAACAATACAGGAATAAAGATGTTTTATTTGAGAGAAAATACGACAATAAACTACAAAACATAGACAAATCTCAAAACGGTCTCAACTTAAAATAACGTCAACGTTGCCGTTGCCACCAACACTATTCTCCGTTTGAAGAGTCTTTAGTAGACTTGCAGCGAATATTCGGTTACTATTCGGTATTCGGCCTATTCGGCTGCTTTTATTCGGCCGAAACCGAAAGTAGTCATTGGTACATAATCATCTTCTGAATTGGAAAAATGGAGGATTCTATGTATTTGAATTATTGTGGTAATCAAAATTTAGAAGGGTAAGGTTCTCATTTCTTTTATAATCATTTATTAAGTAGTCATTGGTACATAATTTAATCATTTTCTGTATTAAACAAGTTAACAGTTTTTAATTCATTCAGTCATGTGATAAATGGTTACATAATAGCAATAATTTGAAGTTTACGCGCCGTTTTTGGCCATATCTCAAAAGTTGGTTTTGTCATTTAGCCGCATTTGGACGGCAGATTAGAACAAAACAAAGGAGCGCGAAACAATCACGTCTGTACAAGACTTTGGCACTAAAATCCAGCCGAATACTTTTGCCTAATATTCGGTTATTCGGTCAGGGGCCTCGCCGAATATTCAGTATTCGGTATACTGCCGAATATACTATTCGTTGCAAGCCTAGTCTTTAGTCATTAGCAGCTTGGGTCTGGCTATAGTATATCCGTGAAGAATTTTCTTTCACATAAATAAACAAAACATACGACCACCTTTTCGTGATCTAATCTGGCCAAGGTTTATTTTTATAAATGCAATATAAAACACACTGTCATCAGCAGTGTTTCCGGACCATTGCGAACCGAAACCTTTAAAAAAAGAGCGGAGCCTTAAAAGCCGGCATCGCATTCGTGATACCCCTGGTCTTGCAGGTACCTATGGGCGACGGTGATAACTTAACATCAAGTGAGTCAGCACGTATGCTCCCTATAATATAAAAAAAACTACACAAGCAAATTTTAACCTAGCATCCATAGCGATAAAGATCGACTTTGACGAAGATAAGAAAGAATATGATAATTTTTTGGCTATTGCATGCTTTGTTTAGTTTACTGACCTTGCGCCCTGATCACAAGCCGGTAGCTTCTCAGCTGCTCATAGTCTAGGGGCTTAACCAGAGACACGTCACCGCTCAGGCTGTCTATTGAGAACTGCATCTGTGTGTTACCGCCTATGATTGCGTAGCGAATCGCAGCGTTTGTGCCGATATCTGCGTCTGTAGCTCTGTGGAAAATCACCAGAAATGCAATCAGCATTAAAAAAATACTGGCAATATGCTCTAAGTAATATTATTTTTTTATCAAATAAACGTTATATGTCCATGCATCGCTTGCATCAAACTGATCCCAAATTAATCGAATCTTTAAAAAGGGTACAGTGATTAGTGAATACTAGCAAACCAGTGAACCAAATGTTCACAAAAACATAAAAAAAATGTATTTAATTAATTGAGAACTTCGGAGATTTTGTGTGGTTTCGTTTGAAATAGAAATCACGTGATTTCTCGAAAACCGGAAGTGCTACGTTACTCACATCCGGTTTGTAGTCTTATCAGACTATTCTTAACTTATAACTTAAACATTCTCTATATCTATCTCTTACGGTTTGGCCGCTGAAACAGCACCACGGACGGACGGACGGACTTGTCTAATAGATAAGAGATGACAAATGATAAGAGGAAAATCAACCTATAAACGGTCGGAGGTTGACTAGACAAAATGAAAATCTAAACAATGCTTAAACGTGTTTAGTGTAACCATTACTTTCAACGTATGCAATATTTAACGGTAAGTAAAGAAAAGCATAGCTCTTGTGAAATTTCTTGTTGAAATAGAAGTGCATTTTACAATAAAAATATCGCGAAAGAATATTATAGCAGTTCTACAAGTACTCCTCATAAAACATGTACTAGAATCTCGCTGCCTGCTGTGAAATACGGCGCTCTTATTCCGTTTTATGTAGTTTTGTAACATGTAATAACAATGATAGCATATACGCATATAATTTTTAAATAAGCAATTAAATCCTGTGAAATGATCGGATATATGACATGATTAATATCGAAATCATGTAAAACTCAAAAAACCTAGGTGTATTTCTTAAAAACGATCAAATGCCTTGACAGTTTCTATCAAGAAGAATAGATCTATCAAGAGGTTCTAACGGATGTTAAAAGAGACTGGATAGGAAAAAATTATGTTTTATGTTTATAAGACAAACAAATGTGGACAATTTGATTTTACAATAAACGACATTTTATAACTATTATATTATTATCCAAGCCGCTGCGCCGATTGTGTAGGGGTGAAGATTTCCTTAAATTGTCGATGTACATTTAATTTTGTTTAGAAAGCGTCATAACTGTCTTGGCGCATTTACAAGGGTATGGTATTGTGTATTACGATCCATTTACTCGCAGCAATATCATAGGGAGTGAACACAGCAAGGAACGCAATATAACCGTTTTAAACAACGATCGCGTTAGATTTATAGCTATGATAATTCAAAAAGCCAGACTGGAAGACGCTGCGATAGATTGGGAACTAAGGAATCGCCTATAAGCAGTTATGTTTAATTTAGTTTTTATACAAAGCTGTTTCTGTTATCGTCTGCTATTATTCTCAAATACAGTTAGCTAAAAACTCTACCAAATAAGAACTTAACAATTAATTGACTACTTTCGTAATGAATATGTTTTATTAAATTTGAAACTTACTTGATTTTTGCTATGACAGGGTTATCTGCAACACTAATGTCTTCGTCCACGGTGACAGTGTAGGTCTTCTCGCTGAACTGCGGGTAGTTGTCATTGTCGTCCAAAACGTTCACATGGACTGTTGCTCTGAGGGAATAATAGTTATTTATTATACAAGAGTGGAAAGTTCCTTTTTAACCGCGTGCTCGATTTGGATGACCGAGCAAGCGAAGGATTCTAAAGTTGAATCACGAGCGCAGCGAGTGATTCTAAATTAGAATCCTGAGCGTCAGCGAGGGAAACAAACGAGCACAAGGTGAAAAATCTTTCCACTCGAGTGCAATACGTAACTTTTCATCCCACCTCAGCGAGGAAATGACAAAATGAAAAAGAAAACAATTTATAATGACAAAATATTTTTATTTCAATTAAAACACATTAAGATAATCTATAAATTGAAGAAAATAATAAGAAGTAGAAAATAATTAAGAAATATTAAATGTAACGTTGCTACAGTTACTTATGTTAAGTTTAATATTTTTGTTAGGTAATGTTATGTTGGTGTTTGTGAATTGTGCGCTGTTTTGTGGTAAACTACTCGTATCAGTAATTTTAAATAGTTGTGCCGATTCATTGGATTCTATTGGCGTAAATGTTGGCGAGAGAGGGCTATTGTTTCCAATCTTATGGGGGCTCATTTTAGATGTAGAAGGGCGAGACCAAGAATCTGACAGAGGTTCTTTCAGCGTTATGGCCTCCACGATACTATTACAAATTTTTGATTTACTTTGGATTGAATCCTCTATGTATCCCTCTACAACCGAATTAGACTTCCAGCCTCCATGGCGCTTAAGCGATAGAAGATCAGCCCCTGATTCGGCCAAAAGTGTGGCTGAGGTTCTTCTAAAACAGTGACCGGTGTATAACGGGGGTTCTAAAAGTCCGAGAAAAGTTGCTATTTCTCGTGGAATACTGCCAATTTTATTCTGACCCATAGGTTGTCGGATACACTTTCCGTTGCGATATTGTAGAAAAAATCGTTCAATTGGGGTGTTAGAAGGACGTAAAGCTTGATATTTCTGAACAATGTTTACATATTCCTTGCGAATAACGAAGTTGCGGTCTTTTTTTGTCTTGGTATTTAGTACATTAATTAATAGCAATTCATCAGAATTATGAGAATATTTTGATACGTTATTGACATTAAGTAGTGTAAGTTCATTTGTTCGACATGCTCCGGTTATACCAATAATAAGAACAACCTGTAACAAAAGAAGTATTTATAATCGTAAATAAATTAATCAAATTAAAAATATTGTAAGTACTATGTACAATTTTATCAACAACAAAAAATTACACGTATTGACTTACTTTTGCCGCTAAATATACGGAATCAGGTGCTTCATTAATAAACTTTGCAATTTCAGATGCTGTGAAAACCTTCGATTTTTTTGGTTTATAACCAGATGAGGCTCTTTTTAAAAATGCCACTAATTTATGATAGGTGTCGATATGAACGTCTTTCTTCATCTTAATTGTTAATTTTAGCATTGAATACGTACTCCATAGCGTGCTTGCTTTCTTGGTCTCAGATAATTCTATAAAATATGCCAGCAAAACGTTTTCGGAGAAAGTTTTTGCTCCTTTAGCTAGTCGCCACATGTTAAATATATCGTACTGTTTCAAATATTTCTCTCGTGATTGCTGAGGGAGAAGGCTCATTTGCGCATTATTAACTGTTTCAGTTAACTCAGTTGGCGTTAGATAAACTTCATCGTCGCTAATGTCACTCATTTTAGTTGATTTTTTTGTACAGTTTTTAGGTTATGTTAATTATATTAAGCAATAAAACGTGAAAAACTAGAATGGCGCGAAGCACGCAAATAAAACAAAGAAACCAAGAAGGTTCCAAATTTAAATTTTTTCACAATTTAAAAAGTTCTAATCATAAATTTGGCACCATAGAGGTTACATTAAATAGGTTTAATGACGTTTTGAATTTACAATTATATTGAGTACTCATTATATGTGATGTTCTAAATTCAAATCTACTTTGCCGCTCAAGCGAATAAAATAGAATTTTCCAGCCAGATTTCGAAGCGCAAAATTACACTTTCCGAGGTGGTGGGATGAAAATATATTTTTTGTAGGCATGAGCTGTTGGACATATTATTATGACTAATAAAGTGTGGATGTAAACAGGCTGATGCAGATTATGTCGAATAATGAATTCGATGTCTTATATGAAAAGTTTGATGGCGAGAGGAGCTCGATGACGCAAGTGGTAGCGCGTTCGGCTGCGATCGTTGAAGTTAAGCAACTTTCGCAGTGGTCGGTTACTGGATGGGTGACTATGTACTCTCGAGCTCCTCTGTGCTTCGAAAGGCACGTTAAGCCGTTGGGCCCCGCTGCATCTGCAGTCGATAGCACCCACCAATCCAAACTAGGCTCGCGTGGTGGGTCATGGCCCAATCTTCCTATTCCATCCATAGGAAAGGCCTGTGCCCCACAGTTGGGACATTAATAGACTGATGATGATGATGTAAAAAGTAAAAACCTACAGATAGAAGGAAACTATTGTATGGAGCGGACTGGCGAACTTGTCACTTAGGTGTCTTGCGACAAACAGGACCTAGCTAATCTTATAATAATAAATTTTATAAGAAAATACAAGTTTCTATCTTATCATTTTTACTGTTAAGTACATAATCGCGATGTTTATTGAAATTTGTGTTGAGTTCTGTAAGAACAAAACCACAATTTAACACATTTAACTTGACTCCGATCTAGATTCGATTGAGCACTTAAGTTCAGGTAAGTAAATGCGAGAAAAAAAATCTAGTTTTCTAGATAAATCTAATAAAAATACGGCATAGCTAGAAAGAATAGTCAATCAATATCCCTAAGTGTTTTCTCTGCTTTATCTTTGTAGCAAACTATCAGTAGCAGACGTCTCGGTACGAAAGGGACTCGTGCCAAATTGATAATATATATTACGACTCCAGTTTCAACTTTTTGAACGGCGAATCGGAACAGTCGGGAAATATAGTATACATTTTCTACCTGTGTCTATGCCAAGTTTTTAAAGAATCCATTCTACAGTAAAGAGTGGTATAAAGGAAGTTCTGTAGTTTTATACAATGGGTCTGTCTTATACAGCTGCAATGTATTTTTATAGTTATAAAGTTAAAACAAACTATCTAAGGGTCTTGATCTTGAATATTTTTGAAAATTTCAATATAAACATTAGAACCTATATATTCTTCTTAAATATCTTTGCTGTAGCACTGTAGCTATCTTTTTAATTGAACAATCAATTCCCTAAATATTTGTTTGTTACTTGTTACATGTATCCATCAATAAGCCAGTATCTATGGCGGTTAGTGCCGATGAAATAATCGGCTCAAACACACGATACGAATAATACTTGTAATGGATTAACAATGTATAGAGAGGGATACGGCTGGATTGAAGCCCACGCAAATCGGATTTCGATGCACTAGTTTCTGGTCTGGTTACTATGGAGATATCCCATAGCTGTAATTGTATTGGATGCGTTTACTGTATAGGAAACATTACTATTAAATAGTTTAAGGCAAATCACAATATTTATTTGTAGTTAGTTACGATGAAAACGCCAAAAGGATGCGGTGCTCACTGCTCAGCTAATATCTTGACTTGGCTTAACTCTGATTTCTATTGCGATATGGTCTTTACCAAGAAAGTAACATGAAGTAATACAATCCATACTAATGTTATAAATGCAAAAGTAACTAAATACTTGTTAGCTACGTTTTCATGCTTAAGTTCTGATCTGAATCGATTGAGACAAACTTGGAAAATAAAATAGGTTGAAATAAAGTAAAAAAACCAATAAAGTTACACGCGACGTCAGGGGCACCAACTAATGATAAATAAAATATGTCAAATTTTTAAGATCATACTTACGTGCTAGACAATCTGTCGGACACAGGGCTGGCTAGGACGGTGGCCCTCACTATGACGTTGTAGCATGCGTATTTCTTTCGGTCCAGCGCCGCCTGAGTCAGTAACTGATGCCCGTCTATCCTGAACAAATCCTAGAGGTCGGTGTCTATATTATTATGTACTTACGTGCTAGACAATCTATCGGACACAGGGCTGGCTTGGTCAGTGGCCCTCACTATGACGGTGTAGCGCGCGTATTTCTCCCGGTCCAGCGCCGCTCGGGTCAGCAGCGCCCCGCTGCGCCCGTCTATCCTGAACACATCCTGAACGTCGGCCTGCTCAGAGCTGGTGTCAATAGACTCGTTCTCTTCGCCCACTGCCTGGGTAGCTGCTACTACTGATTCTATGGAGTATTCCACCTGAGGAGAAATTTCATAATAAATATATAAATAATATAATTTAAAATATTTTGTCGGCTATAAAAAAACATAGAATGTGCTTTTATATCCAAAGGTTTAGCATTAGCAATACATGCTTAATTATTGGATTTATTAGCCGTTCATCTAATACGCAGTTCGTCTGAATAGCATTTGGCCATTCGTCTACTACGTAGTTCGTCCGTAATATGATTCGTCCATTTCGAGATTACGCATTACGAGGATATATTTTTATAATATAATCTAGTATATTAGGTGGCTTTCCAAATGAACCTAATTGTGTAGGTTTAAAACTAAAAGTCTCCTGAAAATTACAACTGCTAATGTTTCGCTGTCTCTGTAAATACGTACAAAAGAGACACCTACTACCCATAAAAAAAAAACGTAGGATTTTGAATAAAACATGTTTCAAATGTAACTTGTAGCTTAAATTTTCCCCAAATATGCTTAATTTATTTTCGTCCTCGAGAAAATGGCATAAGTTGGTAATTAGTGAAAAAAATATCTCAACCCAAAATAAAATAATTTCCCGTTTTTTTTTTCAGGTTGCGGTCCTTTTACAATAGATATGTAATACATGGATATATAGACATATTCACCGGAAAAACGGGTAAGCATAGCATGTTTGCTGCAAGAATTCATTCTTTTTTGGGAACAACTATTATATAGGTACCTTCCGTTACGAAATTTTAGTGGATTCGGAAATTATGCCTTATATTATTACAATTAAAGGCCGTTAGCAAAAATTTTGTCTGGTATTGATTTTTTCCCAAGAGTATCGTATAGTTCCTGGGCTAAATATTTGTGTAAAAGTTAAAAAAGCCTTGTGTACAATTTTTTTTTAATTATTATAGGAGCTGATATAGAAAACTTCACTTGGCTGTTTTCTTTTTTATTAAATAAAATATAACAATATTACTTTGTATAGTTCTATTTTCACTACGTGGAATAATTAATAACGTAAATCGGTCTCGCATTTTAAAATCATCTGTTATATTTTAAAACGTAATAAAATCACTTTTAACAAAAGAACCGTAAGTAGCTGTAAAATAGTAGAAGTAGTAAATTCTAGCATATTATTAAATCAATACAAAGAGTAGGGTTCCGTAGTTGCCTATAGTAACAATATTATATTTGAACAGGAATCTTTATTTTCTATATCGGTCTTCTATAATATTAAAAACCAATTAATATTAATCTATGTATCTCAACTAAACTACCTAAATCAAAGTCAAACTACGTCTCAAACCTAAAATCAATTTGATTTTTTTTTTAATACGAATGATAACTGATAACGCCGACTTTTTTTTGCTTCCTCTCAGATGGGGGAGCGGGTGTGAAATTCTCATATATACCCTACAGCCGGCTGCAAGGTTATGTCACCACCTGACATCCTTAATTTCTTTCAAAATGAACTCAATAGATTCTTTTACTAGAGATTATTGGGTTTTAACCAGGGGTCATGGGGATATTACCTCGGCGTTCTTGCCAATATCTTGGTCGGTGGCTTTCAGAGTCAGAACTGCGGTGCCAGAGCTAGCACCCTCCCTCACAAACGCTTCGTATTGTTGCATCTCAAACACAGGAGAGTGGTCATTGCAATCCAATACGTTGATCTGAAATAAAACAGCTTATGCATTTGAAAACAGATGTGGCAAAACAAATACCAAAGAAAGACATTGTTGATTTATTAAACAAGAGATGGTGGGGCGATAATACCTTTAAACGTATGGTAAGCGTACGCAATTTTAAGTTAAGATAAACAGTTTTTGTAGATTTGAAATGACATATGAATCTAATATGCATCGTCTTTAGTCTAAAGAGAAGGATTCCGCTGCTCCTTAATAATTGTTGTGATTAAATCTTTGCTCAGTGAGTGCTCAGCTTACAGTACCAAACTTATCTTCAAGGTTGTAGTATTTGTAGTCCCTTTTTGCACCGGCAACGTACTGGTTGGTCACCACTTCAGTCATCAAGTCCACGGCGAATATATCCGTCGACCATCACTCTAAGAGACTTGACAGTGTACATCATACTGACCTGCAAGGTAGTTGTGCCACTACGAGGCGGGAAGGTGTCATCCTGCGCCACCATCCTGAAGTAGTGCACATCGAGTCGCTCCCTGTCCAGTCGCGCCTGGGTGGTCACCACGCCAGTCCTCGAGTCCACAGCGAACATGCCCGCTGACCGGGAGTCCAGCAGACTCGACATGGAGTATGTCACTGGACTGTTTTCTGGGTCACTGGCGAAACGAAGTAATAATACGTGATAGCTAGTTTTACTTTCACAGGGTAAGGGGCTTTGACAATATACAGACAGCACAGATATAGTATTATATAATATTTGAGGAGCTCGATGGCGCAAGTGTTTAGCGCGTTCGGCTGTAATCGTTGAAGCTAAGCAACTTTCGCAGTGGTCGGTCATTGGATGGGTGACCAAAAATTACTATCTCGAGCTCTTCCGTGCTTCGGAAGGCACGATAAGCCGTTGGTCCCGACTACATCTGCGGTCGTTAGCACCCGCCAATCCGCACTGGGCCCGCGTGGTAGGCCATGGCCCAATCTCCCTATTCCATCCATAGGGAAAGCCCGTGCCTCAGCAATGGGGACATTAATAGGCTGATAATGAGATATAGTATTAACTGCACGAAAGCGGCGAAAAAAATATCTAGTACATGTGGTAGATATGTTCGTCGCTACACACGCACACATTGCGCGTAACATTAGGCGATTATCACACGGCACCGCGCACCGCCGCGGAGGGCGGTGGCGGTAACGCGGATTTCGCAGCGGTGCACCGCGCGGTAAGGCGGTTTACGCGCCTGTACGCGCGGATGGATTTAACGCGGTTTTGACCAGTTTGATTGCAGACGCTGGCAAGAATGGACGCTGAAGTGGTGGCAGCAATCTGGCTTTTATAGCGCAGAAAGAAAAAAATAAGAAGATACTGGGTTCATCCATTTTTACGAAGCAGAACTCTAAATGGGTCATTCATGTTATTCTATAAAAGTTTGAGAAAATACGAAGATAAATTTTTTAATTATACGCGAATGTCCACTTCTTCATTTGATTATTTGTTAGCAAAAATAAGGAAAGCAATTTCTGGAGTAAATACAAACATGCGTCCTTGTATTTCGCCGGAAGAAAAGCTTCTTGTGACCTTGAGGTAAGTGAAGAAGAAAATACACATTTTTCCATTTTATATTTTTATTACTTTAAATAATCAGTCTGTCAATTATTCTTGTTATTAAATCTACCTCAGTCTTTTTTGAAGATTTTTTAGATTTTTGTACCTACATCTAATTATAATTAGTAATTTTAATTTCTTATTTAGTAATCAAATCACAGTTATTTTTTCTTCATCACAGGATCAACCACGTATTTATGTGTCTACCTTAAACTAATTAACATAATCACAGCTTTCTATCTTCCGCACAATGAGCATAATTTCTTATTTAGTAATCAAATTACAGTTATTTTTTCTTTATCACAGGATCAATCACGTATTTATGTATCTACCTTAAACTAATTAAAATAATCACAGCTTTCTATCTTCCGCACAATGAGCATAATTTCTTATTTAGTAATCAAATCACAGTAATTTTTTCTTTATCACAGGATCAATCACGTACATATTTATGTATCTACCTTAAACTAATTAACATAATCACAGCTTTCTATCTTCCGTGCAATGAGCACACTATGGTTTTAAAACAGTGATAAAATCTCCGATTCATCAGTAATGTTTGAATTAACTGTGGTGGGTGTTGCTGGTATTGCTTCTATAATATTATCTGCAATTCCGGCAGCAGAGGTCCCTTGCTCGTTTTGCTGGTGCGCATATGATGAAGTATTCGTATAATAACCCTGATTTTGATTATTAGTATAGGACATTGTAGCGTCGCCTGACTCTTTATAATTGTACATTTCATCCTGAGCTTGTGATATGTATCTAATTATATTTATTTTCACGACAGATTTTAATCGATCGGGTACTTTCTTGAAATCAGGCACCAAAGAGAGCATAAACTGTCGGTCAGGATCTTCTTCGTTTTCTTTTTTGTTTATTGAAGTTTTCAGGGTATCGATTAACTCTCGCGTCATTTCTTCAGCAGGATCAGATTTCTTTCTTTTAGTACCTAAGGCTCTGTCTTCATATGGTCCTCCAACTGATTCATTACCTTCCCCGACTGATTCATCGTCTCCTGCAGACAAACTGTTCTGAGTTTTATTTTTTCCAGCGTAAGGTTTTAAAAATAACAATTGATTATAAAATCTATACTGATTATTTTTCTTAGCTCCTGCTCCGCTCTTTATATTTTTTTGTCTTCGACACTCCTTCATGAAGGCGTCTCGAAGGTTTTTCCACTTTATTTGTAGCGAGCGCCCTGTAATAAAAAAATATATTGTTTCAGATACCTGGCCACGGGGTGTTCCTTTACCGATCTGCATTACAGTTATCGACTTGGTATATCAACCATACGAAATATTGTAGAAAAAGTGTGTGATGCATTATGGGATGTAATGAAAATGGAGTGTTTTCCCGAACCTACAACTGAAATGTGGTTAAATGTAGCTGAAGGATTTAAGTCAAGAGCCAATTTTCTCATGTTTTAGGTGCCTTAGACGGTAAACATGTGCGTGTTATCAAATCATCTCTAACTGGATCGCTGTACTACAATTATAAGCATTATTTTTCCATCTTACTGCTGGCTATTTGTGATTCTAATTACAAATTTATATACGTTGACATAGGTGCTTATGGGAAATGCAGTGATTCTACAGTTTTTCGTGATTCCATTTTTTACCAAAAACTTCAAGATGGAACTCTTAATATACCAAACTCCTCTGCAATTACTGGTATCACCAATTCCGTACCATATTTTTTTATCGGAGATGAAGCTTTCAATATCTCAAACAATGTTCTACGACCCTATGCAGGACATCACTTAAATTACACTAAAAGAGTTTTTAATTATCGCTTGAGCAGGGCACGTAGATATATTGAGTGTGCATTCGGTATTTTAACACATAAATGGCGTATATTTCAACGCCCTTTGAACGTAAACAGAATTTTATCTATAAAAATTATTAAAGCATGTTGTATACTTCATAATTTTGTTAGGGAAAGACATGGCGTTGATTTTAAGGATATTTTATATACAAACAATGAGACGGAGGGAATAGTTAATATACCGATAGACAATAATTGCAGAGGAAGCACAAGTGCTGCAGCGATCCGTAATAATTTAGCTGATTATTTTGTAAATGAGAACCCGCTACCATGGCAAAGTCAATATGCTTAAATTTAAAATAAATAATTTTTTAAAACTTACCGAGTTCTTTCTTTTCTTTGTCAGAAGTTTGTCCTGGCTCCAAATATAAGGTAACAATTTCTTCCCATTGTTTCAGTTTTAGGAGTCTATCACTATATTGTGTGCTTTTCATGTCCCAGATAGCAGAGCGACTTTGAATCTCTGAAATAAACTTTTCGACATCGAAATCCATTTTTAAATTGCGACACGTCTTGCTTCCACGATGTTCCGCGCGGTTATGCGGTGCCACGTGTGTGAGGTGCCGCCCCTCCGCGCTGCCGTCCGCGCGGAGAGGCGGTGGCGGCGAGAGCACCGCTCGACCGCGCGGTCGGGCGGTGAACATGTGTTTAGTATCAACGGATTTAGTAGAGGCTTATGCGACATGAGATCCGCTTCACCGCCTGCCGCGGCGGTGCGCGGTGCCGTGTGATAATCGCCTAATCAAAAAGTATGGGATAGCGTTGGGCGCGACTGGTACCTGATATCACAAGCGCCTATTGCCAAAGTGGCAGCTTACCATCAGGCGGGCCATTGCCACATTTTTAAATATAAAAAAGAACCTTTAACTGTACTATCCAACAAAGCTTTCGAACCGAGCTTTTTGTCAACATAGTGAAATTATGATTTTCAATTAGCAAGTAATTTTAAGAGATAACCACGGGAAACACTTATACTTATTTCATCGATCCCATCGTCTCGCATTAGCAACTTCCTTAATCTTTATGAATCTCAAATCGCCAAAGTATCCAATAATAGCAAACTCAAGTAATATTGTTAAATGATCTTTCTGGCCCCTTATGTGTAGGATTTATCATTTGGTAATTCAAAAATTCCCGACAGTCGAACATTACCATAAATTCGGATAAATACAATTAAAGTAGATATATGAGAATACTATAACACGTATACTTATCATCAAACCACTTGATTCAACATTACAATACATACAAATTCACCTTAAGATTTACGATCTTGGACTGTTATGGTTCATAGAGCCTATGTCAGAACTACCACGACTGAGAAAATTACATGTGATTTCTACAATACGAGTCAATTATCTATCATTATGTGGGATAAATCTATAAATAACTATTGTCATGGAAATCCGTGTGTCTCCTTCCAACTGTCTAGTGGTATTATAACGATGTGATAATGATAGGTGGTTAATGATTGCTCGTCATAAAAACACGGCGCCATTTTTGTTGGTAAATTACACTTACATAGGGTTGCTGCTTGTACTGCCAACTTAAATTTCAGAGTAGATTACAAAAGCAGAATACTGTTACAATATTTAACCAGACAAGCTTTAAATTTTGCGGTTTGTCGGCCAAACTAATCTAAACAGGGCTTTGCGCCACATGTTAGTGCGTTGTGGTTTGGTTTTGTATCTCTATCGAAAATAAAGGCTAGCACTTAATACTCTCATTTAACAAAACTTAAGTGTGATAGCTTTGTTCTTGCTAATAAAAACCAGGCTTCAATATTTGATTAAACCTTATTTTTATTATTTAATATGACATAATTATGTGAGACATTTAAATTAATAAGAGATCGAAGACATTTATTACTAGTTTAATGACTTTGTAACAGACCTACTTTTTGTAAGGAATTTAAATAGGTGATAATAAACCTATTTTCTTAGTTCCATTACTCGATCATAAAAGAACAGTGTAGTAGTGAGTCATCAAAGTTCAACGACTAACCTGTGACTCATCACATCGTGCTTCAAGGAAAATAGGAATCTAATGGTTAGGTAGAGCTTTTTTCATGAAAGACTGTAGAACTAACTGATATCAAATACCCACAGCAGTTAAGCTGTCTTTAAATACAACACAATTAATGTTAAAGCCGATTAATCTAAGCATATAGAAAACTTAGTTCTGACCTTTGATATTTAATAAAACAGAGCATAACTCTGCTTTGTGAGCATTAGACTCATAAAACATATTAAGCCGCTTTATTTAAGTAAAAACATGTTTATGTAGAGACCCTGGCTTACGTGGTTTAACCTTATTGCTAGGCGCTTTGTCTGGCGACGCGAGCAATGGCCCATCACAATGGTTCCGGACCGCATAAAATAGATGACTTCATAAAAGCCCAACGAGCCGGTTCAAAGTCAATTAACGCGCTAGACAGATTATGAACAGCTGCGCTAAAGTCAAACGTGACGTTCTATCACATGATTGCGTTTAACTTGACATTTGATACCCCAATTTTCATGAATACATTTATGTTTACTTTATAGAAGCTTCAAATAAAAAATTAAATGTCAACACAACCCCTACATCAACAACAAATTTTAGGGAGATAGATAGATAGATAGATAGATAAATTCTTTATTGCACACATACAAAAGAATACAAAAATAAGGAAACAATTACATAATGTGGGCAAAGGCGGCCTTATCGCTTTAAGCGATCTCTTCCAGACAACCTTTGCGGTAAAGGATAACTAAATGAAGAGGAAGTTGTAGTATGCCAGCAAGATAAAATAAAGAAATGTACATATTTTCTTAAACATATAAAGATTATATACAAATAAATAACATATACCTACACAAATATATATACTATATATACCTACACAAATATATATACTATGATGTCGATTCTGGCATGATTCTCCAAAGCCAAACTTAAATTTGACAACAGTGCATCCTTGTCATTCTCTATACTGAAGGAAAAGGGGAGACTGATGTTAAATTTAGTTCTAAGTTTAGAGAATCACTCCAGAATCGACACCTATATATACCTACACAAATAAATATATTATGCAATATTATATATTTATAGATATAGCAGACTAGGATTTGATTAAAAGAAAATCATGTAGTATATTTTTAAAAATGTTAAATGATTTAGCGTGACGGATCTCAGACGGAACCTTGTTCCAAAGCTGTGCAGCTTTAATCGAAAAGGAGTCCATATAATACTCAGAGCGGGTGAGGGGTATCTCTAACACATTATCGTGTTTTGAGCGCAAAACGCGATCGTGGTCCACACCAAGAAATTGGAAACGTTCCTTGAGGTAAGTGGGAGTGCGAGGGTCATACAACACCTTATAAAGTAATAAGAGGAGATGCTCTTCACGACGCAACCTAATGGGAAGCCACTTGAGCTTTCTCCTAAATTCAGAAACATGGTCGAACTTGCGCAGGCCATAGATAAATCGAATGCAAAGATTTTGAAGTCTTTGCAGCTTATCAAGTAGATTTTCTTTGAGATCTACGTTACAAACATCTGCGTAGTCCAGAATCGGCATTTAGAGAGATTGCGCAAGTTCAACCTTGGTCCTCACCGGTAGCAGGTTTTTCCATCGGCGCAACGAGCCCGCAGCAGCGAATATCTTCCTACTGACCTCAGAAACATGAGGTGACCATGAAAGGGTGGAGTCAAAGAAAACTCCAAGATTTTTGACAACATTGCTGTAGGTCAGTGGAATAGAGCTGAGATAAAGAGGAGGCAGAAGTGAAGGATCCAGCTTAATAGATTGTTTTGACCCACCAATGATGATGGCCTGCGTCTTACAGGGATTAATTGAAAGGCCGTGGGCATAAGTCCATTCGTGAATAACCCTAAGATCGTCATTCAAGTTCGCAATTACATTCCTGACTTTATCAACAGGTGCCTGACGGTAGATCTGCAAGTCATCAGCATACAAGTGGTACTGGCAGGTAAGGAGAGAAGTGAGAAAGTTAATGAATAGAGAAAAGAGGAGAGGGGAGAGGACTCCGCCCTGAGGGACTCCAGCAATAACTTCACAGAAATCAGATCGTCTGTCGTCGGTACGTACACACTGCTGCCGGCCAGCTAGATAACTTCGGAACCAGTCCACCACCACATCCGAGACAAAGATCGACTTCAGCATAGCCAAGAGGATGTCATAATCAACGGAGTTGAAAGCATTGCTGAAATCCAGAAGCACAAGCACAGTCACCCGTTGTTTAGACATATCCTCCCTCACGGATATCATCAGAGATCTTGGTCAAGGCCGTAACCGTGCTATGCCCCGGGCGGAACCCGGACTGAAAGGGGCTAAGAATATTCTTGGAGTTGAGGAAGACGCTTACCTGATGATGAACAAGACGTTCGAGTACTTTTGAAAGTAATGGGAGGATGGATATAGGTCTAAAATGACTGGATAAGGTAGGATTGGAGATCTTAGGGATAGGAATTACGGCCGCTCGACGCCAGCAGCTCGGAAACGAGCCTGAACTAAGAGAGAAATTGAAGATGTGACAGAGGAGCGGAAGAAGAGTCGTAGAACCATACAAAAGCATTTTTCGACTAACTCCATCCAGCCCTTCGGCATTTGATGTAATAGCGGAGATACTCCTCTCAACTTCACTTACGGTCACAGATCTAAAAGAAAAGGCGGACTTATGAGGATCGAAAGCAGCAGATAAAGTTTGCAATGTAGATTGCTTGACATTGGAAGGAATAGAGGAAGGTGCAGTAAAGTACAGATTTAAAGAATTAGGATCAATATTATGAGGGAGTGACAAATTAACCTTACCAATACCACAGGACTTAAGAAACGACCATACTTTTGCAGGACTGCTGTTCGATACTGAGGCATGTATATAGCGCCGCTGTGCATCTCTGCAAACTCTACTACAACGGTTACGGAGCTCTTTGTACTTGCGAAGCGTTACGTCAGTAGGGTTATTTCTATAACGGGCTTTAGCAATATTGCGCTTCGACATCAACGCCTTAATATCCGCTGTCAGCCAGGGAGCAGGGAGATGCTTCAGTCGTACAGGACGGAAAGGAGCATGCCTGTCATATACTTGAATGAGCAACGAGTTAAATATTTCCATTTTCGCTTCAATAGTAGGGGCGTTAAACACCACATTCCAGTCGATATTATTAAGATCAGCCAAGAAACTGTTCTCGTCAAAATTCTTGAAGTTGCGTTGCATGATCACTCGCAGTTTGGGTTTGGGACAACGGATTTTGTAAGAGAGGAAGATGAGATCATGATAAGAGAAGGCCTCTGCGGGCAGTTGGCCATGGGAGCCAACAAGATCAGTGGAGGAGACAATGGCAAGGTCAAGCAAGGATGGCTGGCAGCCTGGAAAATGGTGTGTTGAAGAGGAAGAGAGAATATTAAGGTTGACAGAATCTATAATTGAAGACAATCGCAATGAGCGAGAATCATGTTTCATCAAACAGGTGTTAAAGTCTCCCATAATTATAATGTGATCGACAGTAGGTACGAATTTCTCGAGTAAAGTTTCAAATTTCGAAAAGTAATCGATGTGGAGGTTGGGGCTATAGAAAACCCCTAAAAGAACCTTGAGATGACCTAGGATAACCTCAATAAAAAGATGTTCAGAAGATTCGGAGTACTGAGAAGGAGAATTGTCGAGAATATTGAATGAAAAGTTATTTCTAAGATATATTGCAACACCACCGCCACCCTTGCCAGTCCTGTCATTGCGGATCAGATGGAACCCTGGAAGAGAGTAGGATATGGAAGGTAGACAGGGTTTCAGGAACGTTTCTGATACCAGGATAGCGTGAATATTTCGATTGTTAGAAAAGGTGGATACCAAGTCCGCATAGTGTGCAGGGATACTCTGAGCATTAATATGCACCACATTAAAGTTTTTCGGCAAAGTTGAAAATGTGGACTCAAGCTGCAAGTCTAAAGGTTGAGTTAAACTGTGGAAACTGCAGTCAGATGAGGATGTGGAAAAATACTCTGAACTGTTTTCCACTGAATCATCAGTATCAATATCACTATTAGTCTGCATCAAAATATATTAAATATATATCTTATTTAAAAATAAATAAATAACCAAATAAAAAATAAAAAAAAACAAAAATAAACAATTACTGAAATAAAAATAAATAAAGGTAAAATAGCTAATCACTTCCCGCTGGCAGTGTGGAAGAGAAACGCACTAACAACAATTGTTACGAAACATAATTAAACCATAACAAATAAAACAATAATTTGATTAAACAACGGAAAATAAAAAATCACCAAAACAGCAATTTGGCAAGCATCAAGCATTTCCGAACGTAACCACAACCGTCAAAAAACATGACAAAGGCTGCGCTCCACTCTCTTCACTCTGAATTTTATTACCAGAATCGTATGTATGAGCCGATATATTATTTATCCTATCAAAAACATCGTAAAACCTGGCATTTACATGATTTACGAAGACGGTTCTACGATGATTATTGTGATTGCGTTTACAATGCCTACGCCGCCATCCTACGATAGCGGCCCCGATTTTTATTTTTTACGATAAATATAAACAAAAACGGATGATACTTGAGACAGTTAAGCGGACACGTAGTGAGAACAGTTGTAAACGTTGTGGCGGCAGTCAAGCGTGTAATAGCGAGATTGGCTTATAATTCAGTATTTCTAAATTCTGATTTGGTATTGGTACCCTCAAAAAAGCTCTGTCATCAAAAAAACAGTATAAAAAGAATACGTACCGAGCTCTAACTGTGGTAACTACTACTCCAGGCGGTTGTTCCTCAGCAACGGAAGCAACGTAGAGAGCTTGCTCGAAGTAAGGAGACTGATTGCGTAGCTCTCTCTTCACCCTCCTTGCAATGTCAGTGTCATTTAGCTCCTGATGATGGTACACTATCTTTAGTCTGTGGTCCGAGTCGATAATGTTAGTCCGATCACAGTTAAACGTAAAGAGAACGGACACTTTCCACATTGGCTCCTGAATGCACACGTCATCACTAGCTACTAAATCACCCTGACTATTCTCGATCATAAACCGGGGGTCGCTCACGTCTAAGAACTGCACTTTACACATTTTCTGCACTGTCCGCGGTAAGAAGGCTGTAAGCGAATTCACAAACTGCGATCGTCTGAGACATATTCCCTGCCATTTGTCCGTCGTGGGTATTGCAAAGCTAGCATACGTTTCTGAGATCCATTTTTTTGCCTCAGCAATTTTTACATCTATGGCCATATCGAAAGGAATCTTAGAATGAGATCGTTTTTTCCTGGTTTTATTCTTGGCGACAAAGTCTTCGAACATGGCCATCGACCACGGATAAGCCGTGGAAAGTACATTATAGTGACTAGCTGATTCTATCTCTTCTTCTTCAAATAGCCTCCAATCGACAGGTTCTGAAAAAATCGCTTGCCTTTTTTCTCGTACGTGTTCCTCATCGTATTGTAGCGCGGCGTCATCTTGATCGTAGACTCTATCAAAATCAATATCATAGAGTTCTGCATGTCGCCTACTACAATCTTCACCCGTGACGAGAATTCTAATAGGGAGACTGTAGTAGTTGATATCCCTGATTCGATCAGAAGTGGAGTCTACGTAGAAGGTGAAAAGATTGGGATATAGGACGCCGTCGCATCTGAGTCTCTTTCGGAGAGTGACGAGGCCGGTGGTTTTGTTCACTCGGAGAATGTGATGGACAAAGTTAGCGGTTCGATGGACGTCGATGGAGTAGATGCGCTCAGAGCCGAGCTTGTAGACGGCCGCGTCGAGGACGGCGTGGCCGGGCGGCGCGGTGTCCGGCACGAGGACTAGGTAGGTGTGCACGCTCGCCAGCAGCGTGGCGAGTGCCGCGAGTACGGCCAGCGCGTGCGCCGTCATGGGCGCCATTGTGCGCGCAGCTCACCTACAGTGCCGTCTCCGCGGACTCCACCCGCTACGTATCTCCATCTAATGAAAAAAAAAACACAGTGAACGAGAGGATTGATGGTGACTTCTTTATAGTAGATTATAAAAACCATTTCAATTACTGAGAGCAAAGAAAAATGTGGATTGCGCCAGCTGCAGGCTAACTTAATTTGTATACAAAATACTGAAGCGCTTTTATTAAAGTATTAATGCTAAAATAATAATCTTTTGTTTTCCACCAACCAGGCGTTGGCGGTTTGTTTTAATTAAGCACTAGACTTATTTAATGCAAGGAAGGAACAAGGACTAGCGTGATTAATTTTTCTACAAATTGGAGTGGATCTGATGGGTTAACTCGGACAACTATAATTTAACTCTCACTGAACCAAATATAAATCAAACCCGCTCAGCCGTTAAAGTGCAATTGAGCAAACGGCTAAATCACCAAACCATCACATAAACATACATAAAGGACATATAGTAACAAGATATACAGGCTTCTAAATAAAAATTTGCTTCTCAAATCATATATAATATTTAAGTACATTGAAATCAAGTCGTTCACTTATTGCTGTATAAGAGATTTAATTTTTATTAAAAACATTTGCAAAATATTTACTAGATAAATAAATAAAAATATCTTTCTGTAAACAACTGAAACCTAAATATTTTGTTCTCTAAATTCCAAATCAAGTTGGAAATAAAATATATATTTTCAACTAGGTATAAAAATATTTTTATTTTATTTGTCAACAGACTCGCGTAGCACGTTATGGTATTCACGATTAGGATAAAATGAAATATAGCAATAACATAAGCGGGAATAACTTAGTAAGCTGACCTAAACAAACCCCCGTAATCTGGGCTTTACGCCGCGCGCCGGCACATTATAACAATATTCGCAATATCAAGCTGCGTGTAAGCGGATTGAGTTAATTGTTGTTGGCTATCAACGAAAATAGAAGTTATAATGTTTACATTATGAATATATGAAACAGGGATATACAATATATAGCGAAGAGAGGAATGTGTCTGCGCTAATCGTCCATTGAAGCTCCACATTTTGCCAACCTAATATTATAAATACGAAAGTTTAAGTGATTTTGGTTACTGCTGGAAAGGAGTTTTTGTCGAAAACGTGGCTCCCTTTTTGTAGCGAAATCATAATTGAAAGGGGAGAAATTAGGGGATGAGCGATTGTGTGACAAACCAATTATTTATTCACAAACAAATTCTAGGGCACATGTAGCGTAAAAAGTTTGAGATTCCACGCTCTCCTCAAAAGTTGGACCGGGGTAGATACTTTTTTTATGTTTATGCAGACAAACGAGCTGGCAGTCTACCTGATAGTAAGTGGTTATACGTTGCTCATGCTTTGCCAGCTTTAAAGGAAAAGGTTAACCCGCCTTTTGAAAACCGTCACATTATAGCTAACAGAGAAAACCGCTGAGGGAAGCAAGGGTAAGCAAGAAAAAGGAACATAGAAGAGTCTTTTAATATTATCGCGTAGGTTAACAATGGGTTGGCTTCCTGTAATACATGTTAAGGCCACACTTAAAGAAGTCATTAAATTTTGAAATTTCCCTTCCTACTACTACAGCCACACCTAACAATACTAGCTTAAAGCTGTCGTTCTCTGGTCTCCGATTAGCAGGAATATATGTCAAATAAAAACTCACTTTTTACAGATTTTAAAACCATTTGCTATCGTGTGTACCTTAGGCAGATAGGGGTTCCTCTTACCTCTCGGAACCGGTCAATGGAAGAATACGTTACGGTCAAAAGATTAATGGTAGCAATTAATGACCCCACCGCGCACGCCCAATTTCGCTTTTTCCAATTTTACACCATTCTCGTTTCGCATGTATTACTCAACCACAGTATATTAAAAGCTAAAGCAGTACCGAAACTAGGCCATTTTGTTAAGTTAGATAGAGCGTTAGGATTGTCCTACTATTTTGTGTTAAATTGAAAAAGTTTTTTGTTTAGTCAGCTCTGTATCTATCTATCGAGGGTTTTTTTTTGATAGACTTACTAGTTTTCATTAGGGCATAAGGAATTTATTTCTTACTTTTTATTAAATTAATAACAATTATTTTTTAAAACGTTTGTTTGGGTTCTATAATTCAAGCAGCCCGTTAACTACGCAATACACTCTTGGCATTTTTTAAAATACCGTGGTCAGCGAGTGCGCTGAATACTATAGTAATAAGAAACAGAATGCATATTTAATTATGCCTGAACTAACCAAGTTTCAGATACGGGTACCGAAATCCAAAAATATTCGGGAATGGGACTCACTTAAATTCATAACGGATTCCGAACAAGCGACAATAAATGCTCAATGAACGTGTGTTTCCCCAGATATTGCACCACGTTAACTACTTCCATTTCCTGGATAAAATTAAAAGGAAAGCCACATTACTTAAGATCCTAAATAAATTTAAAAAAACAGAAACAAAAACTTTACTTAAGTAGTGAGCCTGTGCATGGTTATTCCGCTTTTGTCAGGGTTCAAAATAGAAAATATAATTGCAGACAGCAGTTTATTTATTCTATATCTACATATATTTTTTATTATACAACACATTTTTGGATGCCAAAAAAGCACACTGCAATTTCAGCTAAAGACATAGAATAACGAATTGTTGCGGAGCATGGAATGGACTAACAGAAGTTTTATGAGGAAGCATACTACAACATGCCAATTTCTAATAATTCTAAAATAAGATGTTGAATGTCATTCCGTAAATGATTCGGCAACAGAGCCACACAACTTCAAAGTCAAAATCGGTGATTGACCGCAACAATTATATTCATATTTGTTCCTTAGGTTTTCACGCACATCACTCATTAAATAAAACTAGTTTTTACTGGTTAATGCACGAAACTTTATTTATTTATTGACGTTTCGTAGCCTTTACACAGGCTACGTCGTCAGAATCAAACTTTTATTTTATTTGTCGAACTACCTTCGAAAGACTTTTATTGAGCGTTCGGTTATTTCATTGTTCGATCGAAACGTCAATAAATAAACAAAGTTTCGTGCATTAACCCGTAAAAACTAGTTTTATTTAATTATATTCATGTCAGTTAATTTCAGATAATTCAAGATGATATTAAAATCGCATTGTTTTAAAAAAGTGTTTTTTTTTTATTAAAATAAAGAATGGGATATATCACATCCACCGTAAATACATGGTATAAACTTGTTTTTATTTTGATGGTACAAATCAATGGTACCACAGACACCAAGGGGCCAGCATTACTGTTAAATTCGTATACTGTGCCTAAACTATCCTATAGACAGGCGCGGCTTGAGGTTTGGGGACGGCATTGGGAGTTCCGCTGATATACTGTAAATTTCTTAAAAATATTTCCTGTTGTACTTGTACGTAAGAAGTAATAAGTAATTAACTATTACAATTAGGCTATTAGATAAATATTATTATATTTACTATAATAAGTATAAATCATATAATGTTATCTATTTATGTAATAATAATGTTACGTAGGTAGATGGAGAAGGTGAAATTTGTAACACTTGACGTTTTGGTTATTAAATACAAGAAACAGATGTACTCAAAAAGATTTCTATTCTAACCAAGGTACATAACTAAGAAGTTGTTAATTAAGCAGTTTCCTTCCATACGTTTCTTTAAAACAGTCATCGATACATACAGAAAGAATAATATTGCTATTCGTAAAAATATACAAAATACATCCCTGTACACAGAAATGTTGACACGGTATAATTAATAAGTGGCTGTCGTTTCGTACACATTTAACACACAGCGCGCCATGTTTGATTTAAAAACAGTGTCAGCAAATTGGAAATTTTATTTTATTTTTTGGCTACCAATTTGTATAAAATTGGAAAAATAGCGTAGAATGACTAACGGGTCTGTTATTTATGAAGTCGCAGAATTTGTTTTCAAATAAAGTCGATTAATTTAAATTTCCCCCCCCCCCCCCCCCCCATAGTCGCGTTATTATCGGGCGATAATATCGAATGCGTTATTACGATATCTGTTTTAAATACATTATTTAGTAGAACAGCTACGTAGTTACACACTGCTGTAACGACGCAACAGAAGTAAGACGCATTTCGCAATAACGCATCCAATATTATCTGAAAATAAAAATGCGCCTATGTGTTTGTACCGTTTGATTCGATAGTAATAAAGGCTTCCTCTGCTAATGTTATCGTTAATTACAACATTTTTAAAAGCTGATTTCTTACAGGACAATAATTTTAACAGTTCGCGGTTCATGTCAGTGAATGCCGGCGTTCCCCAGGGTTCCGTCCTATCCCCCACTCTCTTTCTGCTGCATATCAATGACCTAATTCCTCTTGCGAATATTCATTGCTATGCAGACGACAGTACAGTGCATGCGGGGTATCTCGGACAAGCAGCGGCTGGGCAGGCGGTAACCAAGGAGAAACGGGAGAATCTTGTCATTGAACTCAATCAGGCTTTGGACCACATTTCTGAATGGGGTACCAAGAACTTGGTTGAGTTCAATGCTAAGAAAACCCAGGTCTGCGCTTTCACGGCAAAAACGTCGCCATTCCTTATATGTCCTTCTCTTCAGGGCACAACACTGGAGCTAGAGAGCAGTATCACCATGCTCGGTATGGAGATTCGCTGTGACTTAAATCCAAAAAATTACATCGAAAGTGTGATAAAAACAGCCTCACGTAAACTCGGAGTCCTGAACAAGGTGCGGCGTTTTTTCACGCCCGAGCAACTATGCTTGTTATATAAGACGCAGGTTCGGTCTTGCGTGGAATATTGCTCGCACCTCTGGGATGGCTCCGCCAAGTACTTGCTCGATGCTTTGGATAGGTTACAGCGGCGCGCAATACGCATCATAGGCGACGAGGAGGTGTCTAAACACCTCGAGCCTCTTCAATTACGCCGTGACGTGGCGTCACTAAGCGCGTTCTATCGTCTGTACCACGGCGAGTGTTCTGAGGAGTTATTCTCTCTTATTCCACCTTCCCCTTTCCTTCAGAGGACCACGCGCGCTGGCTTACGTTGTCACCGTCTAACTGTGGCTACAATTCCAACGCTTCTTCCAATTCCAATTCTTCGCGTCTGGACTTCACCTCCACTTAACATCAGGTGGGGTGGAGTCATTTGTCGGACCTATCTATAAAAAAAAAAAAATAATAGTGAATTTAAAATAGCAATTTGTCGGAAAGTAGGACATTAGGACATTATCCCCAAAGGATAGGGGGCTGAACTGAGCATATAATGGTGCTATCAATCAAACGCATTACCGATAGAGCGATCATTATATATCACATCCACCGTAATGGTTCCATGGTCAGGTTATACGTCCAATTTCACACCCCGACGGGATGAGGTGGCTGCGGAAGACATACGACCTAATCAAACTACCTCCACAACATTAGCAGTGAATGATAAGATCGATTTATATCTTTTGAATGTATCGTTTTCAAATACCTACTTAATTTAAGTTTTACTTGAAAATATTATAGCCCATAACCGCACAATACATACAAACAATACATAATATAAACAGGTTTGTTCTGAGAACAAGCCGAAGCATGTGTGAATGGAATATCTGACATTGTTATCAATAACTATTTAAAATTTAGTTGCTGTCACTCATTACCTGACTTCAAAAAGGAGGAGGTTCTCAATGCGGCTGTTTTTTTTTATTAATAACATCGTAAAAAATGCAATATTTCTACAGTACTCTAGGATTTGGATAACATTTTTGGCCAAAGTTTTTAAAGTAACTGTAATGACACTACTCAAGTTTGAAGCGTTTAATGACATTATTACCCTAATTAAAATGCGTCTAACAGTTAAAGAAGTTTTCACAAAGAAATAAAAATAAAGACAATCACAAAGACGTGAGAGAAACGTTGTTAATTAGAGAATACCGTTTGAAAGATTCGATTTGTACCAAGATAGTTATTGTCAACGAAACATTTGCCGGGAGCAAGCTATTTGAAAGAGATAATAAGTACCTAAATAAATAGTACAGAAATCAAACTCTTCATTTATGAGGAAGCAAATGACTCGACTGATTACACATGCTCAACTTTGGCGAAAATAATAAGGGCACCGTCAATAAACAAAAAAAAAACCAAGGAAAGAAATTGTATGCAGGAAAAAATTTAGAAAATCCATTTCAAACCATCATAATTTGGGATATTTTTGTTTTGGAAAACATGAAACGAATATTTTTTTTTGAAATGTTAAATAAATAAAAAAAATGTTCATAGCCTTGTCCCCACTACAGGGGCACAGGCCTTCCCTATGGATGGAATAAGAATACTGCGACAGTGCGGATTGGCGGGTGCTAACGAATGCAGAGGCAGCCAGAACCAACGATTTAACGTGCCTTTCGAAGCATGGAGGAGTACGAGATAATAAGTTTCTGGTCTCCCATCCAATAACCGCCCATTTTGAAAGTTTGCTTAACGTTCACGTTCGCAGGCCGAATGCACTAACCACCTGCAACATCGAGCCAATCATCAAAATCAAATCAGGTCAATATATCGATTTAATCAGGTAGCTGATTGACATTGTAAAATATCTCTCTACAATTCCGATATCTGGTAAGCGCATTCATTACTGCCATGTTCAATGGGATTGACAGAATTTGGGCTCTAATTAGGCGTCGAGAATCGATAGTATCTATTCGATACGTCGACGCTGAATATTATTCAGCGTCGTATCGAATAATTATTTCTGTGTTCTGTTTTACTTTACGGAATAATTTAGTATTTCTCAAACACTAAATTCTAAATGCTTCCGTATATTATTAAAGTTTTTTTATTTTTGTAAAAACTTCACGTTGGCAGGTTTTTTATATGAAAACTTTAGATTTTGCGGATTATACCAAGTCAGAGGTTCAGAGAAATCATTAGCTCTGAGGTTTCATAAGAAACGTCTGGTAACACTAATAGGATAATAATAGTAAACGCAAAGTATCACGTACCTACTAAACTTTGGAAGGTGGATTTGCCGCTCGAATTATAACATTAGTCTGTGTAAATGACCTCTACTTTCAGAAGACTACAGCCACATCATAGAACTGGTAGGGTTGTGTTCTTGAAGTGAGTCCAAAGCTCCACTCTGCCCCTTAAGGTTATTTCAAGTCGCCAAATTGAGAGTGTCTGAATGAAGCTGTTTCCTTTGCCGAATTATCTATCTACAACTAGACTTTTATTAAACATCAGATGCTATTACGTAATTTGCAGGACCTATACCCATAGCACGAACCAATATCGAATTCGAATAGTTTGCGTTAATAGTGTACTGATTTTTAGTTCTCGTTACGTCCGTTATAGCGCTGCTGTTCAAGTTTCCATACAAAAATTTACATTGACATTTCACACTCGCTAACTATTCAAATTCGATATTGGTTCGTGTTACAAAATTTGACGATGACGATACGATTACGGGTACCATCAAAGTCCGTGCTTGGTGGGAACGCCCGCGCCCGTTTAGAGGACGCCCGCTGCCGTCTATGCAAGTACTTTGTCGCCATAATTCGTAAAGAAAGTAATAATTACTTATCAAGAAGGTTGTTTCACATTAACCAGTCAATGCTCAATCCTTACCGCGATTAGATATATGTATGTGGTGTAGGTAGTATCTATATAATACTTGTTTCACTCCAGCTTTCTATATAAGGTTTTCAACCGCAACGAGTCGTACCGCGTACGTAAGCACGTATCACCGAGCTGAGTGCCGCTTTATTCGCGTGAAATATTAATTTGTGCGAAATTAAATCGAAATTAAACGTTAATTACGCTGTATTTGAACGTATACAGGTGGTTGGAATTGCAGCGGGACTCGGGGAGGATACACACAACTCAATTATAAGGAACTCGCGTATGGGTTTATCAAATTACATAGATGTATATAAATTATATTACCTTCAAATCATTTTACTATCCCCGACATTCTAATTGAGTTTTTTACCTATCTTTTTTCAATATTAAGAGCATTCTGCTGTGCTTATGGCATCAGTGATTACAATATTTATCAAAGAACTAGAATAATTAAAAAGAGACTTACTAAAATTCATGAATCAATATAAACGAGAATTATCCATTATATTATTTTTAAGGAATACGCCGTCCTCACACAAAGTAAGGCCTGGGAATACGGCGATAATCCCCTTTAAGCACCGATATTCCGTTTCTCCGGCTTTACGATCACATCCAATGATGCCTATAAAAAGATATAAGCCTGTTTGAACTGCCTTCCATTAACTACCTAAACGTTTTAATTTGACCGCTACTGTTTGACGGGGAGTTAGGGTATCGTTGGCCAATTAAATAAAACTAGTATGTTGCTGTTGATATTATATTTTTTATTTTATTTTAAGCATTTAACTGCTAGATGTATAAATCTAAAGATTTTTTTTACAAAAAAATTAAGGGATTCCAAACTGTAATCCGAATAGGTTAGGTATTAAAATGTTGTCCTTAATTTAATGTCGCAAATACTCGTAGAATGGGAGATTATTATTGTACTTACTCGGTTTTGTTTTTTTGTACCATGTGCTTGGATTTAACAAAATATTGTTATGTGGCCTTTTTAAAGAACTTTTGACATAGAAAACTTAATTTTTGCAATAAGTATCTTCAGGCAAGATTTGTGTAGTTTTTTTTTTGTAAAAAGTTTCGCTATTTAAAATGTAGCAGTTTAATGTAGCCTGAGTAAAAATATTATAATAATATTCATCATTTTTTGCTATTTAATCACAATGTAGGTAAAATGTAGGATGTAGGACACGCAAATCAATGGACAAAGCACGAAAAGGACGCACGTTCAAATTACTGCTTGTTCGGGAATATTAAATTAATACAAAAAATAGTTATATCAAAACATATTAATATAGGAAAATGATAAATGTAATCGAATCACTTAGCTAAAGTGATAAGATTCATATGATTTGTTTAATTAACTGTTATATTAAAAAAACTATACGGAACCACACCTTTAAATTGTTAACCTTTTAACACACTCATAATGACTTCAAATTAAACTGTTATAAAAATGGTATTAAGAGTGAAAATGAGATAAAATTGCTTTTATCGAACTACTAAAGCTCAGAATTCATTGAAATAATATGTGTGCAAGGACAGCACTTTTATTATTGTTTAACATTAATTGGGCTCCTCTTTCTCTACAAATAATAAACTTATCAAATATTCCCAATGCGCACCTGTAACATGAATAAATCAATGTTTTTCCTTTAATCTGTTTTGTAAACAAGAACAACGTAAACAAGTTATGAGTATCATAAATACTGAGCGAGAAAGAAACAATTACAGTCCAAGCAGTAGATGATTAATCAATCTCATTTTAAAAAGCCGTTAATTTATCTATTTGGGTACAGTTCGACTTAAGTGTATGCTATAAGATAGAAAATATACAAATTATAAGCAGTTTTCATACTGAATTTCTCATTACGTGTTAGGTATACAAAAGTGATGACCTCACCTATTAATGTCCCCACATTGTTGGGGCACAGGTGTTCCCTAGAGATGTTATTAATTACACAAGGAGAACTGACTCCAACCTATCCCATATCATGCATATCGCATTCCCATACGAATTGTTGGTTGATGACGATTACCTACTAAAGACAGATGAGCTAGGATTAAAGACCTTATAAGGTTACCTTGATAAATTATACTAAAATAATATATAGGCGAAAGTTTGTGACTGTTTGAGTGTGTATGTTTGTTACTTCTTCACGTCTAAACGGCTGGAGCGATTTTAATAAAATTTGGTATGGAGTTAGCTGACACCTTGGATACATATATACATAGGCTACGTTTTACTGAGGGAAAATATCCCTAACAAACCGCGGGTAACACCGCGGGGCACAGCTAGTTGCCTATAACGCGCTAACTGTGGCCTAAAGAAAAAAAACAGGAAGATTTGTATAATTATTTATTCAAATTTAATTTAATTAGAAACTCCCAAGTAGTGGCTTTTCGTAATAAATGGTAAATGAATTGGTAACTTGCCTTTTAATCAATTAACGAAAAAGGTTTCTTTACTTCAGCATCTTTCCATCTGAAACAAAAAAAGTTAGAGCATCAGTATCCACATCCATATAAAAATTTGTTCAGGCATCTACGAGTATTGTAATACTAGGCTACTAATATAATAAATGCGAAAGTTTCTATGAATGTTTGTTAAAGGTCTGGTCAGGTTCTGCGTCCATACATTGTTAGCCTAAGAATCAACAATCATGAAATATTATATTCTAGGTTCGAAATTGCAAGTAAATTACTGTAAAAACAAAGATTATTGACGTACACTTCTGAGAACTTAAATTATCAGGAAAACTAAATATTTTTTGAGGTTATGTTTAATATTAAATGATACATAGGTCAACCTACGAACTTAATATGAACTCAGTATGAATTGAATTAATATTACAACTAATTCATTTTTATTCAGTGCGATTTTAAAGAATAACTATTAGGAAAAAATTGGTTAGGTAGGAATCATGAATAAAATAAAAACTGTAGTGTTGCTTCTTATTTTTTGACTATTTTTCACATAATTGTATCATATTGTATTTATTTTTGTATATTACATGTATATTGTGTAAATATGCAGCGTGAATGTGTATCAGCTGCTCTTGAATAATTTGGCAGTATGATCCTCTCAGAATGTTGTGGCACAGGTTCTCTAGCACTTGGTAATAAGGTCTCTGCTATTAGGTAACATCGATGGCATAATAAATAGCCGAAATAGTTAAATTATAGGAAAAACAATCGCAAATAAACACACACAACAGGTAATCCGAAATGAGAATGCACGAATGCCACAGATTACTACGAATGCAAACTGCCTGCACCACAACCACAGAATATCGAATTTTGTGCCGGCTCTTCACTAGACAACAGTCTGTCCTTGTCATGCTTAATATGGAATAAAAAAGACAGACTGATGTCGTTTTCAAAAAGCAAACACGTATAGCCAAGTGAAGTGCCGGCGGTAGGAAGAAAGAGTGTTTTGTTTGCGGCGCTGTCATAGATTATAAACATAAAATGGTAGTCTCAAATTATTTTTTAACTTTTTAATATAGCTTACTTAACTGGAAGTGTCCGTCACAATCTAAATACGGATAATTATCGCAAAAAATATACTAAGAATTATCATAAATGCCAAATTGGTGTTGGTTTTTAGGCCAAATTTAACATTGTCCTTTCGTATTTCGTATTTGGATAAAATTCGGCACATATCATTCACCAAGGTATTTTTATCGCGGAAATATTAAAGGTTCTTGACCTTTAATTTTTCCGCGATAAAAATTCACAAAAAAACCATAACGCAGACGAAGTCGCAGGGGCGCAAGCTACACAAGCAAGTATTGAATGAAAATTACTCAGTGAATTATTGAGTGTTATATAAAGTTTGGACATGTCTATAAAATTAATCTAAATCAATTTAAACACTAAGCCTCAGATGACAGACTGTTTTATAATCTGAGCTCAAAGGCATGCAGTCGAAGTTTTTTATTTCTATGTTACACACACCAATTATTATACTAATATGGCAGCAAAATTAGGTACGTTTGCAGTCAATGAATCCTAATTCGAGGGAGGTCTACCGGGGACGGTATGGTATTAACAGTACAACCTGTTAGCTAAAGCAAAAGTATGGCTAAAATCTACATTCTACAGCAAGAAAATTGCGACCAAAATTTTGTTTTGGGCTATTCATAATCTTATTTGACGCAATGGCTTTCAAGCTTTTAGCGGTTGGATTGGAATTGCCTCTTTTTATAGCCTTTGTGCTATGGCAGCGCTCATGCCTTCAGCTCCAAAGGTTCAGTGTTCGAATCCCAGTTGTTGGGATAAGGAATTAAAGATATAAATCTCAATATAAAGTAAAATAGAATAAAATCTTGTTACCTACTTATATCGTTATGAAATTAAGGCCCACTTGCAGCAAATTTGATAAATCGCGATTTGACTAAAACTAGATTTAACCTATACAAAAATATCAAAACGTCAAACTCAACTTGACATTCTTGTATGTGTTAAATCTAGTTTTAAGTAAATAGTAAAATTACTGCAAGTGGACCTTAGATCCTGTTTCTAAACTGTACATCTTAAAAGGAACAAGCCAGTTTACCAATACCTATAAATAAATCGTCGAACGATGCAGACTACCAGGCTACCATAACGAGCAAGGGTATCATTTTCGAGGCACAAGGAGCCCTCGGGCGCGCGCGCTCTCGACTTGAGTGTTCCTCGTGCGTGCTAAGCCTCCTGTCCCGCCTTAGGGCCTGGTACTCAAGATCGGTTATCTCGAACAATGCCTCTGCACTTAAATGTTTTTCTTTTATATCGGCCTTCATACCTTGTTAGAATCCAATACTTGTGGTTATCTTTTCCATCCAATTTCTAACTTTCAATTTTTTATGGTTGAATCTTACAAGATTCTTATAATAATATTCTTTACATGCGGCCGCCCGCGATTTCGTAAAAATTTAGTTTTTTGAATTTTTGTCTTTTTGAGTTTATCCCGGACATACATACAGACAAAAATTCAAAAAACTAAATTTTTAGCTTCGGTATCAATTGTAGATCACACTCCAAGTATTCTTTTAAAAAATATTCAATATACAATTTTGCATTTTGTGTTTTTGATGCAAAACACAAAACAATAAAATCGAAAACATGTTTTATTATTTTAAGGGAAGTTAGTTACATTTACGGTATTACGGTATTCAGACATGTTGTGACTCCATTATAAAAAGTTTACAGCAACATCAGATAGAGTTCGTAATTACAAACAAATCCTACAATTTAAATATTTATAAATAGAGTGTGTGGGGCTCTATCTCAGCTCTGTGTGTGACAGACATATTAAGAAGGTTTCGATTGTCACGCTTTAGTTAAGGAACACTAAAATGTTCACAAATGTCAAAGAAAGAAAAACGACGGGTTGAACTCAAGGAGTGTCCGCAGAAGTGAAAACTTGAATTATTAACGTTGTGCATTTTTTATATTTTGGAATGGTTAGGGAATAACTTTGCACGAATTGCTTTAATTATTACTATAAAAGTACTATCATTTATGTAGTAGAATACAATATTTATTTATTGCGCTTAAATTTAATTTATTTATCGTACACAAAGATGACAATTTATATTACATTAAAAAGTTCATCTCTCAGAATTTCTCATATAAGCACCTAGCGACATCTATTGTAAAAAAATGCATTTTCTTCGCAATAAAGCTGCCACCTGGACGTCCTATATAGAGACTTATTATTATATAATACGATAAAATAAAATATTACTATGTTTCGTCCAATGTCGGTCCGTTTCGTGTTCTGACGCGATCAGGCCACGTGTCCTGACGCGAGTTTAACATTTTTTACCCATTACAAAAAAAGTGTACAACGTCGCTAAAGAAGTTTTCACTTCAAAAAAAGCGTTAACTTATTTCATGAAATATATAAGTTAACAAGCTGCTCGCCTATAGCTATATTATCGATAAACTTACTTAAGAATTATCTCATGTCTCACCTGACTTAACAATTTTACATATAAAAATTACAAGTCGATATTTTTACTTAAGAAGGAATGTCTCTGGAGAAATGCAATATTTTTTACCTTGAGTTTAATAAATGTAGAGTGGCAGCTTGGATCACCCTTTTTCCCGTACATAACCACGATATTAACAGCGCAAGTGTACAATGAAAACAATTTCTTATGACTTCAAAAAAAGGAGGTTCCCATTTATTATTGTATTATTTTCTATTATTGTTCGCTTATAACTCATAGTAGTATATATATAAGTTTATTATTATATTAGAGTTATAAGCATAATCACTCGAATATTAAACGTATCCATGATGACGAAAAACGTGCAATGCACCAAAACAGAACGCCAACCATTTAATGTAAATGACTAATTTTCAAAAAAGAGTTCCATATTGACGACCTCCGTGGCCGAGTGGTTTGTACGCCGGGTTTCATGGCTGTCGCCGACTCGAGAGGTCCCGGGTTCGAATCCCAGTGGGGGCAGATGTTTGTGTGATGAATACGAGCATTTGTACTCCAGTCATGGATGTTTAATATGTATTTATATAAATATACTTATATATGTACAGTATATGTATTCTATCCGTTACCCTAGCATCCCATAACACAAGCCTTATAGTGCTTACTTTGGGGCTAGGCTAATTGGTGTGAGTGTCGGAAATATTTATTTATTTATTTATTTATATTTTAACGATATAAATATTTTGAATTTGGAATTCTCAGCGAAAAAAGAAAAAAAAATGGACTTGAATTAGCCAGTACGGCAGGACGGCAATTTCATATGGAAGACCTATTATTTGTGCATAAAGGATTTTAAATGAATGCTAGTATCTATATATTACCGTAATTGATTCAATGCTTGCAATAGTTTAAATACACAAATGTGATTCAAGTATTCGATAATTGATTAATTCATACCTCACAAAAGTTTTAATTCGAAACAATTTCCTTCTAGAGGAAGCTGCAATCGGCAAAGAGCGATTTCGCTTAAGTAAGACGGGTGAAGCGAAGGTGGGAAGGCTTTGAATGGAAACAACAGACAAAGCTCGCGTCACGGCACATTCAAGCTTCCACGACGTAAGGGCGTCGGATACTATGGAGTCGGTATCGCAAATGAGGGGTGCACCAAGGTTCACATTCACGCCCGCTCAAATGGATAAATAAAGATTTGAACGTGACTCGTGATTTTCAAAGCATATGTGTAGACTTGAAAGGAGTTGAGATCAATTCTTTTTCAAATATGAAGAACACGCTTTATTGTAACTTTAAAAGCATATTAGTCAATAGAACACAGACAAAGGTTTCTGCGTTTAGTGTGAACAATCATCAACTAAATATAAATAGATTTAGAAATAGTATACAATTATTAGTCGTCAGCTGTACCTTATTGTTACTTTGAATAATTCTGGCTATAAAAAGTGATTTGAATTGACTTAATATTAACCAACTAACTCAGTTGATTTCTTCTTTTTACACAACCGACACAACGAAGTAATGTTATTTC